TTGTTTTGCTTTTTACAGTTAAAGTCCCCTCACTGTACTTGCTTGTTTGTTCTCTGCTCCTCTTTCCCCTGCATTTCTTATTAGACTGGAAATTTCCTCTAGAGACGTTAGATGCAGTTCAATTATTGGTGGCAAGAACCTTGGTGGGATGCATTATACTTCCTAATACATCACATGGAAGGCAGCTCATAACTGTTACCCTACCTTAGAGAGGCTAAGATGAATTGGGGAGCTGTATGTATGTGTGTATGTATGTATAGTTGACACGTTACATTAGTTTCAGGTGTACAATGTAGCAATCAGACAAATTACACATTGGGGGGCTTTAATTGGAAAACTCCCTGTCAACCTTCCCCCTGGTTTTACCAGCTCTTGAAGACCTTTCCTGAATCAGGCATTTCATCAGGGGTTGCAAACAAAGTTGTCACTTTCAAGACCAGCATCCATTTTCACACAGAAGGCATTGTTTTTTACCTCCCTGCCAAAAATACAGCCTCAAAGAAGACACACACTTGCTACCTCACCAGGCACACGAGCAATTGTCCCTTTGGGTGCAGGGATGATAATATTTAGCTTGCAGGGTTTTTTGAGGATTAGGGTTGAGGTAGGGAGAGTGCTTTCCACAAAGCCAGCTGCAGAGGAGGTGATCAGCTAAAAAAGGGTCACTTTCCTGGAGTGATAAGTAGTGGTCTGTAAAATTTATTAATCCATGTGTCCATCCTTCAAGACATCCTTCCACCAACTCACGCATCCACCTACTAACCTACCTCCTCACCCACCCACCCATCCATCTATGCCACCACCAATCCATCTGCCCAGCTAGACATTCATAAAACATTTATCATAATCAAGAGTGATTAATATTCATAGCCCTTATTTAGCAGTACTCACTTTGTACCAAGCATTGAGCTTGGTACACATTCTGGAGATAGAATGCAAACCCATGCGCACCTATGCTCTTCTTATGGGGGTGGTCCCAGCTGGGTCAGGGACACACAGATGAGCTCCAAATCCTGTGCTTCAAAGGGCCACAGCTAGGTGATCAAAGCAGCTTAACACAGTGGCATGGAAGCATGACCTGAAACCCTTTCCTCTCCCCACTCAGGAGCAACCTGTGTCCTGGCCCCCAAGTTCTCTGCTTCCCGCTTCTGGGATGACTGTCGGCTGCATGGTGTGACTGTGATCCTGTATGTGGGTGAGGTCCTGCGGTACCTGTGTAACACTCCACAGGTGAGGGGCTAAGATTAGGGCTCCATGGTGAACACCTCAGGTATGATCCTAGATGTCATCTCAGGTAAAGGTTTCAGAGAGATTCAGGTACAGGACTCAAGCAAGGTCCCTTAGGTAAAACACCCCAGGCAACCGCCACAGTTAACGCATCCCACACAAGGTTTCCAATCATGGCTTCTATGATGATCAGCAGTGCTACCTTGGGCAGGTGACTTCACCTCTCTCAGCCTCAATGTCCTCATTTGGAAAATGAGGATAATAACTCAAAGGGGGTATTTGTGAGAATAAAACATATATAAAGTGCCTAGAACAAAGGGTGACTCGGGGTAAACTCGCCAGATGTGAACTTATCAGCAATGAGGTATGGATCCCAAATAAAATGCTTCAGGTAACTACCTCCAGGTAAGGCCCCAAGGTGTCTCCCCAAGGTGAAACTTCAAGTCACTCCCCAGTTTACCTCCAGGTAAAGGCCCCTAAGTAACCCCTCCAGGTAACCTCCCCCAGGTAAAAGTTCCAGGTACTACCCCTATATAAGATCCTAGATATTTCCTCTAGGTAAGCCCTGGATAAGGCCTCCAGTCACCCCTAGGTATCCCTTCAGGTAAGGCTTTTAGGTAACTTACCCCCAGGTAACCTCTGCAGGTAACCCTCCAAGTACAGACTCCAGGTAACTACTCTCAAGTAAGAACCCTTGGTAGACTTCCTAGGTATAGATGCCCCACCCCCCCAGTCACCTCCCAGGTAATTCCTCAGGTAAAGACCAAGAGATAGCCTTCCTAGGTAAGGGTTCTAGGGCACACTCCTCTTCACCCTTCTTGGGATGTCCCTGCAGCGACCAGAGGACCGGACACATACAGTCCGCTTAGCAATGGGCAATGGACTCCGGGCAGATGTGTGGAAGTCCTTCCAACAGCGCTTTGGCCCCATTCGGATCTTGGAAAGCTATGGCTCTACAGAAGGCAACATTGGCTTCGTCAACTATCCAGGGCGCTGTGGGGCCCTGGGCAAGATAAGCTGCTTGCTTCGAGTGAGTGGGTTGGGTGGGACAGTGGCCCTGATTGAGGCTGAGCCCACAGGACCTCTACTGACACTTCCCCACCCTCCACTCAGATGCTGTCCCCCTTTGAGCTTGTACAGTTCGACACGGAGGCCGAAGAGCCTGTCAGGGACAATCAGGGATTGTGTGTCCCTGTGGGGCCAGGTACAAGGGTTGGGAAACCTTCCCTGGGTGTGGGAAGGGCGGGGGCCATCTGGTCCTTGGCTGGAACAAGCTGCCCAAAGCCTTGAGGTCAGTGCCCAGTGGTGGTGTCTGCTGCCCTCACCTCGTCTGACCACTGCCTGGGACCCTCTGCCTCTCAGCTTCTCAGCTCTGCCTGGCTCCTCTGCCTCAATCTCTTGCTTTACTGGGTCTCTGGGTGTCCATTTGTGGAAGCCATGTCCTCCCAGGCATCAGTCTCTTGTCCAGTACCTTCTCCTAGGGTCTTCTCTCCTGGGGCCATGCGCGGTCTTGGCCATATCTCTTTCTTCCCACCACCATTTGTCTCTGTCCCGTGTCCTTCCTTTGTTATCCTCTTTCTATTTCTAGTGGGCCCCCCAATGTCTCCTGTCTCCCAGTCTCTGTCTCCCCTCCCCCATCTTTATCTCTAGGTCTCTCTCTGTCTCTTCTTTGGCAGGGTCTCGGTGATGAAGAGTTCACCATGGTTGGTAACCTCCGGCCGGGGGCTGGTGGGTTGTGCCGTTCTTGGTCATGGTTAATGCCCTAATTCCAACTCCTACCCCCAGGGGAAGCGGGGCTTCTGTTGACCCAGGTCTTGAGACACCAACCTTTCGTGGGCTACCGCGGGGCGCGAGAGCTGTCGGAACGAAAGTTGGTGCGGAATGTGCGGCGCAGGGGTGACGTTTACTTCAACACCGGCGACGTGCTGACCGTGGACGAAGAAGGCTTCCTTTACTTTCGCGACCGCCTCGGGGACACCTTCCGGTCGGGTCCCGGACGGGACTGGGAGAACGGGTGGCAGGGGCTTCCTGGTCCTTTGAGGGAGCCAGGCTGAGGAGGCGGGACTTCCGGACCCAGAGGGGCGTGGCTTCTCGATCCTGAAGGGGCCGGAGTTGGGCAGAACCACCTATCAGATCTTGCAGGAGGAGGGGCTTGGTGGGCAAGAGGCGGGGCCTCCGCTTTGCCACGGTTGCGTTCACTGGCATCGGATTCAACCCCACAGATGGAAAGGTGAGAACGTGTCCACGCGGGAGGTGGAGAGCGTTTTGTCACTCGTGGACTTCCTGCAGGAGGTGAACGTCTACGGTGTGTCTGTACCAGGTGTGGAGGATCTGCCTCATTTTAAACCTCCAACAGCTTTGTGGGCAGAGGGGTGTTTTCCAGATTTTACAGGTGGGAGAGCTGTTGGGGTACAGCCAGTGAGCAGAGATGGGCCAAGTGAGAGGGTCAGCCATGGGCACTGTTAGTTGGGTGATCTGAGAATGACTGGCGTGTTCCCCAGGTTGTGAGGGCAAGGTGGGCATGGCTGCCGTGCAGCTGGTCCCCGGCCAGACCTTCGATGGTCAGAGGATGTACCAGCATGTCCGCACTTGGCTCCCTGCCTATGCTGCACCCCATTTCATCCGTATCCAGGTGAGCTCAGGGTGGCAGAAGTAGGTGGATGGGAGGTCTTGGCCAGGGCCTCACAGTCGGGTTATGCTTACTGCCCCTGCAGGACACCCTGGCAATCACAAGCACATTCAAACTGGTGAAGTCACGTTTGGCGCGTGAGGGCTTCAATGTAGGCATCATTGCTGACCCCTTGTTCGTGTTGGACAACCAGGCCAAGGCCTTCCGGCCCCTCACGGGGGACGTGTACCAGGCTGTGTGCAATGGAACCTGGAGACTCTGACTATTTGGCCAGTCCACAGGACATCTGAAGTGGTAGTGCCCAATGCTGACTGCCACTACCATTTGCAGGTCACCTCCCCCCACCCCTAACCTGCTGAGGATCATCATGAATCCTAGCCCGGCTATAAGCCCTGTTGCAGAGAGTGAGATGATGCTAGGCCCAGTAACGGAGTGAGAATAAACTTGGATGTATACACAGATGTCTATGTGTGTAGGGACCAAGGGCAGGTAGCCCCAAGATGGGCCCCTTTGGCATAAAGATTATTTTGTGTTAAAAGCAATAAAAACCCAGCAGATTCAGAAGCTCTTTATCTACCCCACAGATAACTATAAAATGACAGGGAGGAATTTAGCAAGACCTCTTTTATCAAATTCCTGTGTCTTCTTGTTTCTTAATGGCCCAAAGACCGTTTGTTTACCAAATATTTACTCTTTTATTTTCCTTTAAATTACATTATTTCCTATTGAATTCCCGGACTTTTCTCAGTATTTTCCCTATGCTTTTCTCAGTTCAGTATGACACGTACACCTCATTTTGCCTGTCTTTGGAATTTTATGGCTGTATATATTCCCCATATGTACCAAATTAAATTTTATTTTCTCCTGTTAACATGTCTCATGTCAATTTGATTCTTAGTCAAGCCAGAAAAACCTTGAAGGGCAGAAGAAATTCTTCCTCTCCAACAGTGGATGGAGAACAAGCAAGGAACTCAGGGCCTAGTGCCTCCAGAGACCTTACTTCAGGGTCCCCCATCTCCCTACCAGCCTCAGGGAATGGCTCTGTCTAGGCAAGGCCACCAGTGCGGGAGGAGCCAGCAGCCTCAAAGTCATTCCAGGATTGAGAGATGAGGTTCATTTTATCTATAGGTCTTTTTGTGGCCCCTGATGGGCTGACCCCAGGCCAGCAGATGTTGATATGGTCAGGAAAGTGTAAGGAGAAGTGCTATCGTGGTGATATGACAAGGACATTGGGCTAAGCCGAGAAGGAGCAGCAAGTAACTGGGAAAAGAGTGTCCTTGGCAGAGTGCACCTGCAAAAGCCCTGATGCAAGTCCTGTGGGGTGGGGTGTGGAGCAGATCAGAGCCCTCTGGAAGATAAAGTCCAGTGTCCTAGGGGCCAAAAGAGCTGTAGGCAGGAGGATGCTTTTGCTGGTTTCAGGAAAGTGTTGTGTACTGTGTCAGGGGCTTTAAATGTTACTTGATCGTTGTGGAACTATAGTCTGTGGGCCAAGGGAAAGTGAGTGGCAAAGGCTTTGTAAGTATAGTCCTCAATGTGTCAAGAATCAAAAGTGCTTCCACGGGAATTAGGATAAACGCAGATGGCACTGAACCTCTGGGAAGTGCAATCCACCCCATGTCAGGGGCTATAGGTGCTGCCCAGGCATCTTAAGAGCTGGAAACCTGGAAAAGGGGAATAGCACGCTAATCCTCAGTGAAGTGGTCTGTGCTCTCTCCATGGCAGGAATCGCTGCCTGCGTGTTGTAGGCTAGGGCACACGTGGGTGTGAAGATTGAGATGTAGGCCTTGAGAGCTCAGATACCAGAAGTGACACCTGGGTAATTGTGGGAGCTGTTAGGTAGAGGCCAGTGATCACAAAAACTCTCTGGTGTGTAGCCCAAGCCGGCTCAGGGGAAAGGCTGCTAGTTTTCAAGCCCTCTGGAGTTCTGCAGCATAAGCCTGCAGGGGCCACCCTCCACTTGCCCCAGTGCCGACTCTGTATGTGGCTCTCACCAGATCAGTTCAAGTCCACCCATTCCCATCCAATCCTAGCTTCAGAATGCCATTGCCTGACACCTCCTACTCCATCCTCATACTTATGGATTTCTGTTCTAAACATACTCTTCCCTGTTGTTTCAGTGGGTTTCTGAACTAAGTGAGATGTGTGTTTAGTCCATCTTGACCTAGAAAGCCAGGGAAACTTTTACACTCACAGCCTGCTCAGGGTTAAGAGCAGAGCGGTCAGCCTAGCAGGAAAGAGCCCAACATGACCACCTAAGTTTGGAGGAGGGCAGTGCAAGGCCAAGACATGGGGAAAGGCAGGTATCATAGTTGCTGTTTCCATGGAATCAAGCTGAGAGCCACTGACCAGTCCTGGGAGAGGTGGACTTAAGGAGGGTGGAGGAAGTGAAGGATAGCAGGAGCCAACCACACAGGTGGGAAGGAGACTGGTGGGGAAATGGGAGAGGGCATCAGTCTCAGCTCAAGGGGTCAGGAGGACTCAGGTTGGAAACTGGGCTCCAGGAGCTTCAGTACAAGATGCAGAAAAGGTTGAATATGACTTGTTGAGTACCCACTTGGTGTTTGACAGATGCCCTTGATCCTGAATCCCCGAATTTCCCAGAACAGGTCTCTATCACTTAGAGTGGGGGTTTGTCTGCATTTCACAGCTGTAGGGACTAAGGCTGTGACCTACTCAAGGCACCCTCATGGAGGGGAATCTGGGGGAAGGTGGGATGGGGATAAGGCCAGAGTGTGGACCAGAGCAGAGAGAGGGGAGTCCAGGAGGGGTGGACAGTGGCTCAGGGGCCTGCAGGGTACCAGGAATTCCGGTTCAGTGGACCTATACTCCAAGGATCATGGGGAGCCAGCTCCAGCAAGACACCTCTCACTGCCCCATCTCCCCTCTTTGTAGGACTTGTGAGGTTCCAGACGTAGAAGATAGGTCTGAACCTGCTAGCAGGTGGAGAGTGGGGGAGACATGTCTTTGCTCATTCTGTATGACAGATGGCTACCAGACCTTGGAGGTGATGGGACGGGAGCAACCCCTTGTCTCAGGCTCCCCAGCCTGGATCTACCAAGATTCATCTCACGGTAGAGCTGAGACTTGGGGTGGCCTCACGATGTCTACAGTGCTGAAGTCTCCTAGCAGACTCCCACAAACCTCTGGCTGCCATGAAGACATAGGTGTCCCGGCCCCTCATTGGGGAACAGGCAAGCAGCAACTCTACCCTACTTTGAAGGACCTGCATTGAAGCCAAGGCTTCAAAGCTCTGTGATGATGACACTTAGAACTGTGCCATTAAACCCTTCTGAACCATGACCTGGAGGCTGGAAGGGGAGGCTGAGGCTGTGGACTTCCCAGTGCTGTGCAAGGATTTACACAATGTGCATCCATTCCAACTTCTAATTTTTGCTCTTTCTTTTTTGTTCCCAAGTAAAGAGACCACTAACATCCCTGGGTGTGAGGACTAAGGTCAGGATGGGCCCTGGTCTGCTGAGGGCCACAGGGAGAACCAAGGAGCCCCATGTGGTCTCCTCCAAACCTGTTGTTATGATCACCTCTCGTCAGGGCAGGGGGGATATAAAGGCTCCTGCAGCGGTACCTTTGGTAACAACGGGACGTGGCCAATGCTGAGGCTTGGGTGAGAAACCAAATGAAAGAGCACGGCTCAAGAGCCATCATTCTTGATGTCTGTCTCCCTCTCCCCACCCCAGGGACCTCCACCTCTACTTGGCCCACCCACTGTGGGACTGCCATGTGCGGGCGGCCAGGCCTGGCATCACCCAGCTCTCACACTGGCAGACCCGAGCACAGCTGCCAGAGCCTGGGGGCAGACTGGTGAGCTGTCTGGATGCTGGGCCTGTGGCCTGGATTCGAGTCCTGGCTCTGCTGTGTACAACTCACATCGCCTCTCTCTGCCTCCGTTTCCTCATCTGAGAAGTGGGGATAGCAGTCACAGCGGCCGCCTCACAGGGCTGGCAACTGGCACATGTTGGCCCTTGGCAAGATCCTGCCTGTCAGAATCCCTCTGTAGGCCTGGATCTCTCTCCCTCTCTCGTCTGTTCTTTTCCCCAGAGGTGGATGCTAAGACAGAGCCCAAGGTCAACACCAGACCCCCACATGACCTCCTACCCACTGGGTCCGCTCCCAGGAGGCCTTGGAGGAAGTGAGGTCTTGGAAGAATATCCTGAGGGTCGGCCTGGCGGCCAGTTTGTGCATGGACAGGGGAAACTTCTAGGACTGCCTCTCCAGCATTCCAGCAGTTCCCCTCCTCACCTGAGCACCCACAGTCATCATAGGCATGAAACGGCACTCTATTGCCAAGTCTCTGCCCTGCCAAAGTCCCAGCATCCAAATGGGGAGAATATCCCCCTGCTACTTCTGCAGCCTGACCACTTAGGGTTGGAGTGAGCCGTGGCTGAAATGGCAAATATCGTCACCATGTGCAGATGGAACCACAGTGCACACACGGGTCTTCTCCAAAACGTGGATATGCAGGGAACGCGGGTGTTTTACGACAAGCCGGGGAAGGCTGGAGCTGTGAACTCAGGCTTCAGCAGGCTTCGAAACTGCGGCTGGACCTGAGGCAGGAGTGGACCCCGCTTCCCTCCCCAGTGAGCCCTCTGATGACCCCACCGAAGAAGGCCTGGCCTGGGGGGTCAGGCCTGCCCCACGCCGGGGTCTGCGCACAGGTTTCTCTCCCGTGTGGATGCTCTGGTGGTGGAAGAGGGCCGGGCGCTCGCGGAAGGCACGGCCACAATGTGCGCACGCAAAGGGCTTCTCACCGGTGTGGATGCGTCGGTGGCTGAGCAACACCGCGCCCTTGGCAAAAGCCTTCCCGCAGTCCCCGCAGCGGAAGGGCCGCTCGCCCGTGTGCAGCAGCTGATGCTGCGTGAGGTTAGAGCTGTGGCTGAAGGCGCGGCCACACTGTGCGCAGGCGAACGGCTTCTCGCCTGTGTGCACACGCTGGTGATTGGAGAGTGAGGAACCCTGGCTGAAGGCGGCACCACAAAGGGCACAAGTATAAGGCTTCTCACCCGTGTGCATGCGCTCATGCTGAATGAGGTGTGAGTTGCGGCAGAAACGGCGGCCACACTGGGCACACGCGTAGGGCCGCCCGCCTGCGTGGATCTTGCGGTGCTGGCTGAGGTTGGAGCCGTGGCTGAAGGCCTTGCCACACTCACTGCAGCGGAAGGACTTCTCGGCTGTGTGTATGCGCTGGTGCCTCACCAGCGAGGAGCTATGCCGGAAGGCCTTGCCACAGGCCGGGCACGCGTAGGGCGTCTCACCGCTGTGGATGCGCTGGTGCTGCGTCAGGTGCGACGTCTGGCTGAAGGCCTTGCCGCACTGCGGGCATTCATACGGCCGCTCTCCGGTGTGCGTGCGCAGGTGCTTGAGCAGGTCCGAGCTCTTCACGAACACTTTGTTGCACGCCCTGCATTCGAAGGGCTTCTCCCCGGGAAGGAGGCCAGGGCCTGTGCGGAGGGCCTTGCCCAGCTGATCCCAGGCTGGGGACTTGTGGGTATCAGGGAGTCTCTGAGGCACCTCGGGAGCCAAACCCTTTCTTCCCTCCCCACTAACGTGACTAACCTCAAGTACTGAGATGCTTGGGAAGACTCTGTGGGGGGCTGCCCACGAGTATGGCTTCTGCCTCTGGGATGCCCTCCGGTGTTTAGCTGGCTTGCAACCTTCTATTATGGCCAACTCCCTGGCTTGGCCATCCTGGTGAGTCCTCGGTGGGGAGGTCAGCCGCAGACTGGCACTGGCCTCCCCACTGCCAGGACCTAGCAGGAGCCGTTCCCAGTAGATTACAGACACCCCTGTGGGTTTTTTCTCCTGAGAGGGGGAGGTGCCCCACCAGCCATCCAGGCTTTTCCCACGCTCACAGATGCCAGCGAAGGGGAGGACCCTCGGAGGTGCTGGAGGGGAGCCATCATGGAAGGCCCCTGGCAGTTCTGCTTCTCCTGGAACAACCCTGTCGTATGCCAGATGACGGGAACCTGTAGGCACAGAAATGGTAGACCCTGGGTCATGCTGGCCAAGAGGGGATGGCCAGGGCAGGCCTAGTGGTCAGACAAAGGGGATGCCAAGGACTGGGTGTGCGAGCTGGGGAGAAAAGCAGCAGCCAGACCAGTGTATGTCATTCACTTCTGTCTCGGGGGACTCCTCCAGCCTGCTTTTGCTCCTTACACGATGGCTACCTGCCGCTACAGGCTTTACTCACGAACTCTGCTTCCCTGCTGCCTCTCCCCTAGCATGGTCACCTCCATGAAAGCAGGACCAGGAGCGTCCTGGTAAAGGCTGTGCCCGGTGCCTGGAATGGGGTCCCACGGGAGCTCCCCCTTGGTGGGCAAGCCAAGGCCAGAGCCTCCAGGAGGCGCTGATGATAGAAGGAGAACGGGAAGGAGTCAGGTGGGAGGCAGGAGATGACAGTGTCCAGGAAGGCAGGGAACGGGGGACAGAAGCCTGGCCACTGGTGGGCCCAAGCTCACACCCTCTGAGTCCCCACTCACCAGGGCTGGGCTTCCTGTGAGCAGTCCTGGCTGGTGTTGCAACTGTCCCACCGAGAACCCAGGGCTCCTCTCCACGCTCAAGCTGGACGACTACCCGGGGTCGTGAGGCAGAGAGCCCTGTGAGAAAAGACAAGCAAGTGAGGGCCCAGGCCCAGCACAACAGAGGGCAGGAGTCAGGACTTTATGGGACACAGATGGTGTCATCCGTGCACCCAAGAAGACCACACCACAGGGCAGGACTCACAGGAAAAGTGCAATGGCCCCTGTGAGGAGAATCCCTGTGAGGAGAACCGTGTTGGCAGCAGCAGATGAAAGGGGCCCAGGCTGAACACAGAGGCACCACAGCGGCACAGGGACACCAGCCAGCTGGTGTGAGGCTGCTCATAGGCCAACAGGAGATACGGGGTTAGTGCTGGCAACAGCTGAGCTTCCCGTGGAAAACCCAGGGCCTTACCCAGCGAGGCCACAAGTGCGAAGTTCTCCAGCATCACGTGGCAGTACAAGGCCCTCTGGGCTGTGTCCAGGAGCTCCCACTCCTCGTGGGAGAAGTACACGGCCACATCCTCGAAGGCCATCAGGCCCTACAACAGCGGGCAGGGGAAGATGGACACGATCTGAGCTATGGCTCTACGACCCAGGACCCCCCTCCCTGTCCCAAAGGCTACCCTTCTCCATGTCCCTCAGAGGCTTACCTTCCTCCCCCTCACCCCGTCCTCCCCCAGGCTCTGCAACTCTGCAGACGAAACTTCCCTCCTCTCCCCTACACCCTACCTGTCCAGGGCACAGATGCCTCCTTGGGCTCCCCACTGGCCACTCACACAAGGCAGCCAGAGCAAGCTCATGGCCTTCAGATGGCCGCCACCCCAAGGGCAGGCCCAGGTGCCCACACGTTCTGCACAAACTGACCCTCCCCAGACACGCCCTTAACTGTTCCTGTAACGAGCAGTTGTACAAGTCCCAGCTGTGGACCCACCAGGACCTGCCCAGGCCTGGAGGGACGCCCCCTTCTGCTGAACTTGCCTGACATCCCAAGGCTGCTCCTCCAGCATGAAGGACTGGCTGGCTGATCCCCTCCATCACTACAGGAGGGGGCCCAAGGATCTGGTGAGCACACAGGCAGCCAATTTCCTCCTCCCTCCATAACCACGCCCACCCCTCCCCCCATTTCCCTGGCCAAAACCTTCCCTTAGGCCACCTGACTTACTCCCAGAGCCCCAGGGGCTACCAGCCTGTCTTCACATCCCTGGAGTGCTACCCATCCCTGGCTGAGTCCATAAGATTCCTTCCTCCTCAATGTGATTCCCAGGCCCTGCTGGCTCAGAGTATCAGGACTGTGTCCTTGGACATCTGCAAGTCCAGGTCCACGTGATACCTCCACTCCGGGACAGCACAGATTCCCTGATCTTACTCTGAAGCCTGCTTTCCCTTCAAATTCAGCAGTTCTGTTCTTCTGGGTGCTCAGGCCAAACACCTTGGGACTGTGCTCCACTCGGGCCACTCGCTCCCACGCCGCACCTGAGACATCAGATCTCTCCAGAATCCAACCACTTTCCCCATCTCCACTGGCCCAGTCCCAGTGTGCCGCAGGTGCCGTCTTCGGCCACCCGGGCTGTGGCAGCGCCCGGCCCCTGCACACGGCCACCCCCGCTCTGCGTCATTTCTCCGCCAAGCAAACCGTGGGATACTTTTAAAAACCCTAACTTAAAGCACGTCCAGTCTCTGTTCGAATCCTCCCACGGCTCCCGACACAACTCCTCTCCCGTGCTCACGTGCGGAAGCTCGGTTCCCGAAGCACCTAGGCTCCGTCTCCCCTCCCAGCTTTTGCACGTGCGGGACCCTCCGCTTGGAACTTCCTTCTACACCTCACTCCCTTGGCTGCCCGAAGCGGGGATCTCACACGTGCACGCTCCACTGGCGTGAACCCCGGGGCCTAGGACGAACCGAGAGGGGAGACAAGACGTTCGGGTCAAGCCGCTCCCTGAGCCGAGATTCGGGTCCCTCCCGGAGGGATCTAGGTGGCTGGCGGGGGAGGGGGTCTTACGCTTCCTCTCTCACCTGCGCCGGGTCCGTCAGCGCCGCGGTCGCCATCAGAACCTGTACTTGGGGACGCGCAGAAAGCGACGGATACGCGGACGTCCCGGCTCCGGGCCTCAGTCTCTCCGTCCGACTAGGGCACAGACGCCCAGGACGCCGTCTCCCCTGCCGCCCGGGGGTCGGAGAGCACGTGACGCGGGGCACCGCCCCACAGCCCGCAGGGCGGCCCAGGCTACACCCGGAGAAACCGAGGCTCGGGGGGCGCGACCGTCGCCCGCGACCACGGCGTGCGCCTAGCGGCCCTCCGCTCGTGCCCTCGTCGCGGCCCTCGCCTCGGGTCTCCAAGGCTCCTGGAAGGCCGACCCGGACCCGCCGCGCTCCAGTCCCCAACACCGGTGTGGCCCCACGCCCCGCAGCAAAGTGACAGTCCCGGACGCCGGAAGTCCAGCCCCCGCGAGCCCTCATTGGCCCAGTGCGCGCCGCGGACGCACGCGCGGCGCCTTCTGGGAAGCGTAGTTCCCGCCCGCTCTGCGGCCGAGCGGGCGGAGCCCTTTCCGACATCCGTGGCAACGGCCAGGCGGCTCCGCGCAGCGCGCTGGGAAACGGAGTCCCGCGGGCGCGCCCGCGCTTTCGGGGGCCGGTGCGCCTGAGGTGGGGAGTCGCCTGGCTGGGCGTCCTGCGCTCGGGGCCCTGGGACCCCGGCCTGCGCCCAGGCGGCCCCGAGGCTCAACGCTGGGCTCGCAGAAGCGGAAACCGCTGACGTCCCTGGAGGCGACCCTAGCCTGGGGCTTCAAGGACAAAGCCCAGCGGGAGGGGCGGGCTCAGACGGGTGTCGCTTTGGGAGCGAGCCCGGGAGTGCCGACCCCAGCTCCACCTCTGGAGGCCTGTGCTCGGGTTTGGCCTCTTTGTGGCCTGTGAAGGGTTGACATCAGTTTTGCAGCCCCTACACCAAGAGGTGCAAGCCCCCAGCTTCAAGTTCTCTGGAGTCTGAATTGTTCTCTGAGACGTCCCTAAACCACCTGTTTTCCTTGCTAAAGCGGACCGCGCACAACGTACTTTCCCAGATTGGCTTGTCTTGGGTCGTCTAGGTGTTGCTGGCACATCACGGTATCGACTCCTTCGTCCTTTTTCCCTGGGACAACCTGAGTGTCTGTCACACATAAAAGCCAGAAGAAGGCAGTCTCAATGCACTCGGACGACCGCTGGCAGAGAATAAGAGTTTCCCTTTGTTGCTCCACGGTGACGGTTTCTGGTTTTTCAGGGCCCTTAATCTTCATACATAGGTGGTACAATAATGTTACCCAGTGCATGTTACCCACTGTTTTAAGGAAATATGGAATTAATTGTGTCAAGTTCGTTCATTCTTTCTGCCTGCCTTCCTCCCTTCCTCCCTCCTTATATATGCACCTATCTCAGCCATAACTGTCCTTAGAATGTAAATCCTCGAGATGCACGAGAGCACATCAATTTTGGAATATTCGTGTGTAAATATTGCTCACTTTGAAAGCATTTAAGAAAATCTAACATTAAACTTGTGATTTAATCAAAAGTTTAGGCATTAATATTTCAAGCACTGTTTGAATGTTTGGAGACAATTTCTTAAAAACTTCTTTTTTGGGGGGGCTCCTGAGTGGCTCCGTCGTTAAGCGTCTGCCTTCGACTCAGGTCATGATCCCGGGGTCCTGGGATCGAGCCCCTCATCAGGCTCTCTGCTCCGCAGGAAGCCTGCTTCTCCCTCTCCCACTCCCTCTGCTTGTGTTCCCTCTCTCACTGTGTCTCTCTCTGTCAAATAAATAAATAAAATCTTTAAAAAAATTTTTTTAAAGCACTCATAATTGGAGTATTTTTATTTTATGTACAATGAGTTGGCATTAAAGTAGGTATCTTGGATATCTGCAGTTAAGGTAAGTTATCCTGGACGACCAATTCAAGGAAGTTCACTTAATCCAACTTAATGAAGCCTATATCCTTCGCGTACTGACGGAAACGCCGACGCCACATATTGAGGCCGTATTTCCGGATCAGACCGTGCTGGTTTGAGCTGACGCGGCAAGAACGAGAACCCTGGCCAAATTTCCTCGGATGGCTCCAGTACAGCTGCTGTGACCCATCTTGCTCTCTCAGATACAACGAGGCAAAAGTCTTAAAAACTTCTTATTTAAAAATTATCCCTGGGGCGCCTGGGTGGCTCAGATGATTAAGCGTCTGCCTTCGGCTCAGGTCATGATCCCAGGGTCCTGGGATCGAGCCCCGCATCGGGCTCCGTGCTCTGCGGGAAGCCTGCTTCTCCCTCTCCCACTCCCCCTGCTCGTGCTTTCTCTCTGTCAAATATAAATAAAATCTTTTAAAAATAATAAAAAAATAAAAAAACATAAAATTATCTCTATAATGTGTAATTAGACTAGAGGGATCTTGTTTGCCTAATATTTAGAGAAATGCTAATTGGTTGATAAATTCATAATGTAATGAATTGGAAATGAAATAAAAATGGCAACAAGTCTTCCTCTGTACACAAAATAGCTCCATATCCCTGGCTCCAATATCCCCTGAACAAGATTGTACTTGTTCTACTTGTGGGGTGCGGGTGGGGGAAAGGGGGGCTGTTGTCTGGGGCAGGTGGTTGGACCCTAACCACCCTGGTTGGATCTCTGAAGAGTCCAGGTGGGTTCTTTGTGAAATGCAGGCAAGCCTCTTATCAGGGGATACGTTCTTACAGGCCTCACCGTCCACAGCTAGGGAGATGCAAGAATTATTCCCTCCCAACTCTGTGAGAGAAAGGTCTACACTGTTTCAAATTGGCAGCATCAAATGAGATGTTAGTAATTCTTTTGTATCTGGTGTTTCCAAACCCACATGCTTCAAACTTGCATAAAATCTATGCACATGTCCAGCTGGATGCAGAATGCAACATGGAGGGGCACACCTGGGTGCCTCAGTCAGTTAAGTATCTGACTTCAGCTCAAGTCATGATCTTGGGGTCCTGGGATCAAATCCCATGTTGGGCTCCCTTTCCCACTCTTCCTCTCTCTCAAATAAATAAATAGAATCTTTAAAAAAAAATGCAACATGGAGGAAGAGGAGTCAGAGCTTAGGCCCAAGGTAGGTCAGGGTGACCTGAGTTTGCAGCTGGGTTCCTCTGACTAACCTGTGTGATCTTGGGCCCCGAGGTCCCCTGTCTGTGATTTTAGTTTCTTCATATCTAAAGTACTGGACTCAGAATGCACAGTGTGGGGTTTTTGGGAGTATCAACATTCAGCTCCCGGCCCAGGCTGCCTTGCATTAATGTTGGGCACCTCTGTGACTTGTGGAAAACCCCACACCTGTCTTGGGCCACACCCCTAACAGTGTTACAGCCCTCCAGACCTGGGAGTCAGAAAGTGCCTCTAGCCACCAGCATCCTCTCACACTCCATCCTAGCTCAGAGGGTTCCATTCTTGACTTCCATCAGTACGCAAAGGATATAGGCTTCATTAAATTGGATTAAGTGAACTTCCTTGAATTGGTCATCTAAGATAACCTACCTTAACTGCAGATATCCAAGATATCTACTTTAATGCCAACTCATTGTACATAAAATAAAAATACTCCAATTATGAGTGCTTTTAAAAAAAAAAGTGTTTTTTTTTTTAAAGATTTTATTTATTTATTTGACAGAGAGAGACAAAGTGAAAGAGGGAACACAAGCAGAGGGAGTGGGAGAGGGAGAAGCAGGCTTCCTGTGGAGCAGAGAGCCCAATGCGGGGCTCAATCTCAGGACCCTGGGATCATGACCTGAGCCGAAGGCAAAACCTCACTTGCTCCTGCCCTACCTTTCATCTCTCAAGGCAGCTGGCTTGTGGAGTGGGCGGGGATGAGGAAGCTGGTACTGCTGGCCATACCTCAGGTGTCTAGCCTGCCCAGGCCGGGCTTGGAGTTGCCAAGTGTTCCAGGTGGGTGCTCCTATTAGAAGGTTGCCTCATGTTCTAGATGTTCCAGGGCTTATCCTGACAGACTGGGTGTCTTTGTTCATAGGTCTGGATGGCCTTAAATTGTTGTGGGCATAAGACATTTGTAAAGAACATAGAGTTGTTATTAAAGAAGGGAAATTTGTCATACTTTGTGATCTACTTTGAAATACTTAAAAATAATATATTGTATTGTTAGTATTCATTTTCTTAACTCTGAAAATTCAGAAATCAATTTTTTTGAAAAAAAGTTGTTTGAAAAGTAACTGTTAGAAACTAAGTTAAAGATTTGATCCTGGCAATTGTAGAACTTCACATTTGGCTCTGTAGAGTCTTCTAATTGTTGGCTAGGTCTTTGCTTCCTCTTGTGTATACAGCCCTCTATTAAATATTTTACTATGAAGTATATTTAGGTATTTCCTGGTGGCTGTGCATAGGTATTTGTTCTATTGAGAGTTTTTTTTCCCCCGTCTCAATACGGATTCCCCAATTCTCTGTCACCAACTGGCTGTACAACAGTTCGATTCAGTTGTGACACAAACTGCCCAGAGTCAACACAGATCCCACAGATTTAGGGTTCAGTCCCACAAGAATAGCCCCACTTCATATGCCAGCCACAAGTGGGGTGCCCAATCTACTCACATTTCTGCCTAGCACACTACTAACCTATGGTTCTCACATCCCCACGGTCCCGCCCTAGGTTTGGTAATTCATTAGAACAAATCACCGAACTCAGCAAAGTGTTTTATTTACTATTCCCTGTTTATTGTAAAGAATGCAACTTAGAAACAGCCCAAGGGAAGGGATGCAGAGGGCAAGGTATGAGGGTGGGGATGTGGGCAGGGCTTCCTTCTCAGTGCACACCACAACCCCAGCACCTTGATGTGTTCATTACCAGGAACTATGAGAGATTTTATGGAGTTTCAATTATTGATGAAATCATTGAGCATTTGAGATTAAAGCCCATCCAGCCCCCTCTCCCTTCCCCAAAGGTTGTAAGTAAAACTTGGGGGTAACCCTGTGGTCACAGGCTTGATTCCTCTGGCAACCATCCCCTATCTTGAAGGCCCCTTTCTGACCCAAGTCACCTCATTAACATAAATTCTGGTTTGGTTGAAAGGGCAAGTGAGGTTCTGGTTCCTGCAGCAGTCAAGAATGAACCCTCTGAGCTAGGATGGAGTGTGAGAGGATGCTGGGCTAGAGGCACTTTCTGACTCCCAGGTCTGGAGGGCTGTAACACTGTTAGGGGTGTGGCCCAAGACAGGTGTGGGGTTTTCCACAAGTCACAGAGGTGCCCAACATTAATGCAAGGCTGTCTGGGCCAGGAGCTGAATGTTGATACTCCAAACAACCATGAGCTTTTTTTTCTTTTTTTAAAGATTTTATTTATCCATTTGACAGAGAGACACACAGCAAGAGAGGGAACACAGGCAGGGGGAGTGGGAGAGGGAGAAGCAGGCTTCCCGCTGAGCAGGGAGTCCGATGCAGGGCTGGATCCCAGGACCCTGGGATCATGACCTGAGCCGAAGGCAGACACTTAACCACTGAGCCACCCAGGTGCCCCCCCCCCTTTTTAAGATTTTATTTATTTGGGCGCCTGGGTGGCTCAGTTGGTTAAGCGACTGCCTTCGGCTCAGGTCATGATCCTGGAGTCCCGGGATCGAGTCCCGCATCAGGCTCCCTGCTCAGCGGGGGGTCTGCTTCTCCCTCTAACCCTCTTCCCTCTCGTGCTCTCTGTCTCTCATTCTCTCTCTCTCTCAAATAAATAAATAAAATCTTTAAAAAAAGATTTTTTTTTATCTTTAAAAAAAGATTTTATTTATTTATTTGAGAGAGAGACAGAATGAGTAGTGGGGAAGGGCAGAGAGAGAGAGAGAGAGAGAGAAGCGGGCTCCCTGTTGAGCAGGAAGCTTGATGTGGGGCCTCAATCCCAGGACCCAGAGATCATGACCTGAGCTGAAGGCAGACGCTTAACAGACTGAGCCACCCAGGTGCACCCCCCCCCCTTTTTTTAAATAGTCCAAAGGTTGATATCTTTTTTGGTTTCCTTTTTTGCTTTTGCTTTTTGGGGTTTTCCTTTTTGGAAGGGCTTTTATTTTTATTATTTATTTATTTAATTGTTAAGTAGGCTCCATGCTCAGTGCAGAGCCCAATGTGGGGCTTGAATTCACAACCCTGAGATCAAAACCTGAGCTGAGATCAAGATTTGGCTGCTTAACTGGCTGAGCTATCCAGGCACCTCTGAAAGGGGCTTTTATATTTTTATTTTTTAAGATTGTATGTATGTATGTATGTATGTATTTGTCAGGCAGAGAAAGAGAGAGAGAGAGCACAAGCAGAAGGAGTGGCAGGCAGAGGGAGAAACTGGCTCCCCTCTGAGCAAGGAGCCCAATGCGGGACTGGATCCCAGGACCCTGGTATCATGACCTGAGCCCAAGGCAGCAGCTTAACCAACTGAGCCACCCAGGCATCCTTATCAGGTATTTCCAATGCAGTTCCAACAACCCATCTCTGGAATTTAGGATTCTCAACTCTTTATTCTTTTTTTTTTTAAGATTTTATTTATTTATTTGAGAGAGTGAGAATGAGAGAGAAAGAGAGCATGAGAGGAGGGAGGGTCAGAGGGGGAAGCAGATTCCCTGCCAAGCAGGGAGCCCGATGCGGGACTTGATCCCAGGACCCCTGGATCATGACCTGAGCCGAATCCCAGGCACCCAGGATTCTCAACTCTTAACAAAACATGCATTAAAAGGGAAGACTTCAGGGACGCCTGGGTGGCTCGGTCGGTTGAGCAGCTGCCTTCGGCTTGGGTCATGATTCCGGGGTCCTGGGATCCAGTCCCGTGTCAGGCTCCTTGCTCGGCAGGGAGCCTGCTTCTCCCTCTGCCTGCCTCTCCCCCTGCTTGTGTTCTGTCTCTCAAATAAATAAATAAAATCTTAAAAAAAAAAAAAAAAGGGAAGACTTCAGGAGCCTGAAGAACCATCAAAGAGGCCTCACCTTATCGTTTTAATTACAATCAACAATAAAAGGTTGGCTCATAAACAGTAACTGAAATTTGCTTAGTGTGTATTTATTCACCTTTTAATTTTTTCGAGGGTTATTTAAATGAGTGAAGGAATGAAATCATACTGCTAGCTAATTTTCATCCCTAGCCTGATCCGTTTGGTCTCCCTGTACACCAGAGAGCCAAAACACCCCACAATGTTGTAATTTAACAATAAACACTGCATGTTCATTAACACCATACCAAGTATTAGGATTAGGTGTTTAACATGCTTTATCTCATTTAATATATTTTTTTTAAGTTTTATTATTTGAGAGAGAGAGAGAGTGCGAGCGAACAGGGTGGAGGGGCAGAGAGAGAGTCCCAAGCAGACACCACGCTGAGTATGGAGCCAGACACAGTGCCGATCCCAGGAGCCTGAGATCATGACCTGAGGGAAAATCGATAGTTGGATGCTCAAGCCACTGAGCCACCCAAGTGCCCCTGTGTTATCCCATTTAATTTAATCATCACAACATCCTCATGCATCGTTATCCCCATTTTACAGTTGAAGGAAATTTCTCTAAAGTTCAACTAGAGACCACGCTATTCCAAAACTTTTCATGGAATTGTGTAAGATGAGCTGGTTTCGAGTTCTAGGCTCAGCCACGTATAGCTTCAAAATAGGGGAAGGAGAGGGGGAAGATGCCCAACGGGATCCAAGCGCCGTTGGAAGGATTAAACCTCACCATGGTAGTGGAAGCTCTTGGCAAACTCTCCCTTCCTTACCAGGTGCTAAACAAAACTAGCTACCCCGCTGAAGTACGGGAGTTGATTCAAAGTTGACCCCTCACAGCTTAGAGAAGTTGCACGTGGTGCTTCCAGGACCTCTGATTTGGGAGACGACCGCCTCGAAGAGGCCTTTCCTCAACCCCGGCGGGGCTCGGGGTCACAGCCCCCGGGCGCCGAAGGCTCCTAGAGGTCCCTGGCAGACGGAACTCGCGACGGGCGCTGAGGCGCAGGCCCGCGGAGACCTCGATCTCCCTCTCCTGAACATCAGCAATGGGGACGTGGGCGTAGGCGAGGTTGATTTGAATCCTGGGTTCCACACCAGCCTTAGCGATCCCCGAAAAGAACCCAAAAAAGGGAGCCGAGTTTTCTCATCCAGCTTTCTACTCTCTCCCACGGGGGTTGGTCTTCCTCCCACTTTGGGCCGGGACTCCTCCACTCTCCCGCCTCTTTGGGCCACGCGCACACGGCGCTGCAAAGCACCCCCGACCACAGCAGTGGGGACCCTGAGGCTTCCCGAGTTCTAACCTCGAGCGGGGCCGTGGAGGTCTAGCCCCGGGCCGGGCTGTCTAGACGGCGTCCCGGGAGTGAGCCGAACCCGGAGCCTCCCGCTTCCCAGCCCCCGCGCCAGGAGCGCGCGCTCAGCATCCCTGCGATCCCGCGGCCCCGCCACCCCTCGGAGCGCGTGCGCCTCGGCCGGAAAGTCACGCTGGGGGAGCGCAGATGCCTGCAAGGGGCTTTTAATCAATAGCGGAAGACACTCCCACGACTCAGGAAATCCCAAGAGTTTTAGGAGCGCTGTGCCAGAAATCAGGGACGGAGACCAAATATATACTTGTTATTATACCGTATCTGTAATAGTATGTCTGCCTTGAATATTTTTCTCTTGATTTCTATGAAAAAGAGACTGAATGTGGGGGATTTAGCCAGGAATAGGAGGAAGAACAAGCAGGTGGGGGAGGGGGAGCCAGCCGGCTGCGCATGGGATAGGGAGAAGGATTAGCCCAAGCGCTCAGACCAGATCCCCTCCTACCAGGGAACAACTAGGACAGTCAGATGACCAGATGAAGGGTTACTTACATGGGGCTCTGCAATGACAAAACTGGAAAATTGAGTCATGAGTTTGAAAACAATCCATGGATTGGGGCAGTCCAGTGCCTCACAAGCAGGGAGGCACCCTGCCCAAGGGATCTGGGGGCCCCGATAAGTGAATTATTATGGCCTACCGTGTTGTAGATTAGATACTCTGTCAGCTTTCCACACGTGTTCACTCATTTCTCTCTCGTGACCCCTGTGAGGAGGGTGCTGTTGTTGCTCCTGTCTCTGGGCCTTTCCCAAGACCCTTGAGGTAGGAATAGTGTGGCTGCAATACCAGCCTGCTCTGGAGTCCTCTGGCCCAGGTTCCAGAAGAGCCGACTGGGCCCTGAGGGAGCTGTGAGGGAAGCCCCAGGCGGCCGAGGCCTCAGAGGAGAGAAGTCCAGGTGGGACGCGGCCCGTAAGTGCTGCCCGGTGTGCTGTGGGCCTGACGTGAGCTGCAGCAGGTGGTGCCCCCGAGGCTGCGTGAGCCATGGAGTCTCTGGGCATTGCGGTGCCGATTCCAATTTGGCAATCTTTTCCCACAGCGGGCCATGCATGTGATTATCTTCCAGGAACTGGTCGTTCCTGTTGTCACTGTTTCTCTGCCCTGTGGGGCCTAAGGAACCCCATGTGTGCCCCGAGGAACCGCAGCCCCTTTGTGGCACCCGTGTGCACTCAGATCTGTGCCCACCGTGGTCCAGTCTGCGCCCCCGAACAGAGCAGGTTCTTAGTTTCTTTCACTCGCTTGCACCTCACTTGTACCTTTCAGGAGAGACTCTGGCCAGCAAAGGAGCCGATCTGTGTGAGCATAGCAGCAGAGACCCAGGCTGGCCACCCCTGCTTTCGCCCAGGCCGACCTTCCCCTGGTGCACACAGTAGATTCCATATCGTCTGACAACTGGTACAAGGCCCATTCTCCCGCCCTACACACAGTAGGTCCTTTTTATCTTAAGGCTGTTGTAACCTCTGGTACCAGAGACAGCCTAGATAGAAGGTTGGAGTGGATGGATGAAGCAGCAGAGTATGACGCTGGCCACTCCCACTGGGACCAAGTGCTCCTCCCATGTCTCGTCACATCCATTTAGACCTTCTGGACCCTGCTCTCCAGGCTTCCCTGGGCTTCTGTGCCAAGCTGCTCATTGCCTGGTGGCAGCCTAAGCCTCTATACTTCTCTTGTATGTGTGATGCTGTGAGTGGGTATTAAGTGGTGGTCATTCCCCTGAGGAGGAGTATTGCATTCCTGTGTACCCAGTTCAAGCGGCCCCGAGTAGTGTGTCATTGCATTTCCTAGCAGACAAAGCTAGCATCTGGGATGTGGACTGAAGAACTCCTCTCAATCAACAAAATACCACATGCTGAGGATGCATGGGGTGGGGTGCAGGGACATGTGGTTGACTAGAACCTGGGTCTTTGGATCCCAGAGCTTGGACTGTAGAGTGAGAGGTGGCCACTGACAGGCTGTGTGGCCTGGGGCAGGTCCCTTGAACCACCCGTCTCCTGTGGATTGGTTTCCTTCATTGTAAAGTGGCACTGATTATTGCGCCCACCTTGAAAGATGTTTGTGGAGATTAAACCAAAAAAGTGCAGGAAAGGACCCCACACGGGTTACCTGTTGTCTCTGAGATTGGCATCGTGGCTCTAGCGGTCAGTAAGAGCCTATTTCTTCATCTGCATGTCCATCCCACCTCAAAGTGTCATTGAATGGGATCATCGTCAACAACAGGAATAAAATGGTACCTGACAACCCTCATGGGGTCCCTTGGGGCCAGACCAAGGCCGGTACTTCTCACTTGACAGTCTGTCTCCTCATCACATCTCACAAGGTGGATTGTAGTCTTGTTCCCACTTCATGGTGAAAGAAACCCTGGCTGAGAGAGGTGCTTTAGCCACGAATTATTTAGCCAACCCCATCATTGCCAATATCAAGGGCAGAGATTAAAAGATCTCACTGTGGATCTGGAGATTTACAGGTTCACCAGCACCTTATACAAATCCCTGCTTCTTCAAGCCCAGCCAGCTTGGGGCATTCACAGTTTTTGCTGTTACATTTGCAAGGACTAAAACATAATTCATTGAGTTTCTACCCTGGGGGGGGGCGAATACAAAAAGTAAATAATTATTATTAATTTGATAGATCAGACACATATTTTTTCTTTTTTTTAGGTAAACTCTATACCCAACATGGCACTCAAACTCATGACCCTGAGATCAAATTGCATGCTCCACTCACTGAACCAACCAGGCACCCCAGATCATAGACATTTTTTTCTCTCTCCCACCCTGATCACACACATACTTTATTCTTATTTCATTCAGTTGATCTTTCTGCTTTTTCTTGTTCCATACCACTCTAATTAGCATAGCTTAGTAATAAGTTTTAATATCCGATAAGGAATTTTCTCCTTACTTTTATTTCAAAACATGCTTGGCTAGTTGTCTTAGTCTGTTTGGGCTGCTGTAACAGAATGCAGCTGACTCAATGGCTTATAAACCATAGACATTTATTTCTCACAGTTCTGGAGGCTGTGAAGTCCAAGATCAAGGCACTGGCAGATTCCGCATCTGGTGAGAGCCTGCTTCCTGGTTCATAGATGGCCATTTTTTCACTGGGTTCCTATGTGGTACAAGGGGCAAAGGAACTTTCTCAGGCCTCTTTTATAAGAGCACTACTTTCATTCATGAGAGCTCTGCCCTCATAATCTATTCACCTCCCAAAGGCCCATCACCAAATACCACCACACTGGGGATTAGATTTCCACATGAATCTGGTGGGGACACAAGAATTCAGACTGGAGCACCAGTCAAGTGTCAGAACTCTCCCCAGTTCTACCTTCCCTCTCCCCACAAAAACCCCCCGCTGTTTAGGAAGAGCAGTGAAAGGTGGTAGAGGGCACCATGCTTTTGTCATGTTCTTTTAGAGTGGCTTGTTGCCGGAATCCCTGTAGTGGGTGGTGGACACCCTTGTGGGTGGACCATGAATCCCATGAATAACAGCTCTTGGCCTAGGGAATAAATCATGCCTGGCACATAAGCAAGTGAGTTTTCGAAATACAATCAGATGCTATAGTGACGGCTCAGATGGTGAAGTTTCTTCAAGACGACTAAGTCCACAGGGTCTTCTTGTTCCATCTTTCCCTGACGGTTCATGTTAAGTGCCCCACCCCCACCCCTTGCCTGTTTGGGCCTATGCTTTCAGGTTTAATGGTTCAAGATGAGTTTTTCTCTTTCAGCAAATGAGTCATGATGATAAACAGTGTTGGTAACAAGAGGCATCTCATGGTCATCTCCCTCCTCCCTCTTTGGCTCTTTTCTCTAGACTGTGCTTATCCCTGGTGAAGGTGCTCTGAGGAGACATGGACATGGTTCCTGGCTGCCCTGTAGTGGGACCCCGGCTGAGTTAGTGTCTCCTTTTTTTTTCCAAGTACAATTTTTTAATAAAGATAATTACAAAAGATGGAAAATCAGCTCAGAAAGGCCAATTACTTCTTTAATAGATCAGTTTTTGACATAATAACTCACATCAATTTTAAATACTATCACATAAAGCATGGTGGAGAAAAGAAATTTCGCTTCATAATTAGAAAACTCACAATAAAACTTGCCAAGAAAAACAAAAACAAAAAAAGCCATTTTGAAAATAAATACAGTCCATGCCAAAGTAGTATAAAATGAAGCCAGAAGTCTTCAAAAAGAAAAAATTTTTCTTCCCAATATTTTCTCACTCTTTCATGGTTTCTGAAATTGGTGAGACATGCCACCTATCCAAGCAAGGCCAAGCAGAGCCTCATGGGTTGGAGCCATGGGCCGGGTCTCGCTGTGGGAGGTTGGATGGCAGGAGGCCCATAGGGAGGAACTTCTAAGGAAGAGTGTGGGGGGGCACCTCTGGGAAGGGTGGGCTAGGCAGAAACTTCTGGGAAGGGAATGGGGTGGGGAGACCTTCTGGGAAGGGTGGGGGGAGTTCTGATCATAGCTTGAGAGGGCGGATTTGAAGGGATAGCAGATGTGGTAGGAGGGGAGATCTCCAGGGTGTGTTTAGTGCTGGGGAAGAGGATGGGCAGACCTGGCAAACTACTGCAGGGGCAGGACAGGGTGGGTGGGGCCTTCACAGAGTGGGAAGCGGGATGGAGCACATACACATGGCCAGACACTTGTTCAGATGGTGTTAGGTATCGCCGAGACCATGGAAAACACAAGGCTCCTGTGAAAATGAACTGCCTCCTTGAGCACCCATGGCCCATTAGGAGAGGGGTCTACCCATAGGCATCTGCCATTGTGGGAGGAGGCTGTGGCCTGTGCAGACCCCAGAAAAAGCCCTCGATTCCCCAACAGATGGTGCCCACTTGAGGGGAATTGGAGTTGGTGATGGGCATGGGTTGGTGGGACTTCCTAGGTGTGGTTCCAGGTGGTAAACAGGATTATGTGGATGAACATCTGTTAATTTAGAAGTTATCTATTTTAAGGTGACCTGAAACAATGTTTATTATATGATGTGAAGCTTGCTTTAAAATTAATGTATGGTGGGGCGCCTGGGTGGCTCAGTCGTTAAGCAGCTCAGGTCATGGTCCCAGGGTCCTGGGATAAAGCCCCGCATCGGGCTCCCTGCTTGGCAGGAAGCCTGCTTCTCCCTCTCCCACTCTCCCTACTTGTGTTCCCTCTCTCACTGAGTCTCTCTCTGTCAAATAAATAAATAAAAAATCTTAAAATAAATAAATAAAATGTACGGGCTTTAAAATTAATAGGGCTCTGCTCAGCACAGAGTCTGCTTAAGACTCTCTTTCCCTGGGGAGCCTGGGTGGCTCAGTCACTGGGTGTCTGCCTTCGGTTCAGGTCATGATCCCAGGGTCCTGGGATCGAGCCCCGCATCGGGCTCCCTGCTCGGCGGGAAGCCTGCTTCTCCCTCTCCCACTCCCCCTGCTTGTGTTCCCTCTCTCTGTGTGTCTCTCTCCGTTAAATAAATGAATAAAGTCTTAAAAAAAAAAAAAGACTCTCTTTCCCTCTCCTTCTGCCCCTCCCCCAACCCCACATGGGCGCGCGCTCTCTTTCTCTAAAAAAATAAAAGTCAAAAACAAAGCTGATGCCCCGAGGAGTGTTTGGGTCCACTGATCTAGGGCACAGTGTGTGTCCAGCCCACTGTCCTCACAAGGAGACCTGGCCCCTCCTGGCAAGGGAGGGGCAGAAGGAGAGAGAGAGAAGCAGATTCCCCACTGAGCAGGGAGCCTCAGACGCAGAGTGTGCCTCAGAGCAGACGCCCAACTGACTGAGCCACCCAGGCGCCCCTAAAGATTTTTTTTTTGACAGAAACAGCAATGCACCCCCTAGAAATAAATCTTTTTTAAAAAGTTATTAACTATAGGGGCGCCTGGGTGGCTCAGTTGGTTAAGCGACTCCCTTCGGCTCAGGTCATGATCCTGGAGTCCCGGGATCGAGTCCCGCATCGGGCTCCCTGCTCAGCGAGGAGCCTGCTTCTCCCTCTGACCCTCTTCCCTCTTGTGCTCTCTGTCTCTCATTCTCTCTCTCTCAAATAAATAAATAAAATCTTTAAAAAAAAGTTATTAACTATAGGGGTGCCCGGGTGGCTCAGTTGGTTAAGCGGCTGCTTTCGGCTCAGGTTGTGATCCCAGTGTCCTGGAATCGAGTCCCACATCGCGCTCCCTGCTCGGCGGGAAGCCTGCTTCTCCCTCTGCCTGCCGCTCCCGCTGCTTCTGCTCTCTCCCTCTCTGACAAATAAAATCTTAAAAATAAACAAATAAAAGTTATTAACTATAATAGGGGAGTAACTCTTAAAATCCTAGGGCTGAGAGATGCCCAAAGTAAGAATAAACTTTCAAGTGGGAGCTCTCTCCTCAAGGTTGGGGCTCAGACTTTGTTGGGGAATGGGTGTTTGCAGCATACTGGGTGGCAGAGAAACTCTCTGGGTTGCCCAAGCCAAGCAGGAAACACCTTGGTGTGGTGGTGGGCCAAGGCGCTAAGGGGGTACACGGGGGGAGTTCAGGTGCCGCAGGTACAAGGCCTACAGCTGTATCTGTTGGAAGAGACATTGGGAAGCTGCTAGCAGGGTACCTTGGGGTGCATGGTATCCACATCAGGAGGATACCGTGGTGAGGTGGTTACTAGGCCGGGCCAAGGCTTTGAGCTAGCCGAGAATGCCTACTCTGGGCAGTCTTCCACATGTAGCACTGCTGTGGTAGTAGGTGGAAGAGAAACAGGAAGGCACCTTGTAGTTTCCCTCCAGTGCCCTCTACTGACAAAGCTTAATATGTTGACTGCAAAGGAGAACCGACTACAAGGTCCAGCCCGTTAATGCAGACAGGTAATGATATGGAGCAGAGAGGCAATACATTGATAACTGCAGTGGGCTTGGGCTGTTTTCTGATTTTTTCGCTTTTATAAATAGTTGCTCTAAATGTTTCTGTACATGTCTTTTGGCGCTCATAAGCATTCATTTCTTTTTTTTTTTTTAAGATTTTATTTGAATGAGAGACAGAGTGATCGAGTGAGCAGGAGGAAGAGCAGAGGGAAAGGGACAAGCCGACTCTGTGCTGAGCGTGGAGCCCGACCATGGGGCTCCATCTCACAACCCTGAGATCATGACCTGAACTGAAACAAGCATTCATTTTTGTTGGGTGCATACCCAGGAGTGGAATTGCTCAGGTAAGAGTATACATAGATTTAGCTGTAGTAGATACTGCTAAGGTTTTCCAAAGTCATTATTTGCTTCATTTCTTTTTTTTTTTTTTTTTTTTAAGATTTTATTTGACAGAGAGAGACACAGCGAGAGAGGGAACACAAGCAGGGGGAGTGGGAGAGGGAGAAGCAGGCTTCCTGGGGAGCAGGGAGCTCAATGCAGGGCTCGATCCCAGGACCTGGGATCATGACCTGAGCTGAAGGCAGATGCTTAACGACTGAGCCACCCAGGTGCCCCTCGTTTCTTATTTTTAAAAATTTTATTGAAAAACACTATCACCGTTTTATTCCACACTCCAATTCATCACTGGATGCAGGCCAGTTTTATATTTTTGGCCATGAGCAGTACTAAACCCATTAATAATACATGGTTGTATTGAGTTTTCTATGCTGTTTAACAAATTGCCACAAACTTAAAAGTTAAAACATCCATTTATTAGCTCACCGTTCTGTAGGTCAGACATCCGGGAGACATTGGCTGGGTTGTCTGCTCAGAGTATCGCAAAGCTGAAATCAAAACGTTGGCTGGGCTAGGCTCTTATCTGGAAGACCTGGGAATTATCTGCTTCCAAGCCCATTCAAGTTGTTGGCAGATTGCAATACTTTGTGGTTGTAGGACTGAGGTCTCCGGTTTCTTTGCTGGCTGTTAGCCAGGGGTTGTTCTTACCTTCCAGAGGCCACAGTGTGACTCCCTCTATCTTCAAAGCCTGCAGTGGTGCATCAAATCTTTCTCATGCTTCAACTTTTGTTTTTTAAAGATTTTATTTATTTATTTTATTTGAGACAGAGAAAGAGAGAGGGAGAGAGAGCGAGCAAGAGCAGGTAGGAGGGGCAGAGGGAGAGGGAGAAGCAGACTCCCCACTGAGTGTGGAGCCCGATGTGGGGCTTGATCCCAGGACCCTGGGATCGTGACCTGAGCTGAAGGCAGACGCTTAACCGGCTGAGCCACCCAGGCGTCCCTAAAAAATATTTTCTGTTGGAGAACTGCTTGGTGTTGTGGGGGGAGGGGAAGACTTGGAATTGGCTCAAGGAATCCAGTGTTGTTTCAAGGCAAAAAGAAAACGAAAGTCCCATGCTCTCTAGATGCAACAATCCTACTTTGGGAGACCGAGTCTAAGGGAAATAGGCAGAGTCCCGCCCCAAGTGTATGCCTGGGAGCATGCATCACTGGTGATGCACTGGGTACCACAGGGGGAACAATGAACTATCTGGGCTTGGTAGGAAATGACGCTGCTGGACAGAAAACGGAATTTTTACCCAGGCATCAAAATACATTTTTAGTAACAGGGAAATGGGTGAGAAGAGCATGATATATACAGTAACTCCACAAGATGATTTATAAAATGCCCCTACGTGTGACTCCTGGAATAGTCACTGGCATGAGACAGTGGAACTCGGGGTCATTTCCCTTACCTTTGCTCTCTTGTATATTTCAAATTTGTCTAAGTGATCACAGACTACTTTTAAATCACATGGCCCCAGTGACATCCGTTTGTGGGCCCTTCCTCAGAGGCCACCCTCCTTGTTCATCCATACTTGCAAAGAAGTCCCCTTAGTGTCCACTCAAGCTGGGACTCAAGAGCTCAAAGGCCAAAGAGACCAAGGAAAGACATGGTGGCCGAGGAACAAAGGAGGCCAGGTGGCCAGGACTGCTGGCCCTTCTTGTGGGTCCAGCCGCCAGGCAAGAGTGGCACCGCTGATATTCTGACCAGCAGAAAGCAGAGATCAGAATTCTTATGCAGAAACTTCCCATTATAAAAGTGGGATTTTTAAAAAATCTCAAATGTGAAGGGTCATTAGTTTTCCATCTGCCTGCAAACAGAAGCAAAGCATGCTCTCCTGAGCTTTCAGCACCTTCCACACCAAGACATCAGGCCCAGAAGCTTCAGGAAGGGTGGAAAGGGGCAGTTTCTGAGCATCCACCTGGGGCCACTAAGGTCCCAGGAGTAGGGAGAGTCCTTAGCCTGTCAGCCTGCATCAGGTCACAGCTGCGGATCTCAGAGCTTGGAAGTCACCAGGCTTAGGCAGTGGGTTCCAAGCCAGGCCCCACCGGGCAGCTTCTTTTACTTACACCCAGGTGGCTGTTTTGGGGAGACTGACATGGGGCACGGGGCCCTCCTGGGAACTCTGATTCACAGACAGAGGCTGAGCAGCCCCGGGAAGGCTGGGACCAGAGCCCCGGGAACTGCGTCCAGGCCCTGGAGGCTCCAAGGCCCCCAAGATGAGGCCGCCTTCTCGAGCCACTCATGGGGCTTCGGGCCGGTGGCTCTTCCTGTGCATGACCAGCTGGGACTTCCAGTCGAAGCCACGGCCGCAGTCTCCACAGAAGTGGCGCCGCTGACCCGCGTGGCTCTTGCGGTGGATGACCAGCTGCGACTTCCAGCTGAAGCTGCGCCCACACTCCTCACATGCATAGCTCCGGGGCCCTGGGAGCACGCGCCGGGGGTGCCGGGGTGTGCCTGGCTCCCGGGAACCCTGTGGCAGCTTCTGAGCACCCCCGGTGGCCAGTACCGGGGCCCGTGTACCCTGCCCATCTGCGTGCATCCGGTGGTGGATGACAAAGACTGATTTCCAGTCAAAGCCTCGGCCACACAGCTCACAGGTGTAAGGCTTCCTCCGCGGGGCACCAGGCTCCAGCTCTGCTCCCAGCATTGCCCTGGCAGACACAGAGGCCCCAGACGGGCCCTCCCAGGTGACAGACCCCGGGCCCCGGGGGGGCTGGGCCTCTGGGCAGTGGGGCGGACCCTCGCAGTGGCTCTCACTCTCATCTCCTGGGGGAAGGAGAGGTGGCAGTCCCAGGTAGCCCAGTGCCCTTCACATTGGCCCACCCTCTCCCGCCAGGTGTGTGGGGGCAGACAAGCTCCCACCCCACCAGAGAACAGGTGGTTCAGGTCGCATGGAGGAGCACTCACCTGGGTGGAGGCTTCTTCGACCCTCTGTCCCTGTACGCATGGCCCCTGGCCCCGACTCAGCCCGTGCCTCCGGCGGGGGGGCTGGTATCCCTGCTGGGGTGAGGGACAGTCAGGGAGCAGTCCTGGCATGGGGGTGGGTGAGGGGCTCTTACATACTAGGGGCAGGGTGGGGGCCCCGGTGGGTGACACGGTGCCCCCAGGTAACGAGCGGGACCTCGGGTGAGCACTGGGAGACGTGCACAGGGAAGGGCCGGGCAGTGAGCCCTACAGCCAGTGGTATGCACACACCAAAGGAGGGGTCATGGCTGGTCCTCACCCAGGGAGACCACCGTGCCATACTTCTCCAGCATTGCGTCCCAGTACAGTTCCTTCTGTGACGGGTCCAGTAGCCCCCATTCCTCCTGTGGGGATATGGCCCATCACCCTTGGTGCCCGTCCACCCCCCATTCTCTGCCCCGCCCTGCAGTGCCCTACCCTGCCCGTGTCCCCTAGTCACAACCTTACTAATTACTTGAGGGAGCAGGCAGGTTACCTAAGGCTCTTTTGCTCGATAAGGATGAAGATGAGAAGGGTGTGTGAAAGTTGGGAAACAGAGCAGAGAGGAGCTGTCTTCCAGCTCACTGGGGGGATACTGTTAGCACCTGTCGCCCTCAGAAGTCCCACTCCATAGTCTAGCCAGACAGACTGGAGCTGAGAACCCCCTGATGGGTTCTGCGGGAAGCCTAGGTGGGGGCCCGATACGATTGTCCCCACCTCCTTGCCTTGAACAGTGTGCTGCATTGACAGCAAAAGGCCTGGGGACCCAAGGGGATCCAGCCACCTCTCCCCAAGCCTCTGGTTATAAAAGTAACAGAGATCCTCCTTGGGGGAGCTGCTGAAAGCTGTCAGCATTCCTAGATGTGGGGACCTGGCTGCGGGGAAGTTGAGGGCAGGAGGACTCTCATTAGGAGGTGCAGCCAAGCACCCCAGGGTTCAGATGTGTGTGAGTGGGGCGGTGGGCTGGCTCCTGCCTGTTGCCAGAGGGTGAGCTCTGGTGGTCGAAGCAGGACCCTTGTGGACTTTACCAGGGGATGCACTCCCTGTTCCTGGCTTCTGCTCCCCTTGCCTCCCAAAATCCCATCATCTGGGGCTTTGCTAGGGTGGGAAAAATAATCCTGACAGACAAACCACTGGAGGTCGAGGCACAGGGAGGAGACAGCCACATGAAGCCACAGCTGGAATGCTGTTGGCTGTAGATCAGGAGGCCTTGGAGGGTGTGGCCTGCCCACCCAGCTGTTTCCCACTGTGCCATCAGACTGTGGAGAGAGCCCGGAGGAATTTTTAGCCTCCAAGCACATCTCAACCAGCTCTTCCACCGGGAACGCTCCCCAGTGGAGTGGCTTAGGAGAAAAACTGCTGGGAGAGGATAGGAGCCCTGCTGTCCACACTCAGGAACCAAGCACTCCAGGTAGCAGGGGCCTCAGTGGAGCTTCCATGCCTCGCTGGCCACAATCCAGGGCTGGTTGGCCTTTGAGGAAAGCCCCAGGAAAGAGGAGGCTGCAGGCTATGGCCTAGCTATCTCCATTCTGATCTCTGGTGGGCTAAGGAGGCCACACTGTTGTGTGGTGCTCAGGCTTTCTTGCCAAGGTTCATCATCTTGACCCCTCCCCACGTGCACATGAGGGTTCAAATCCCCAAGTACCAGTTTAAGACTGCTGGGTGCTTCAAAATCCCCAATTTCTCTGTAAATGAGGAAGCCAACCCCTACCAGTTCCAGTCACTCCAAACCAGATCCCATGGCCTGAGGCCCAAATTTTCCCCAGTTTTAGAGAGACCACCAGCCTGTCCCTGTCCTGCAGGACCTGCAGGAGGGACCCTGATACCAACTCCATTTCCAGGCAGCAAAGAGCACAAGAGTTGCTAGCCAAGAAGCCTGAAAAACTAACAGAGCAGAGTGACCACCAAGGACACACTCCTCTTACTGGGTGCCTGCACCTCTCTCCTGGGGCTGCTTACCTGAATCCTGGGCGGGTGGAAGGACGTGGAGGCTGGTTCCCGGTGTCCAGGGTGCCCCTCGCGGGACTGGGCTGGATTTGGGGGGTTGGAAGGTGCTAGGAAATGAGGCAGATGAGGGTCAGGGGCCGCTCCTGTGAGCCATGGCAGGTGAGCTGGTGTTGGTGCCGCAGCCCTGGCCTTCCTCTGCCAGGAGGCAGGAGGCTACTGTGTGTGCCAGTCACACGGCAGGCAGCCCACCACTCCTTTCCTCCTGCCTCCTGGGACCCAGCTCTGCAGTCTGCAATCCTTCCTGAGTCCCCATCCCATCTGGGGCCATTCACATTCCCTCCGGGAGCCCCCAGACCTTGTGTGGCTCCCACTCTCACCCATCTCCTGCCCATCAGCATCTGGCTCCTCCTTCACACTGCAGCTAAGCTGGGCAGGCTTCTCCATGTGGGTGTCCTGTGAGGCCTCCCCAGAGGTCGCCCCGAGGAGCTCCACTGTCCCTGAAGGGTGGGAGCTCCCCAAGGACTCCTCTGTCTTCTGTGCTGCCGGGAGCACCACTTGCTTCAGGATATGGGCTGTGATCTGAAGGGAAGAGGAAAGTCACAGGGGCTCTAGTTTGGCTCCTGACCCTTCAAGAAGTCAACATTGGCCACACTCACCCAGCCCAGCAGCTGCCCAGGGTCATGCTGCAGGCCCTCGACCAGGGCTACAGCCTCCTCAGGGCTGCCTGGCCGCTGGCCCCGCACCCAGGCCTGGATCTCCGGAGGCAGTGTGCCCAGGAACTGCTCCAGCACCAGCAGCTCCAGCATCTGCTCCTTGGAGTGCGCCTCGGGCCGCAGCCACTGGCGGCACAGCTCCCGGAGCCGGGCCAGGGCCTCTCGGGGACCCGCCACCTCCTGGTAGCAGAATCCCCTGAAGCGCAGGCGTGCTGCCTCAGGCTCCTCCAGGATAGCCATGGGGTCCACAGAGGGCAGGCGTGGGGGGCCCAGTGGGGATGGCATTGTTGTACTGGGTGTCTTCTTGTAGCCAACAAGAGGGACCTGCAGGAAAGGAAGGGTCAGGGTGCGGGCTAAGAAGCCATGACCAGGGTAGAGCAGACAGGCCCAGCCCAGGGGGCTGAGGCTGGTTGAGGGAGGACCCTGGCCCAGGGATGCATGAGGCTGGGAACGCTTCCTGGAGGGGTCACAGGAGAGGGCCGCTGACAGGAACTGACGGCCGAAGGAAGCCTTGTGGATGAATGCTTTGGAGGCAAGTTGTCCAATGGAGCTTCCAGGAAACTGCAGGGGGTGATGAAGAGGTAGGCAAAAGGAGTCATCGCAGGCTTCCAGGGTCTGCCTCATGAGCCAAGGAAAGTGACAGGCAGGAGGCCGAGGGACAGGCAGCCAGGGACTGGGTGAGGCCATCACCCCCGGTGAGCGGGGGCAGTCAAGGTGGGAAGAGGCAGCAGTAGGATACGGGGCCATGCTGGGCTATGGCGGGGTGCGCGTCCCCATGATCGCCAGGACATCGGGACATGTTGACTCAAGTGGGCACCCGGGGGGCCGGCTAGAAGTACGAGGCACGTCTGTGCCATGGGTCGAGGCAGGGACTGTGGACGCGCTCGCTGACCACAGCGAACTGCGACTGACTCACACCGCCCGAACCAAGCATGTGAAAAGCAAAACAGAACAAAACAAAGCTACGAGTTGCGGACACCGTGGCCCGACCGTCAAGAGGGTCTGGAATGAAACAAGGCCACCTGGGGGGCCCGGCAGCCCAGCTAGAACCGGCCTGAGCCCCCGGAGTCCGTCTCCCAAAAGGGAGGGGCAAGAACAGCTCTCGCCAGAGGAAAGGGAACGCCGCGCTGGGTGGGAGGAACGGCCGGGCTGAGGCTAGGAGGTGGAGAGCGCAGGGCACGTCGGGAGGTAGGCGGACACTCCGGAGGGCGGGAGCACCGAGCGGCCGGGCTCCCGGGGAAGGAACGAGCCGCGCGCCCCGCCCAGCCGAGCCCGCGCTCACCTCCGCCGCGGCGCCGGCGCCAGGAAGCCCCTCCGGGTAAGGGGCCCCGCCTCCCCGCCCCTCCCCGCGTTGCCATGGCGACTGCGCCCTGGCCAATCACGCGCCTGCTGGCAGGACCCGCCCCCTCCCTTCGGACTACGTTTCCCGTGAGACTCAGCACGCAAGGACGGGCGCGGCCTCCGCCAGTGGACGCTCATTTCCAAAGGCCTCTCACGACTGAGAAGAGCTCCGGTCCTCCTAGGGAAATCTGAGGAGTCGCAGAGTTTGGGGGCTCCCTCCCCTCACCGGCGACCGCTCTTCCTCTGCATCCGACCCTAGACTCACCAACGGCCGTGATGGACGGTATGTTAGAATCCTGCGCATGTGCACAGTGGACCCGGCGCCTATTGGCAAGTGAGGTGAGGGGGGAGGAGCGTGACCTTACGGCCATTCAGAGCCAGCACCCCACCTAGGCCCCTCCCCAGCGCTCCTCTTGAGGCTTCGTTCTAGGCGCTGAGCAGTCCCCTTGGTAACCGCTAGAGGACATCCGCCCGCCTCCCTCTGTTTCCAAGGAAACGGCCAGAGCGTCGCCCGGTCCTCCTGGGAGGCCGGAAGTGACGGCCTGTGTAGTGTAGTTCGGCGGAGACTCGCCTCCAGGTGGTCCCAGGAGGAAGCAGGGTCCGGGCCCGGAAGTCCGGCCTAATCTGTAGACTTTCTCCGCCAACCCCGGGAAGGATTCCAGCGAGGACGGTGCTGGGGTCCTTCGTTCGACCTCTGCTGAGCGCCGTGAGGACGTCGAGAACAAGGACCAGGGTGGGCACTCATTTACACAGGAGGAAACTGTCCCATGATTTATATCCTCAGAGTCTCAGACATGTTTTCAGACGTCAGTACTGCGAAGTGAGGGATGAAGGTTTTTGTCCAGCTTATGGGACGCTGCTAACCTTTTACACTGGGTACCACAACTAGTACCAGTTATCTTCAGTTTATCTCAGTAGGCAAGAATCACACTGTGGGAAGGGGTGCTTCGCTTCCAGAAATCAAGTAGCTGAACCATGGCTCATTCAATCCTAAATTGCATACGCCTGTTTTGATTTCTTGTGATACCTAATACCTAGCTGCCAGCACTCAATGAAAAGCAGTGGTCTTACACACTGATTGGAAGCTCTGAGCGTCTGCATGGCTGGGGCCTGTCAACTCTTCTATATGTCATCAGACTGAGCTGTTTTGTGTGTGTGCGTGTGGGAGGGGGGAGGACTTAGATCGTTTCTCTGGAACTGTATGGATTCCCCAGAAATAACTCTTCCACCATCCACTCTATGGGGAGAGCTGGTGCTCTAATAGCTTTGGTAGCTCTCCCCAAGTCATCTTTGTTTTAAGTCTCCTCTCCCAGGGGGCTGCTGGTTTGCATGCCTTCTGGCGTTCTGCAGTATAAGCCTGGTGGGACCTCAATCCACTTCCCCCAGTGCCAAATCAGTATTTGGCTTTCTCTAAATCAGAGATAGATCCCACATCTGCATCTGCTTCCAGTTCCAGAATGCCATTGCTGTGGACCCGTTTCACCATCCTCATTCTTGTGGGTTCATATATTTAAACACTTTCATCTCTGTAGCTTCAGTGGGTTTTTGAACCAAATGAAATGCATGTGTTCACACCACCATCTTGCCCCAAAGAGCTCGAGAGCACTTTTACACTCAGCCTGTTCAGGATTAAGAGAAGGACTAGCCTGACAGGACAAGGCTCAACATGACCACAGAAGTTTAGGGGAGGGCAATGTAAGGCCCAAGAGAGGGGAAAGCAGGTAATTATGGTTACTGTTCCCATAACACCGGAGTGTCGGCCACTGACCAATGCTAGGTACTGGGAGGGGTGGGTTTGAGAAGGGTAGAGGAAGTGAGGCATAGCAGGGGCCAAGCACACAGGTGAGAAAGAGCTCAATGAAGTGGGGAGATGGCATAGGACATCAGACCCAGGTCAAGGGGTCATGAGAGCTCCAGGAGCTTCAGTCCAAGATGCAGAAAAGGTTGTGTATGACTTGAGTACCCACTTGCTGTTTGACAGTTGCCTTTGCTCCTGAATCCCATGGGCTCCCAAGAGCTATCAGAGTGAGGGTTTGTCTGCATTTCACAGCTGTGCAGACTGAGAATGGCACCCTCATGATGCCATTCCAAGGGAAGGTAAGATGGGGATGAGGCCAGAGTGTGTACCAGAGCAGAGGAGAAAGGATGAGTCCAGGAGGGGTGAACAGTGGCTTGGAGACCTGTAGGGGACCAGAAGACCTGGCACAGAGGAACTGCATCTAAGGGTCTTTGGGAGTGGGTTCAGCAAGACTCCTCTCCTTGCAGGATTAGTGAGATTCCAGAATAAAAGCATTCTGGCACTGCTGGGAGGAAGGGAGTGAGAATGGGAGGGCGACAGGTCTGTGGGCATAGTACATGACGCATAGCTGCCAAATCTTGGGAGGTAGTGGACTAGAAGACCCATCAAACTGGAATCAATCTTTCTGGCCACTATTGGTGACCCCTGCCTAGAATCCCTGGCCTGGAAGCATAAAGACTCATATCCAGATAGCTAAGTCCTAATTGGGGCCGCCCCATGCAATCCACCCTGCCTAGATCTCCTGGGCTGACCGCACACCTCTGGCTGCCAAGGGGATAACAGTTATCACAGAAAGTCAGTGGGCCTCAGACAGGCTACATATCTATCCTCTGGCCTCAAAGAGACATGGGTCAAAGCCAAGTCCCTGCAGCTCTGTGACAACACACACTGATGGCATGTCTGCAGTGTGCTAAGATGAAACAGGCATCAGACTGTTACCATGCACATGTTTGACAAGTTTTTATCAGGAAGCCTCTCTGGACTGTGCCATTAAACCCTTCTGAACCATGACCTGGAGGCTGGAAGGGGAGGCTGAGGCTGTGGACTTCCCAGTGCTGTGCAAGGATTTACACAATGTGCATCCATTCCAACTTCTAATTTTTGCTCTTTCTTTTTTGTTCCCAAGTAAAGAGACCACTAACATCCCTGGGTGTGAGGACTGAGGTCAGGATGGGCCCTGGTCTGCTGAGGGCCACAGGGAGAACCAAGGAGCCCCATGTGGTCTCCTCCAAACCTGTTGTTATGATCACCTCTCGTCAGGGCAGGGGGGATATAAAGGCTCCTGCAGCGGTACCTTTGGTAACAACGGGACGTGGCCAATGCTGAGGCTTGGGTGAGAAACCAAATGAAAGAGCACGGCTCAAGAGCCATCATTCTTGATGTCTGTCTCCCTCTCCCCACCCCAGGGACCTCCACCTCTACTTGGCCCACCCACTGTGGGACTGCCATGTGCGGGCGGCCAGGCCTGGCATCACCCAGCTCTCACACTGGCAGACCCGAGCACAGCTGCCAGAGCCTGGGGGCAGACTGGTGAGCTGTCTGGATGCTGGGCCTGTGGCCTGGATTCGAGTCCTGGCTCTGCTGTGTACAACTCACATCGCCTCTCTCTGCCTCCGTTTCCTCATCTGAGAAGTGGGGATAGCAGTAACAGCGGCCGCCTCACAGGGCTGGCAACTGGCACATGTTGGCCCTTGGCAAGATCCTGCCTGTCAGAATCCCTCTGTAGGCCTGGATCTCTCTCCCTCTCTCGTCTGTTCTTTTCCCCAGAGGTGGATGCTAAGACAGAGCCCAAGGTCAACACCAGACCCCCACATGACCTCCTACCCACTGGGTCCGCTCCCAGGAGGCCTTGGAGGAAGTGAGGTCTTGGAAGAATATCCTGAGGGTCGGCCTGGCGGCCAGTTTGTGCATGGACAGGGGAAACTTCTAGGACTGCCTCTCCAGCATTCCAGCAGTTCCCCTCCTCACCTGAGCACCCACAGTCATCATAGGCATGAAATGGCACTCTATTGCCAAGTCTCTGCCCTGCCAAAGTCCCAGCATCCAAATGGGGAGAATATCCCCCTGCTACTTCTGCAGCCTGACCACTTAGGGTTGGAGTGAGCCGTGGCTGAAATGGCAAATATCGTCACCATGTGCAGATGGAACCACAGTGCACACACGGGTCTTCTCCAAAACGTGGATATGCAGGGAACGCGGGTGTTTTACGACAAGCCGGGGAAGGTTGGAGCTGTGAACTCAGGCTTCAGCAGGCTTCGAAACTGCGGCTGGACCTGAGGCAGGAGTGGACCCCGCTTCCCTCCCCAGTGAGCCCTCTGATGACCCCACCGAAGAAGGCCTGGCCTGGGGGGTCAGGCCTGCCCCACGCCGGGGTCTGCGCACAGGTTTCTCTCCCGTGTGGATCCTCTGGTGGTGGAAGAGGGCCGGGCGCTCGCGGAAGGCGCGGCCACAATGTGCGCATACAAAGGGCTTCTCACCGGTGTGGATGCGTCGGTGGCTGAGCAACACCGCGCCCTTGGCAAAAGCCTTCCCGCAGTCCCCGCAGCGGAAGGGCCGCTCGCCCGTGTGCAGCAGCTGATGCTGCGTGAGGTTAGAGCTGTGGCTGAAGGCGCGGCCACACTGTGCGCAGGCGAAAGGCTTCTCGCCTGTGTGCACACGCTGGTGCTTGAAGAGTGAGGAACCCTGGCTGAAGGCGGCACCACAAAGGGCACAAGTATACGGCTTCTCACCCGTGTGGGTGCGCTCATGCTGAATGAGGTGTGAGTTGCGGCAGAAACGGCGGCCACACTGGGCACACGCGTAGGGCCGCCCGCCTGCGTGGATCTTGCGGTGCTGGCTGAGGTTGGAGCCGTGGCTGAAGGCCTTGCCACACTCACTGCAGCGGAAGGACTTCTCGGCTGTGTGTATGCGCTGGTGCCTCACCAGCGAGGAGCTATGCCGGAAGGCCTTGCCACAGGCCGGGCACGCGTAGGGCGTCTCACCACTGTGGATGCGCTGGTGCTGCGTCAGGTGCGACGTCTGGCTGAAGGCCTTGCCGCACTGCGGGCATTCATACGGCCGCTCTCCGGTGTGCGTGCGCAGGTGCTTGAGCAGGTCCGAGCTCTTCACGAACACTTTGTTGCACGCCCTGCATTCGAAGGGCTTCTCCCCGGGAAGGAGGCCAGGGCCTGTGTGGAGGGCCTTGCCCAGCTGACCCCAGGTTGGGGGCTCCTGGCCAGCAGGGAGTCCATGAGGCTTGTGGCTAGCTGGACTCTTTCCTCCTTCCCCGGAGGTGAGACCAGACTCAAATTCTGGAATTTGGGGGAAAGCGCTTCCAGGTGCCTCCCGCCCATATGGCTTCTGGCCCCCACATGCCCTTAGCTGCTTGCCTGGCATGGGGCGGGTCACAAAGGCCTTCTCCCTAGGTGGGTTGTCCTCGGCCATCCTCAGTGGGGAGGTCAGCCGCAGACTGACACTGGCCTCCCCACTGCCAGGACCTAGCAGGAGCCGTTCCCAGTAGATTACAGACACCCCTGTGGGTTTTTTCTCCTGAGAGGGGGAGGTGCCCCACCAGCCGTCCAGGCTTTTCCCACGCTCACAGATGCCAGCGAAGGGGAGGACCCTCGGAGGTGCTGGAGGGGAGCCATCATGGAAGGCCCCTGGCAGTTCTGCTTCTCCTGGAACAACCCTGTCGTATGCCAGATGACGGGAACCTGAAGGCACAGAAATGGTAGACCCTGGGTCATGCTGGCCGAGAGGGGATGGCCGGAGCAGGCCTAGTGGTCAGACAAAGGGGATGCCAAGGACTGGGTGTGCGAGCTGGGGAGAAAAGCAGCAGCCAGACCAGTGTATGTCATTCACTTCTGTCTCGGGGGACTCCTCCAGCCTGCTTTTGCTCCTTACACGATGGCTACCTGCCGCTACAGGCTTTACTCACGAACTCTGCTTCCCTGCTGCCTCTCCCCTAGCATGGTCACCTCCATGAAAGCAGGACCAGGAGCGTCCTGGTAAAGGCTGTGCCCGGTGCCTGGAATGGGGTCCCACGGGAGCTCCCCCTTGGTGGGCAAGCCAAGGCCAGAGCCTCCAGGAGGCGCTGATGATAGAAGGAGAACGGGAAGGAGTCAGGTGGGAGGCAGGAGATGACAGTGTCCAGGAAGGCAGGGAACGGGGGACAGAAGCCTGGCCACTGGTGGGCCCAAGCTCACACCCTCTGAGTCCCCACTCACCAGGGCTGGGCTTCCTGTGAGCAGTCCTGGCTGGTGTTGCAACTGTCCCACCGAGAACCCAGGGCTCCTCTCCACGCTCAAGCTGGACGACTACCCGGGGTCGTGAGGCAGAGAGCCCTGTGAGAAAAGACAAGCAAGTGAGGGCCCAGGCCCAGCACAACAGAGGGCAGGAGTCAGGACTTTATGGGACACAGATGGTGTCATCCGTGCACCCAAGAAGACCACACCACAGGGCAGGACTCACAGGAAAAGTGCAATGGCCCCTGTGAGGAGAATCCCTGTGAGGAGAACCGTGTTGGCAGCAGCAGATGAAAGGGGCCCAGGCTGAACACAGAGGCACCACAGCGGCACAGGGACACCAGCCAGCTGGTGTGAGGCTGCTCATAGGCCAACAGGAGATACGGGGTTAGTGCTGGCAACAGCTGAGCTTCCCGTGGAAAACCCAGGGCCTTACCCAGCGAGGCCACAAGTGCGAAGTTCTCCAGCATCACGTGGCAGTACAAGGCCCTCTGGGCTGTGTCCAGGAGCTCCCACTCCTCGTGGGAGAAGTACACGGCCACATCCTCGAAGGCCATCAGGCCCTACAACAGCGGGCAGGGGAAGATGGACACGATCTGAGCTATGGCTCTACGACCCAGGACCCCCCTCCCTGTCCCAAAGGCTACCCTTCTCCATGTCCCTCAGAGGCTTACCTTCCTCCCCCTCACCCCGTCCTCCCCCAGGCTCTGCAACTCTGCAGACGAAATTTCCCTCCTCTCCCCTACACCCTACCTGTCCAGGGCACAGATGCCTCCTTGGGCTCCCCACTGGCCACTCACACAAGGCAGCCAGAGCAAGCTCATGGCCTTCAGATGGCCGCCACCCCAAGGGCAGGCCCAGGTGCCCACACGTTCTGCACAAACTGACCCTCCCCAGACACGCCCTTAACTGTTCCTGTAACGAGCAGTTGTACAAGTCCCAGCTGTGGACCCACCAGGACCTGCCCAGGCCTGGAGGGACGCCCCCTTCTGCTGAACTTGCCTGACATCCCAAGGCTGCTCCTCCAGCATGAAGGACTGGCTGGCTGATCCCCTCCATCACTACAGGAGGGGGCCCAAGGATCTGGTGAGCACACAGGCAGCCAATTTCCTCCTCCCTCCATAACCACGCCCACCCCTCCCCCCATTTCCCTGGCCAAAACCTTCCCTTAGGCCACCTGACTTACTCCCAGAGCCCCAGGGGCTACCAGCCTGTCTTCACATCCCTGGAGTGCTACCCATCCCTGGCTGAGTCCATAAGATTCCTTCCTCCTCAATGTGATTCCCAGGCCCTGCTGGCTCAGAGTATCAGGACTGTGTCCTTGGACATCTGCAAGTCCAGGTCCACGTGATACCTCCACTCCGGGACAGCACAGATTCCCTGATCTTACTCTGAAGCCTGCTTTCCCTTCAAATTCAGCAGTTCTGTTCTTCTGGGTGCTCAGGCCAAACACCTTGGGACTGTGCTCCACTCGGGCCACTCGCTCCCACGCCGCACCTGAGACATCAGATCTCTCCAGAATCCAACCACTTTCCCCATCTCCACTGGCCCAGTCCCAGTGTGCCGCAGGTGCCGTCTTCGGCCACCCGGGCTGTGGCAGCGCCCGGCCCCTGCACACGGCCACCCCCGCTCTGCGTCATTTCTCCGCCAAGCAAACCGTGGGATACTTTTAAAAACCCTAACTTAAAGCACGTCCAGTCTCTGTTCGAATCCTCCCACGGCTCCCGACACAACTCCTCTCCCGTGCTCACGTGCGGAAGCTCGGTTCCCGAAGCACCTAGGCTCCGTCTCCCCTCCCAGCTTTTGCACGTGCGGGACCCTCCGCTTGGAACTTCCTTCTACACCTCACTCCCTTGGCTGCCCGAAGCGGGGATCTCACACGTGCACGCTCCACTGGCGTGAACCCCGGGGCCTAGGACGAACCGAGAGGGGAGACAAGACGTTCGGGTCAAGCCGCTCCCTGAGCCGAGATTCGGGTCCCTCCCGGAGGGATCTAGGTGGCTGGCGGGGGAGGGGGTCTTACGCTTCCTCTCTCACCTGCGCCGGGTCCGTCAGCGCCGCGGTCGCCATCAGAACCTGTACTTGGGGACGCGCAGAAAGCGACGGATACGCGGACGTCCCGGCTCCGGGCCTCAGTCTCTCCGTCCGACTAGGGCACAGACGCCCAGGACGCCGTCTCCCCTGCCGCCCGGGGGTCGGAGAGCACGTGACGCGGGGCACCGCCCCACAGCCCGCAGGGCGGCCCAGGCTACACCCGGAGAAACCGAGGCTCGGGGGGCGCGACCGTCGCCCGCGACCACGGCGTGCGCCTAGCGGCCCTCCGCTCGTGCCCTCGTCGCGGCCCTCGCCTCGGGTCTCCAAGGCTCCTGGAAGGCCGACCCGGACCCGCCGCGCTCCAGTCCCCAACACCGGTGTGGCCCCACGCCCCGCAGCAAAGTGACAGTCCCGGACGCCGGAAGTCCAGCCCCCGCGAGCCCTCATTGGCCCAGTGCGCGCCGCGGACGCACGCGCGGCGCCTTCTGGGAAGCGTAGTTCCCGCCCGCTCTGCGGCCGAGCGGGCGGAGCCCTTTCCGACATCCGTGGCAACGGCCAGGCGGCTCCGCGCAGCGCGCTGGGAAACGGAGTCCCGCGGGCGCGCCCGCGCTTTCGGGGGCCGGTGCGCCTGAGGTGGGGAGTCGCCTGGCTGGGCGTCCTGCGCTCGGGGCCCTGGGACCCCGGCCTGCGCCCAGGCGGCCCCGAGGCTCAACGCTGGGCTCGCAGAAGCGGAAACCGCTGACGTCCCTGGAGGCGACCCTAGCCTGGGGCTTCAAGGACAAAGCCCAGCGGGAGGGGCGGGCTCAGACGGGTGTCGCTTTGGGAGCGAGCCCGGGAGTGCCGACCCCAGCTCCACCTCTGGAGGCCTGTGCTCGGGTTTGGCCTCTTTGTGGCCTGTGAAGGGTTGACATCAGTTTTGCAGCCCCTACACCAAGAGGTGCAAGCCCCCAGCTTCAAGTTCTCTGGAGTCTGAATTGTTCTCTGAGACGTCCCTAAACCACCTGTTTTCCTTGCTAAAGCGGACCGCGCACAACGTACTTTCCCAGATTGGCTTGTCTTGGGTCGTCTAGGTGTTGCTGGCACATCACGGTATCGACTCCTTCGTCCTTTTTCCCTGGGACAACCTGAGTGTCTGTCACACATAAAAGCCAGAAGAAGGCAGTCTCAATGCACTCGGACGACCGCTGGCAGAGAATAAGAGTTTCCCTTTGTTGCTCCACGGTGACGGTTTCTGGTTTTTCAGGGCCCTTAATCTTCATACATAGGTGGTACAATAATGTTACCCAGTGCATGTTACCCACTGTTTTAAGGAAATATGGAATTAATTGTGTCAAGTTCGTTCATTCTTTCTGCCTGCCTTCCTCCCTTCCTCCCTCCTTATATATGCACCTATCTCAGCCATAACTGTCCTTAGAATGTAAATCCTCGAGATGCACGAGAGCACATCAATTTTGGAATATTCGTGTGTAAATATTGCTCACTTTGAAAGCATTTAAGAAAATCTAACATTAAACTTGTGATTTAATCAAAAGCTTAGAGACATTAATATTTCAAGCACTGAATGGAGACACTTAATTCCTTTTTTTTTTTTTTTAAGATTTTATTTATTTGACAGAGAGATAGCAAGAGCAGGAACACAAGCAGGGGGAGTGGGAGAGGGAGAAGCAGGCTTCCCGCTGAGCAGGGAGCCCAATGCGGGGCTCGATTCCAGGTGCCTGGGATCATGACCTGAGCCGAAGGCAGACACTTAATGACTGAGCCACCCAGGCACCCCGAGACACTTAATTTCTTAAAAACTTCTTATTTTAAAATTATCCCTATAATGTGTAATTAGACTAGAGGGATCTTGATTGCCTAATATTTAGAGAAATGCTAATTGTTTGATAAATTCATAATTTAATGAATTGGAAATGAAATAAAAATGGCAACTTCCTCTGTACACAAAATAGCTCCATACCGCTGGCTGTGATAGCCCCTGAACAAGATTGCACTGCGGGGTGGGGCGTCATGGGGACTTGTGTGGGGTACGTGGTTGGACCCTAACCAACCTTTTGGACCTCTGTGAACCCTGTGTCTTCATCTGTAAAACAGATAGTAGTAAACACCTGCATTGTGCTGAATTGTGCTGAGCTCCGATCCCTTCCTTGGCTGGGCTGAGCCTACTGATGAGCCCATTGAAGGCACTCTTCATTACTACTAGTGTTTTTTCTTTCTAGCCTTAATTTTTTTTTATCTTTCCTTAGATTTTCCATCTCTCTGCTTACATTATCCATCTATTTTTGCATTTTGTCTACTTCTTCCACTAGAGCCCTTAACATCTTTCTTAATCATGGTTATTTTACATCCTGTCTGATAGTTCCAATCTCTGTGTCATAAGTGATCATTGTGTCGTATGATTATCACTGTGACTGCTTTGTGTGTCCTCAGACTGTGTTTTTTCTTGCCTTTTGACATGCCTTGTCATTTGCTATTGAAAGCCAGACATATGTTTGGTAACAGGAACTAAGGTAAACAGGAGGTTTGTGGGAGGTTTATGATAATATGGATAGGAGTAGGGCTGTACTTATTGTTTGCTGTAGCTATGGATGCTAGGGGCTTCAAATTCCTCTGGTGCCCTAGTTTTTGTCTCTTTCGCTAGACTTTGTGCTCTGGTAAGTATTCTTCTTCAGAGACAGTCCGTGTCTTGCATCTCCTTTAGCTGTAACCCACTGTTGTTACACTGGAACTCCACTGATGTGGTGTAAAGGGTGAGAGGGAGAGGAGCACACTAAATCTTCCAATGAAATCTCAGTCTTTAGTGGAACTATGTCTCAGAAGCACATCTCCACTGCTGCAGTTTCCTTTATTTCCTGACCCCAACTGCCTGCCCTGGCTACAGCATTCTCAATGTATTCCCGAGAAGGCCTAGGCCCTGTTGACTATGACCTCTCTCACTTAGGTGAGAGAAGGCTAGAGGGACCTGGAATGAGAGCAATGTCCTTCACCCAGCTGGAAATGGCTCTAGCAGCTTTACTCCTACTAGTATATGTCTTTGTAGGGAAAAGGCTCTGGGTATATTTCATAATGGTAATCTTTCTGGTCATATGACACCTCTTCTTCCTCTGCTCCATGCTAACAACTGAAAAACAGAGAAATGCCAGTTAACCGAGTGCAAATTGGACACAGCCAGGATGGAGTCCATGGAGTCACTGCCAAGGGGACAGGAATTAGGTTCACTGAGTGCCTCAATAGCCTAGACTGGGGGACCCTGTGCGGTGTGAGTACAAAGTGACATGGTAGGTCTCTTGCTCACTTATCTGTTTGGGAGATTTGGTACAGCCTTAGCCTCTGGTGACAGGGGAACACCATGCTGGGTAGCAGGTCTTGGCACTGGTTATACCTGGACTGCAACCCCTTAGAAAAAACAAATGGCCGTCATCAAATAGCATGTTAACAAGACATTTCAAAGGCATGTGACCAAGTCAGGGCACATTAAGGGGAGTCTGGTATTGGAGGACCTGAGAGAAAGAGATGAGAGATGAGGGGAAAGGGCGAGAGATGAGGCCACAGAAGTTGGGCTGGGAATCAGGAGAGAAAAGGAGAATGGAAGGACATTCTGGAGTGTCCAGTGTTTAAAAAGACACAACAAACCCAAATGGAGTAATTTGCCCCATCAAGACAGCAAACCAAGACACAATTGAACCAAAGTGCCTAACTAATATAATATGTATAAGTTCCTTAATGTATATGCAAGCTCCCTGTCCCCACACCCTAATACACTGAATAAAAGTTTCGTAGGGCCTGGGTGGCTCAATCGGTTAAGCGTCTGACTCCTGATCTTGGCTCAGGTCATGATCTCAGGGTTGTGGGACTGAGTCCTGCATCAGGCTCCATGCTCAGCAGGGAGTCCACTTGTCCCTCTCTCTCTCTGCTCCTCCCCTCACTCCTGCGCTCGCTCTCTCAAATTAAAAGGAAAAAAAAGCTACGTGTACTAACCCCACTGGGAGACAGTGCTTTGAGAGCCATCTCCCTCGTTCCTTACTTGCTAGGAACAAGTAATTAAAAGTTCTTTAACACTTCCTTGGGTTGTGTTCAATTTAATGTGCCCGAAGCCATGAACCCCCTGAGTTTGGTTACACTTTGACAAGGGAGCATACTTGTGTACAATCAAACAGTGCAAGTGGGATCTTTTGCGAAATACAGGCAAGCCTCTTAGCAGGGGATACGTTTTTTTTTTTTTAAAGATTGTATTTATTTATTTATTTGAGACAGAGAGAATGAGAGAGACAGAGAGCACATGAGAGGGGGGAGGGTCAGAGGGAGAAGCAGACTCCCTGCCGAGCAGGGAGCCCGATGCGGGACTCGATCCCGGGACTCCAGGATCATGACCTGAGCCGAAGGCAGTTGCTTAGCCAACAGAGCCACCCAGGCGCCCACCAGGGGATACGTTCTTACAGGCCTCACAGTCCACAGCTAGGGAGATGGAAGAATTATTCCCTCCCAACTCTGTGAGAGAAAGGTCTACACTGTTTCAAATTGGCAGCATCAAATGAGATGTTAGTAATTCTTCTGTATCTGGTGTTTCCAAACCCACATGCTTCAAACTTGCATAAAATCTATGCACATGTCCAGCTGGATGCAGAATGCAACATGGAGGGGCACACCTGGGTGCCTCAGTCAGTTAAGTATCTGACTTCAGCTCAAGTCATGATCTTGGGGTCCTGGGATCAAATCCCATGTTGGGCTCCCTTTCCCACTCTTCCTCTCTCTCAAATAAATAAATAGAATCTTTTAAAAAAAATGCAACATGGAGGAAGAGGAGTCAGAGCTTAGGCCCAAGGTAGGTCAGGGTGACCTGAGTTTGCAGCTGGGTTCCTCTGACTAACCTGTGTGATCTTGGGCCCCGAGGTCCCCTGTCTGTGATTTTAGTTTCTTCATATCTAAAGTACTGGACTCAGAATGCACAGTGTGGGGTTTTGGGGAGTATCAACATTCAGCTCCCGGCCCAGGCTGCCTTGCATTAATGTTGGGCACCTCTGTGACTTGTGGAAAACCCCACACCTGTCTTGGGCCACACCCCTAACAGTGTTACAGCCCTCCAGACCTGGGAGTCAGAAAGTGCCTCTAGCCACCAGCATCCTCTCACACTCCATCCTAGCTCAGAGGGATCCATTCTTTTTTTTTTTTAAGATTTTATTTTTTTTTATTTATTTGAGAGAGAGAGAATGAGAGAGAGCACATGAGAGAGGGGAGGGTCAGAGGGAGAAGCAGACTCCCTGCCGAGCAGGGAGCCCGATGCGGGACTCGATCCTGGGACTCCAGGATCATGACCTGAGCTGAAGGCAGTCGCTTAACCAACTGAGCCACCCAGGCGCCCCAAAGAGGGATCCATTCTTGACTGCTGCGGGAACCAGAACCTCACTTGCTCCTGCCCTACCTTTCATCTCTCAGGGCAGCTGGTTGTGTATTTCTTGGCTTGAAATTGTTAGGCAGTATTGGAATTTTCCTTCTGGTCACCAAGGATGCTACATTTAGATTCAGAGTGAGGTATAACCCACTGGCACTGTGCTAGTTCCTGCTGAGTACACTGAGCGACCTGAACGCATTTTCCTTCTGCAGGAGGAATTTATAATCACATTACTTCATCTTAACAAAATAGAATAATGAGAAAGATTTTGCCTTGACTGAATATTGAATTTTGTAGTTCTGCATAGACTGGTGCAGCTAGCCTCTTAAGCTGTGGCATACCCTCATTGTCTTATGAGGTTCAGTGTCTGCCTATCCTACAACTCAGCAATTCTTTTAGGGATTTATCCACAGGAAATGAAAGCACGTGACCACAAAATTCTGGTACATGAGGGGCACCTGGCTGGCTCAGTCCGCAGAGCATGTGAATCTTCAACTTGAGGTCACACTGGGTATAGAGATCACTTAAAAATATTTTTTTAAATCTCTTTAAAAAATCCTGGTACATAAATGTTCATAGCATCTTTATTCATAATAGCTAAGGTTGGAAACAGCTCTGATGGGTAACAACTGGTGAGTGGAATAAACATGTATTTCCTACAATGCGGTACTACTCAGTAATAAATAATGGTATATGTTATAACATTGATGAATCTCCCAAAATTCTGGTGAGTGAAAGACCACACAAAACAGTCCATATGGTATAAATTATTCCATTTATATAATGTGCTAGAAAAGACAAAACTAACCTATGATGGCAGAAAGCAAGTCCTCAGTAGTTGTCTGACACATGGGTTGGAGGTGACTGAGTGGAAAGTAGCACAAAGTGAACTGTAGATGTGATGAGAATGTTCAATATTTTAAATGTGGCCATTTCATAGGTGGATACATTTGTAAAACTCACTTACACATTTAAAAGAGCATTTTGGGGCATTGGGCTGGCTTAGTCGGAAGAGCATCTGAATCTTGATCATGAGTTTGAGCCACATGTTGGGTGTAGAGATTACTTAAAAAAATTAGAAGCATTTGGGGCGCCTGGGTGGCTCAATCCGTTAAGCATCCAACTCTTGATTTCAGTTCAGGTCATGAACTCAAGGTTGTGAGATCCAGCCATGCATCGGGCTCTGTGCTCAGCAGGGAGTCTGCTGAAGATTCTTCCTCTCCCTCTGCCCATCTATATTGTATGGGTGGAGGTTTCTATCATTTGTCCTGCATAACCCACCACCCTGACTTGCACAAACACAGGCAGGCTAAAGAATGTTGTTTGTGAGACTTGTGCTGCATGAGTAACCTCGGGAGTCTGGGTAGTTGACATTAGCTGGCCTCCAGGTCCGAACTGGCCCTTCCGACCTGGACACTAAGAGCTATAAATTTTGCCTTGTATCTCCTCTGGCTCCGGGCTGGGCTGGCCCCCCAGAATGGAATCTGGGAAGAGAGACAAGTATATGGCCCAGGCTCCCTGAAGATGTAAAGACATGGTAACATAGAAATGCAGCCCACTTCAAACTGCACATAGGCAAACACATGTTTAACTTTAGACCCCGTCATTTGCCCTGTAAATATGGCCGATTGGGATGGTCAGTTGAAAGTCTCACCTGAGGGGAGGACGCTCCGCTTAGGCCTCTCAGTCGGAACTCCGGCATGGCTGTCTCCACGGGGCTTCCCCAGCTAATGAGGTTGGATGTTGTAAGTACCCAATTTGATGTAATTTGTCTTGTTCTACTTTACTGCTTACTATTGCCCTCATCTATGTGCAGATTTCCCTTCTTTCTGTTTCAATTAGATTTTTATAATATCAATAAAGTGCTTTCCCCCTTTGAAATTGGGAGTATGGCTGCTGTGAACCTTGTTTAGCACATCCTCCCCTCGCTCTCTCAAATAATAAATCTTTTTAAAAAAATTAAAAAATTAGAATTTTATTGTATGTAAATTAACAGTATTGACATAAATGATGCCAGCAGTTATAAAATCAGGAGATTCTACATAAAAACCCATACCTCTGTCTTTTCTTGAACATCTGAATACAGAGCGACTGTGTGTTGATCCATTTCTCTCTTTCTCTATACATTGGGAGGGCCAGACCTACCTCAGTACCAGGTAGAGCTGGAAAGCAACGGTGGCTACTAGTACTAGGTCCGTGCTCTCAGGCCAGAGTTACTGCCCTTGTGATGGCCACTGAGCAGAAGACTGAGGGAGGCAATGGGAATTTAGTTATTTCCTCTTTCCTTCTTTCCCTCCCTCCTCACTCTCCTTTTTTTCCCTTCCTTCCTACCTCCCTTTTTCTTTTTCTTTCTTCCTTTCTTTTTCTTTCTTTTCTTTTCTTTCTCTTTTTCCTCTTCTCTTTTCTTTCATAAAGTACACTCTATGTCCAACATGAGGCCTGAACTCACGATCCCAGTATCAAGAGTCACATGCTCTACTGACCAAGCCAGCCAGGTAACCCAGTTCTTTCCTCTTTATATACACAGGTCTACAGGTCCTGGAAGCTCTGCACACCCCATGCAGCATGACCATAGACAATGGAGCAGGTGAGTCCCTTTATTTTTTTTTAAAGATTTTATTGATTTATTTGAGAGAGAGAGACAGCAAGAGAGGGAACACAAGCAAGGGGAGTGGGAGAGGGAGAAGCAGGCTTCCCACCGAGAAGGGAGCCCAATGTCGGACTCGATCCCAGGACCCCGGGGTCATGACCTGAGCTGAAGGCAGACGCTTAACCGACTGAGCCACCCAGGCGCCCCAGGTGAGTCCCGTTAAACAGACTATGTCCCCTCTAGTTTTTCAGGGACCCTCATCTCTCTGTAACTTCATGGTGCCCCCCTTTTTAAAAAGATTATTTATTTCTGGGCACCTGGGTGGCTCAGTCGTTAAGCGTCTGCCTTCGGCTCAGGTCATAATCCCAGGGTCCTGGGATCGAGTCCCGCATCGGGCTCCCTGCTCGGCGGGAAGCCTGCTTCTCCCTCTCCCACTCCCCCTGCTTGTGTTCCTGCTCTCGCTATCTCTCTGTCAAATAAATAAATAAAATCTTAAAAAAAAAAAAAGATTATTTATTTCTTTATTTGAGAGAAAGAGAGAGAGAGCACAAGCTTGGGGCACAGGGAGAGGGAGAAGCATACTCCCCACTGAGCAGGGAGTCCGATGTGGGGCTTGATCCCAGGATCATGATCTGAGCTGAAGGCAGATGCTTAACTGACTGAGCCACCCAGGCGCCCCTTCATGGTGTTTCTTTATTCACATATCTCAGCACCTGGCCCATGCAGGTCTTATATTGTGATACCTGCACATAGGGGTCCAGCCTCCCAGGGTTATGGGTCCTGGTCATGTCCCAGAAGTCAGCTTCTCAACACTTCTGGGGAAATGAGAAATGCTCTAACAAGGAACCCACTTCTTTCTCATTTCTGACAATGGATCAACTACCCCCTTTCTCACAAAGAGCTCCAGGTTCCTAAGTCACTCTGACCTAAGGTCACAAGTTTTAGCTTGTAGTGCTCTTCATATAGGAGGCCTAGGGGCAGTAATACAATAATGTCACAACTGGAGAGGCATGCACTGCAATCCGCAGTTCCCCCTGAGGCAGATGTTACGGGGACCCCCAACAACACTTGCTCATTTTCATGTTGGCAGATCTCAATATCTCAGCCTCTTCCTCATGATAAATAAAGCAATAGAGATTTTATTTTTTAAGTCATCTCTATATCCAGTGTGGAGCTTGAACTCACAACTCCAAGATCAAGAGTTACATTCTCTACTAACTGAGCCAGCCAGGCACCCGAGCAATGGAGATTTAAAATGATTTTTAAAAATAAGGCATTTATGGGACGGCTGGATGGCTCAGTCCTTTAAGCGTCTGCCTTTGGCTCAGGTCATGATCCCAGGGTCCTGGGATTGAGTCCCGCAGTGTGTTCCTTCCTCAGCAGGGACCCTGCTTCGCCCTTTGCCTGCCGTTCTCCCCTGCTTGTGCTGACAAACAAATAAATATTTTAAAAAATTAAAAATAAGGCATTTATTATCAGTCAAGAGTAGTCTGAGAAAGCTGGTTTGGGGGTGCCTGGGTGGCTCAGTCGTTAAGCATCTGCCTTCGGCTCAGGTCATGATCCCAGGGTCCTGGGATCGAGCCCTGCATCAGGCTTCCTGCTCAGTGGGGAGCCTACTTCTCCCTCTCCCACTCCCCCTGCTTGTGTTCCCTCTCTCGCTGTTGTCTCTGTCAAATAAATAAATAAAATCTTAAAAAAAAAAAAAAAAAGCCTCTGACTCTTGATCTCAGTTCAGGTTTTGATCTCAGGGTCCTAAGTTCAAGCCCCACATTGGGCTCCACACTAGGCATGGAGTCTACTAGAAAGAAAAAAGAAGAGAAGAGAAAGAAAGGAAGAGGAAGGAAAAAGGAAAGTTGGTTTGAATGTTAACTCAGGGGATCATGAAATTCATCACGGTACTACACACGGAGTTGACATCTATGAAGAAAGGAAACTTTCCCCAGAATCCCTCCAGAGACTCCTCAGGTCTCCTTGTCCAGAGCTGACATGTGTCCATGCCTAACACAATCATGGATGATAGATATGAAACCCCACACCAGCTCAGGACAAGTGGGATTCCCTCCAGGGGAGCTCAGTTTCAGACTTTCCTGAGCAACACAGGCATGACTGCAGCACAGTCCAGGCGTCACAGATCCTGCTTGTCCAAATCCTGGTAGATCACAGACACAACACAACCAGACAACAGAGGCTTTCCTGCTGCATTAAAGAGTCTGACTCGAGCAGCACCAGATCCAAGATGGCGGCCAGCAGGAGGCTGATGAAGGAGCTTGAAGAAATCCGCAAATGTGGAATGAAAAACTTCCGTAACATCCAGGTTGATGAAGCTAATTTATTCACTTGGCAAGGGCTTATTGTTCCTAGAGAGACACAGCGAGAGAGGGAACACAAGCAGGGGGAGTGCGAGAGGGAGAAGCAAGCTTCCTGCTGAGCAGGGAGCCCGATGCGGGGCTCGATCCCAGGATCCTGGGATCACGACCTGAGCCGAAGGCAGATGCCCAACCAACTGAACCACCCAGGCGCCCCAGCCTTCTCGAATTTCTTACCCAATGAACATGTTCACTCTTAACCATTAGCATATTCCTCCTAGTCTTTTTACTGTAATTTTTAATGGACCATTTGATAGTTTCATAATTATTACATATTTTCATCATTTAGTCATTTGCCTTGAAACTCTTTGTGAACGTAACTTTTGATAACTGTACAATATCCCGTAATATTTGTTATCATTTATTCAATCATTCCTTAATTTTGGATTGTTTTTCCATTTTTAAGATAATTTATCCATGAACATCTGTATGTGAAAAAGTAAAAAATAAAAAAAAAATAAAGAGTCTGACTCCATTTCTGATGCTTGACTGCTGACTTCTTTCTAAACCTCATCTTCTCTTTCCCTTTTGGCTCCTTATATGGACAGGTTGACAGGCAAGTTTGCATGCTCCTTCTCCTTTGGCACCTTAAATGTCACAAATCTCCAGCCTTCCTAAGGTTAGACATGTGACCAAAGGCTTTCCCACATTTGCTACACTCAGGGCCTTCCACCAGCTTGAACTTTCTGCTGCTGATTTAGAGTATAACTTTGGCAGAAAGCTTTTCTGCACTCCATGCACTTGTAAGGCCTTTTCCCAGAGTGAATTTTGTGATGCTTTTTCAGTTTACAGGTGTGGCTGAAGGTCTTCCTACTCTCCTGACTTACACAGGATATTTCTCTAGTGTGAATTTTCTGGTGACTAACAAGCACTGATTTCTCCTTGCAGACATCTCTATTTGGTGGACATCTACATAGCCTCTCTTCTGGGTGAGTCAGGTGGCTAAGGAGGGTGGAGCTCTTCAGGAAGTCTGTCCCCCAGTTGCTGCACTTGAAGGGCTTCTCTGCAGTGTGGACTTTGGGAACTGCCCAATATTGGGGCTGGGTGGGAAGGCCTTCCTGAGCTTGGTGCTCCTTAACGGCTTCCTATTACTGCGGGTGGGTGGGTGTTAGGTCATGGCTGTCTAGGACATCCTTACATGTGCACAGCTTTTCTGTAGTATGCGCTCATCACAGGTGGGAGGTTTCTCTCCATACTGAAGTCAACTGTTTCAGTTGAAGGTTTAAGTGGAACCAGAATTCTCTCCTGCATGCCCCACACGTGTGCAGTTTCTGCCCAGGTCTATTTCCATGCTTCTCCAGGGACAAAGTCTCTGAAGACTTAACCACCTGGGTTATAGGGGTGGTGGACCTTCTGGCTAGAAGGACCAGCACTGGGAGTCCAGACCTGTGATACGATTTTTCTAGAAACATCTTATTCCAACAGTGCCTCCTTATCTTCCCTTCCACATGAATTACCTGAAAATAGGGAAATGCCCTTTCTGTAGGTCATGGTACGTGGGTGAGGATGGATCCATCATTAAGTGGGGGCCAGGATCAGGGGGGAAAAGAGCAAGTTCTGTTGGTACAGGCTCTGGCCAGACCAGTGCAAAATATCTCAACAGGGTCAAAGATTCAATGTGGCTGGCAGGATCTGCTGCTCACCCTCTGCAAACACAATGCAGCAGGGATGCTGGGACAGGCAAATGCTGCACAGAAAGAGCCCAGACACGGATGTAACATCCAGTCACTTCTTAGGATTAGGCTTCCAAGGATTATTTACCAATACATGAACATATCCTAACAGCTAAATAGAAGCTAACACTGGAGGACCCAGCATAGGGAGAGTAGTTACAAAATGAATCTTGAGGAAGGAGAGGTAGGAACTAGACATCAGGAAGAGAAGGCAAGAGGACGGAATGTTCCAAAAGGTGTAAGAAGTTGGACTGAGGTTGGGACAATGACTTTGGCAACAGGACAGTGATGTGGTACAGGACCATGGCCAGCCACAATTCAACCTAGACCAGGCCTCAGCCCATACCTGAATTTCACTCAGCAAGGCCCACCTGTTCTGGGACTCTGTTGTAATGGCTAGAATTGCATCTTCCCAGCTAGATATCCAGGACTCCATGTCATGCTCTGACAAAATGACGTTGTGGGATGGAGTGGCCACGAGTCCTGTGGAGGACAGGGCAGGTAAAGGGGCCTGCCCTGACTGTTGACCTTTCTGCGGAAGTCAAGAAGCTGGCTTCATCTTTATCATTAGTGAGGAGGAAGCAGGAAGGATGTCACAAAATGAAACTTTGAGAGGGGTTTTTCAGGAATAGCCAGGGGCTGCCCCTGGCCCTTTGTTCGATCTATCCCTTGCAAGCAATGACAACAGGACCCCCAGAGACTGGCAGTGGCAATTCTAAGGAAGTATCTGCTGGAGAAAGAAAGCAGAATCCATGGCACAGAGAGACTCTGTTATGGAGCCAAACCCAATGGCTTGTTGGAAAGATGGAGAGAACCTTGACCTTTCTTTCCAAGCCACCACAAACCTGGGGCAGCAAAGGTGCAGTGGCTCAGGGAGAGCACAAGTGAGTGCCCACAACTCTGAAAAAGAACACGTAAAGAGAGGCAGGAGATTCACTCAGTAAGGCTGTGAACATGAAGTCATCCAACATCACGTCCTGGTACAGGATCCTCTGGGCCAGTGAAGAGTCTCCACTCCTCCTGAGAGGTACATGGCCACATCCTTGGGTCACCAGGCCTTGCAGTGAGGGAGACAGCTGATCCTGCAGGGCACATGAATGGATATCTTCGAGCCCCAGGCACCTTGCTCTCTCCCCTGGCAACCCTCTCCCCTATAACACCTCTTAGACATAACCCCTAACTCCTCAGAAGGAACGCTAGTCTACCAACATCAGGGCCTTCTCCTTCTCCCAAGACCCACTGGCCACTGCATTGCAGCCGCTGCATCATAAAGTAGGAGGGGAAATGGATATCATCCAATCTGTACATGCTCTACTTCCAGATGGTTCCGTGGACATTCCCCACAGTGTGACCTATGATAAAAATAGCCCAGGTTCACAAACTTTGCCCTAGGGCCCCAGCACCAAGCCCTTGTACTCACTGTTCTGCCTGACTCATGACAGACTCACCAGTTTGTGACAGCTCCTTTCTCACACCCCTAGGTCCTCTTCTTTCTTCTATGTCCTTGCATCAGCCCTCTCAACTCTCCCCAGGCCACTCTGCACATGGCAGCTAGTGACCCTGGAAATAATAGCCAAGATCCAATTTCCAGTTGATCTTGCAACTAAACCTCCCATGGCACTCGGGGCTAGGGGCCGCCCCTGGCCCTTGTTCAAGGCCTTCCCCACCTGTCACTGTCCTCTGCTCCACCTCTCAGCTACAAACACCTGGATTCCCAAATACCCGTGGCCCTCTTACAGCTCTGCCTTTGCTTGTCTTAACCCCTTACGAGGTGTGTCCTACCTGTTCCACCACAGGATGGTCCTTCAGGCCCCACTAGCTCCACTATCACTGTGGATAACGCATCCTAACCCCTGCACTTGCAGTAGATTGAGCCATCATTCTATAGCAGCATGCCTACAAGGCCTGCAGTCCCACTGTGGAGCCTCAGGAGAGTGCAGAACCTCCCTGGACCCTTCCCTGTCACATGCTCTCACAACCTGTCCTCCCTGGGTCCACCATCTTCCAAGTCTGACCCAGAGCTACCTCCCTGGTCTAGGGCTCATTACATGCCTGGACTATTGCTGAAGCCTCCTCTCTGGCCGCCCTGCTTTCGCCCTGGCCCCTCAGTCTGTTCACACACCAGCCAAAGAAACCAGTTAACAGCAGAGTAAGAATAAAGGGCCAGTGTTTAGTCTCCTTAAAGAAAGCCTAAGCTGCAGCCTGAATTCTCCTATCAGGTTCTCTTTCCTCACAAGATGTAAGGAGGATTTGGGGTTCCCTGATGGCTCCCAGTTCAAGCTCACAAACGAGCCTCTGCAAGTCTCCGTCTCCAAGCACGAAAAGCCCTTTCAAGCCCCTCCCCCTCTCTTTGGCGGCACACTGACCCGTGATGTGGGACACAAAGGCACAGAATGAGAGTGACTCCCATCATCCCAGACAAAGAAATGGAAACGGCAGGAATCCCACGGCACACTCACTCAGTGTCACTAACGTCGGGGCTCCAGGAGCTTGGGGCCAGGGGTACCGCCCGGCTTCTGTAAGCAGGACCCTTCACTCTCCAAAGACTTCCGGTGGCGCCGCTGTTCCCATGGTAACCCGCTAGGGTCCGAGGAGAAGCGGCGGCGCGCCCGTTAGGAACGGACCGCTGCGGGCAGCCAGCCCTCCGAGCCCCGGTCTCCCGCTCAGTATGGTGGAAACACGCCCAAGGCGCCTCTCCTGGTCAGGTCACCGGGTTGGACGGGCTCTAGCGGAAGTCCCGGCGGACATCCCCGACGGCGGTCCGTTCTATTTCCGAGAAAACGAGGCTCGAGGAGTTGGGGATGGTAGCTCGTAGGCCGCGCCCGCAGGCGCAGAGGCCCAGAAAAGAGCCGTCCCCACCTTCCACACTTCGAGCACCTCGAGCCCTGGAGGCTGACGCCCTGCAGCTTCCAGAACGCGTCCCCAACCCGGGTTTCAGGGCCTTCGAACCCGCGCACAGCCAGTCAAGAGAAAAACCTCAGGGCGACGCCGGAAGTTCCGCCCTTGCCCGGCGCGGCGCGCGCGGATATGCCCCGCGCAGCGCAGCGTCTCCTGGGTAGTGTGGTTCACACCGCAAATCCTATTTCCGCGGGGACCGAGGTGCCGTGTCACCGTGACAAAGACCAAGCGGCACCGCGAGGGATGTCGGGAATTGAGGTCCGGCGGGTAGGTTGACCTAAGGCCCGTCTGAGGCTCGCCAGCGGCATTGTCAGAAAGGACCAGGCCCTAGGCCAGACTGGGCCCTAGGCCAGACTGGGCCCATTGCGCCGGGTCCCCGTCCGAGACAGCGCTGGTGGACTTGGCATGGGTAAGGGAAGGTCTCCCAAGCTCCGCCTAACGGGATTCCAAGCCCCAGTGTCCTAAAAGCGAAACTGAGGGCGTCCTGCCCGGGGTCATCTTTTCCCCTCCAGGCTGGGACAGTGGGTGTGCGCACCCCATTTTTAGCGGTCTTGGAATGAAGCATGGAAGTTGTTCCAGGCAGAGGGACCTGCATGTGCAAAGCCTTGGAGGCCATCCAGACAGGAAGGCATTAGGGAAACTTGAAGCCCATTACTTCTGGTGGGACCAGAAAGCTCCAGGGGAGGTTTCATGCTAGGCCTTTATTCTGAGGGCCCCAGAAGCTGAGAAGATCTGTGAACAGAGGAGGGACCTGATCTAATTTGAGCAGTATACCTTTAGTTTCCATGTGCAGAAGTGATGGGGGACCAGATGAAGGTGGAGGTGGGTGAGGACAGAGGAAGGAGGCACTTGCAATTATGGAGGCAAGCGATGGTGGCAGCATGGACTAGGGTGGTGGTGGCAAAAGATGTAGGAGAAGTAGTCAGATTCTGGATCTCTTCTGCAGGCAGAGCCATCTGGATTTGCTGATGGATCAAAGAGGGGTGAGAAAGAGATGAGAGGTCCAGAAGGACTCCAGGTTTTTAGCCTGAGCAGTTGAAAGAATGGAACTGCCTTCCAGAGAAATGGGAAAGGGGAAAGAGGAGCAGGTCCCAAAGGAAAAGCAGGAGTTGGGATTGTGTCTGAGTTGCCTGGAGACATCTGAGTGGAAAGGTGTTGTGGGCAAGACTCAGAGATCTGGTGTTCTTTCTTTTTTTTTAAGATTTCATTCATTTATTTGACAGAGAGAGACACAGCGAGAGCAGGAACACAAGCGGGGGAGTGGGAGAGGGAGAAGCAGGCTTCCCGTGGAGCAGGGACCTTGACGCGGGGCTCGATCCCAGGACCCTGGGATCATGACCTGAGCCAAAGGCAGACGCTTAACAACTGAGCCACCCAGGTGCCCCGGATCTGGTGTTCTTGAGAAAGGTCTGGCTGGAAGTGTCCAAGGAGTGATGGGCTGAGGGCTTGGGCCAGGGTAAGGCCTGGGGACCAGATTTAGGAAGTAGGATCTAAGGGCCTTGGTTACAGATGACCACTGGATGGAGGGAAGGGACACTGAGGTTAGGACTGGAAAGCTAAGTGAAGTTGGGCCCAGAATGGAGATTAAGGGTAATGATCACAGATGCAGTTGGAAGGAGGCTTGGCTTCACATAGATTTGCGGATACCAATTGCCTTTTGCCTACAATCCCTGTGGCTGCTATGTGCAGAGGGATCTCTAAGAAGCCTGGGGGAAAAAAAAAAACAAAACATTGGAACAGATGAGGCAGGGCCCCAGGATTTGATAGAAAGACTGTCCAAAACCTATTAGGGCCAGCATAGGAGGCCCAGCATGGGATCAAGCCCTAGTGTGTCTCAGATGTGGAGTCCTGGGGGAATTCATTGAGTGTATTGGGGAGAGATTCCAGGGGGAGTATCAGGGAGGTGGCTGTTAAGACAAGAACTAGAGGCCTGGATCACACACCCAGAACTTACACCATAGTCAACTGCCCACATGCCGTTGTTGCAGGGTTTGGTGACCTTTGATGACATTGCTGTGGCTTCTCTCAGGAGGAGTAGGGGTCCTTGAGGGGCCAGAGGGGCCTGGTCCATGATGTGACTCTAAGGACATTCTTGGGTTCCCTGTGGGGGTGTTTTTGGACTTGGGGCTGGGCACCAGGCTTCGCTTGCTGACCATAATCTTGTTGGTAAATGTCTTTCCAATTCTGTCCAGTGGGTCTGCCTCTTGAGCCCATTGGGACCAAGGCCCTTCTGCATCTGGGTTTTACTCCCCTGACTCCAGTAGGAGGTTCCAGAGAGTGTTCCTTGCCAAGCACTCCACACTTTTATGGTCATTGTTTAATGTATAATGTTATTTTTGCAAAACTTTTCTTGGATGTTTTATCTTGTGAGGTTCCATTTTATTTCCAGTCACATCTGTCGTGCTTGCCCTGTGACCTGTTGTGGAACTCCAGTAGGGGTACTGGACTCCTGTGTGGTCATCCAGCTGGAACATTGCAAGGAGCCCTAGCTGCTCACCTGGGTTGATATGACTCCACCATGGCAGGTTCCTGCAGGCATACAGAGTGTGAGCTAGGTATGGGAATGACTTCGGGGCTGGGTTAGGCTGGTGCTTGACCAGTGCCTCTAAGTCCAAAGCTGTGTCTCATTCCTACCATCTTCTAGACCCAAACTGCCTCTCATATGACTCCTGAGCATTAGCTGTCTCCCACCCTCCTCGAGCCGAGCCTCCACATCTGACCCATTCTACTTTCCCACTGTTGCTTTCAGGTCCTTCAATTCAGCTTCTCCTTCCTGGTCAGCATAATCAAGCCCTCCCCCGCCCCCTCCCGCCTTTTCAAAATGCTCACAACTGAATCCCTGAATCTGTGAGTATGTTACTTTATTTGGCAAGAGAGATGTCACACACACAAAAAAAGATGTTACAGATGTGATTAGATTAAGGATCTGAGAATGGGGATATTATTGTGGACTATTCAGGTGGGCTCTAAATGGAATCACAAGCATTCTTATAAGAGAGAAGCAAGAAGGTCAAAGGAAATCCAACACCTTTTCATGACAAAAACTCTCAGAGAACTAGCAATATAAGGAAATTTCTTCAACATGATAAAGGGCATCTGTGAAAAATCTGTAGCTAACATTATACTTAATGGTGAAAGACAGAAAGCTTACCCACTAAGATAAGGAATGAGGCAAGGATGCTCACTTTCATCACTGCTATTTGATGTTGTACTGCAAGTTCTTGCCAGAGAAATCAGGTAAGAAACAGAAATAAAAGGCATCCTGATTGGAAAGGAGGAAGTAAAACTATCTCTATACACAAATGATGTGAAAATCCCAAAGAATCCATAAGAAAGCTACTGGAGCTAATAAACAAATTTAGCAAAGTTGTAGGGTACAGGATCAACACATAAAAATCTGTGTGTTCTCCTATATACCAGCAATGTACAATCTGAAAAGGAAATTAAGAAAGCTATATTTACAATAACATCTAAAAGAATAAAATAGCTATAAGAATACACTGAAGCGGGCGCCTGGGTGGCTCAGTTGGTTAAGCGACTGCTCAGGTCATGATCCCAGAGTCCTGGGATTGAGTCCCGCATCGGGCTCCCTGCTCAGCGGGGAGTCTGCTTCTCCCTCTGCCCCTCCCCCCTCTCATGCTCCCTCTATCTCATTCTCTCTCTCAAATAAATAAATAAAATCTTTAAAAAAAAAAAAAAGAATACATTGAAGCAAAGAGATGAAATACGTGTACACTGAAAACTAGAAAACATTACTGAGAGAAATTAAAAATAAAATAAAATAAATAAATAAAATTTAAAAAAATAAATAAGTGGAAAGTCATCCCATGTTAATGGATAGGTAGACTTAATGTTGTTAAAATGTCAATGCTACCCAAAACTACAGATTCAATGCAATCCTCATGAAAATTCCAACAGCCTTCTTCTGCAGAAATGAAAAAAGCTGGTCCTCAAATTCATATGAAACTGCAAAGGGACCCAAACAGCCAAAACAAACCTGAAAAAGAACAAAGTTGGAGTGGGGCACCTGGGTGGCTCAGTCCCTGGGCGTCTGCCTTCGGCTCGGGTCATGATCCCAGGGTCCTGGGATGGAGCCCCACGTCGGGCTCCTTCTCCGCGGGAAGCCTGCTTCTCCCTCTCCCCCTGCTTGTCTTCTGTCTCTCGCTGTGTCTCTCTCTGTCAAATAAATAAAATCTTAAAAAAAAAAAAAAAAGAAAAAGTTGGAGCACTCACACTTTCTGATTTCAAAACTTACCACAAAGCTGTAGTAATCAAAACAGTGTGATAGTGGCATACAGATAGACATATACACCAATGGAATAGACTTGAAAATCCAGAAATAAACCTATACAAAACCTATACAACTATAGCTAATTGATCTTTTACAGGGGTGTCAATGCCATCCAATTAGTATTGAATCTTCAAAAGATGGTGCTGAGACAACTGGATATCCTCATGCAAAATAATGAAGTTGTACCCCTAACTCACACCATATACAAAAAATTAACTAGGGGCACCTGGGTGGCTCAGTCAGTTAAGCATCTGCCTTTGGTTCGGGTCATGATCCTGGGGTCCTGGGATTGAGCCCCGCGTTGGGCTCCCTGCTCAGCAGGGGCCTGCTTCTTCCTCTCCCCCCTGCTCATGCTCTCTCTCACACTCCCTCTCTAATAAATAAAATAATTTTAAAAAGTTTTAAAAACAAAAAATTAACTCAAAATGAATCAACAACATAAATATGAGCTAAAAGCATAAAATTCTTAGAAGAACACATAAGGATAAATCTCAGTGACCTTTGATACGACCTTGGATTTGTGACACCAAAAGGTAAGTAACAAAATTTTAAAAAATAGATACACTGGGGGCACCTGGGTGGCTTAGTTGGTTAAGTGTCTGACTCTTGATTTTGGAGTAGGTCATGATCTCAGAGTTGTGAGATCGAACCCCGTGTCAGGCTCCACACTGGGCGGAGAGACTGCTTAAGATTCTCTCTCCCTCTCCCTCTGTCCCTCCCCCTCCCTCTCTAAAATAAATTTTAAAAAAGATAAATTGGACTTCATCAAAATTTAAAATGTTTGTACATCAAAGGGTATTCATTACAAACACACTGAAAAACCAACCAATAGAATAGGAGAATATATTGGCAAATCATATATCTGATAAGTCTTACTATCCAGAATACATAAAGAACTTAATAACAAAAAGATAAACAACCCAATTAAAAAATGGACAAAGAACTTGAACAGACATTTCTCTAAACAAGATACTCATATGGCCAATAAGCACATGAAAAGATGCTCGACTCATTAGTCATAAGAGGAATGCAAATCAAAACATGAGATACCATTTCAAACCTACTAGGATTGCTATCATGAAAAAAGAAAAAGAAAAAGAATGGTTAGAATGTGGAAAAATGGGAACCTCATATGCTGCTGGATGGAATGTAAAATGGTGCAGCCATTATGGAAAATAGTTTGGCAGTTTCTCAAAAAGTTAAAGATAGAATTACCATATCACCCAGCAGCTTCACTCCTAGATACATACCCAAAGATTTGAAAACAGGGACTCAAAACAGATATTTGTATGCCAGTGTTCATTGCTCATTAATCATAATAGCTAAAAAGGTAGAAGCAACCCAAGAGTCCATGAGCAGATGAATGGACAAAATGTGTCATGTGCATACAATGGGATACTGTTCACCTATTAAAAGAATGAAATACTGATAAGTGTTACAACATGGATGAACCTTGAAAACATTATGCTAAGTGAAATAATCCAGACACAAAAGGACAAGAGTAGTTAAATCAAATCACTAGAATAGGCAAATTCATAGGGGTAGATAGTAGATTAGAAGTTACCAGGGGCCAGGGCAGGGGGGGATGGGGAGTTATTGTTTAATGGGTACAGAGTTGCTGTTTGGGTGATGGAAAACTTTTGGAAATAGGTAGTGGTGATGGTTTTAGAACATTATGAATGTAATTAACGTCATGGGATTGTACAATTAGAAATGGTTAAAATGACAAATATTGTGTTATATATATTTAACCACAATTTTAAAAAATAGTAGTAATTATAATTTGAAATTACTTCCCCCTAAAAAAAAAAAAGTTTTAGGTTCCTCTGCTATCTGAAAATTAAATGTCAGTGAAAAACCACATTTTTGTGGAACAAGAAAGTCAAAAGAGGAAGTAGGAGATGCAGCAACAGAAGCAAGAGGTTGTAGTGATTTTTTAAAAATATTTTATTTATTTATTTGACAGAGAGAGAGAGCAAGAGAGGGGACACAAGCAGGGGGAGTGGGAGAGGGAGAAGCAGGCTTCCTGCTGAGCAGGGAGCCCGATTCTGGGCTTGATCCCAGGACCCTGGGACCATGACCTGAGCCGAAGGCAGACGCTTAACGACTGAGCCACCCAGGCGCCACCCCCCCTTTTAAAAAAATATTTTATTTATTTATTAGAGAGAGCAAGAGAGGGGACACAAGGAGGGGGAGTGGGAGAGGGAGAAGAGGTTGGAGTGATTGTGAGGAAGGAAGTCAAGAGCCAAGGAATGCATTCTTCCTCAAAGAGCTGGAAAAGGTAATGAACAGATTCTCTCCTAATAGCCTCAGAAGAAAACAGTATGGTAACACCTTGATTTTAGCCTAGCTAAGTTACTTTCACACTTCTGGCCTCTAGAATTGGAAGAGTAAACTTCTGTTGTTTTAAGCCACTCGGTTGGTTTATGGTAATTTGTTATGGCAGCAATAGGAAACTAGCACATTCCCTGCGTAGATCACGTATCCTGAAATGTAGGATTTTAGAGGTGGGTGGGCATTTGTCCCCTCTGGGGATTTGGAGCCCTGGTATTACCAGCTTTCCACCCAGTTTGGCACTCCTGTCACTAGCACTGAGGCCTGAGAGAATCCCATTTGCAGACAGGCTAGTGGGAGAAGCTGCCTCTCCTTTGCATGCACCTATCCTGTGGATTTGTCCATGGGCAGGCACCCCTGTGCTGTGGCCTGGCTGGGCTCCCTTCTCACCCAAATATCAGTTTCTTTGCCCTGCCCTGGAGCCCATGGAATCATTCCTGAGTGTGCCAGACATACACTTGTGAAGAAGTACCCAACCCATGCCAAGGTCATCATGAAGCATGGAGTGGAGGAGGGGGTGCTATCTGAGCGGAGTTTATCTGTACCACTGGGGTCACAGGCTAGGACCACCAGGCAGCCCTGAAAGCTGGAAAGCCTACCTCAGTGACACGCATGCACATGTCTTCAAAGACACCTGGCTACACACCAGAGAAGCACCCTGGATGGAAGCCATGACATGGGTGACATGGGGAGAGGCTCCTAGTTCAGCTTGAGCCTCCACCAGTACTGGAAGCATCACAATGGAAAGAAATGCTGCAGAAGGGGCGTGGGTGGGCCTCTTCTGATCCCAGCTTGCAGTGCCCACTCATGGAGCTGCCCTTTCCCTGCAGAGCATGGAGGTAAGTCCTCCTGACAGATATGACCTTTCAGCAGGACCCATCCTCTGACAGGGAGAAGCCATGGGGCCCTAAGTGTATAGTGACCAGGAACTGACTTGCTCTGGCCAAGGAGACCTGCAGTGTGTCTATTGGCAGCTCAGGGAAAGCTGCCCAGCTTCATGGATGTGGTTAGGTCTGCACATGGCACCTGTAATGTTCTAAGGACCACTCCCTTTCTTACCTCAGACTGCTCTGGACTGTGTGAGAATAAAGACCAGGTTAATTATATCACCTTAAAGCTAGGGGTATGGCTGGGGAGGCAGGGAATAGAAATGAGTCACTGCTAGCATGCAGTGGTTCTCAGTGATGATAGCAACATCTGCTTCTGAGGACACAGTGGGAGGGCAGGGGGTGACACTCTGTGGCAGTGACCTTGCCTGCTGGGTTCTGGTCTCTCCATTCCCTATGATCTATACCCTGTCATTCTCACTGTAGGTCTTATGGTGGTGAGCCTGCCTACAGGGATCTGTTTTTTTCTGGACAGGCATAGAAAGATGGCTTCATCTTAATTCTCTCAATCTCTACTGCCTCCCTGTTCCACTGTTTATAAAATATTTTATTTAGTTATGAGAGAGAGCGCGCTCGTGCAAGCAGGGAGAAGGGTGGAAGGACACAGGGGGAGGGAGTGGGAAAGGGAGAGAGAATCTTGAGCAGACTCCACGCTGAGCACGGAGCTCGATGTGGGGCTCGATCGCATGACCCCAAGATCATGACCTGAGCTGAAACCAAGAGGCAGATGCTTAACTCGCTGAATCACCCAGGTGCCCCCTCCCTGTTCCACTTTTAAGGACCTTTGTTATTACACTGTCCACCCACCCGCCTCCTCAGATAATCCAGAATAATCTCCACATCTCAAGGTCAGCTGATTATCAACTTAATTCCATCTACCATTTAAGTTCCACCTTGCCATGTAATATAACTTATTTACATGTTCTGGAGATAAAGACCTGGACATCTTTAGGGTCATTATATTCTGCCTACCACAGTACAAGAATACACTTTTTAAAAAGTTTGAACATTACCTATATGGCTACTTGCTAGGTCAAGGATGAGTGCATTTTATTTTTTTTTATTTATTTATTTCTTTAAAGATTTCATTTATTTATTTGACAGAGAGAGAGATAGCGACAGCAGGAACACAAGCAGGGGGAGTGGGAGAGGGAGAAGCAGGCTTCCCGCTGAGCAGGGAGCCCGATGTGGGACTCGATCCCAGGACCCTGGAATCATGACCTGAGCCGAAGGCAGATGCTTAACGACTGAGCCACCCAGGCGCCCCAAGGGTGAGTGCATTTTATATATTGATAGATGTCAACAATGATTCTCTAGAGAGGTGTTTCCAATTTACCCTCCCCTGGCAGTGCTGTGAGAGCCTTGGGATGATGATGATGATGATGACGACAACAACAGCTCTCTTATTTATTTAGTAGTGTTAACCTTAAAAATAAAACAGTTACTTTATTTTTTTTTTAATTTTATTTATTTATTTGACAGAGAGAGAGACAGCGAGAGAGGGAACACAAGCAGGGGGAGTGGCAGAGGGAGAAGCAGGCTTCCCGCAGAGCAGAGAACCCGATGCGGGGCTCGATCCCAGGACTCTGGGATCATGACCTGAGCCGAAGGCAGACGCTCAACGACTGAGCCACCCAGGCGCCCCAAAACAGTTACTTTACCAGCAAAAATCGGTTTATTTGGGAATAGGTGAGAATTACAATTCTGGACATGCAAGCTACAGCAAAACTGTAGGCGAGTCTAACAAAGGAGATGAACGTTATTTTATGGAGAGGAAGGAGGAAGTTAGGAGGGGCTGTTCTGAAGGAAAGTCCATTGGAGAAGAGTTCAGGGTGATTAGTTTCTCATTGGCTGAGTTGCAGGGCCCATTCATTTCTTGTAGGAGATGCAATGTACATCTTTTCCTGTTGGGGCCTGTAATTGAGGATTTCTTTCCTGTTGAAGATTCTTCTGTTGGTAATTCTTGACTTCCAGTGGTACCAAATGAGAGCTCCCCCTTTCACTCCATTTTAGTGAGGTTCCCCTTTACTAAGTTTCACAGCACTGTGATCCCACTGGCCCTGTGCTAAACACTTTCCATGAGAAGAGCTGTAGTATTTATCAAATTTCATTACTGGATTTTGAGTTAGAGCTTATTCTGGGAGAGCATCAGAATCCCCAAGAGGGACAAGGCACAGAACGTTCAGGCTCATCCCAGAGTTTCCGATGGGGGAAAATGCAGACGTGAAGCTGTTCCCCAGGGGCCCCCTCAGGGCTGGTCCCTCTACTCCAGAATGCGGGTCACCCGCATCTCTGAGGGAGGAGATCTGGAGTAGCCCCGAAGAGGAAGCTAAAACACACCGCTGCCATTCTTAATCTCGGGCTCCATTTCGCAGTACCCCTTGCGGTGCCACCTGGGCGTTGCCAAGGGGAACTTGCGGGCGCCCCCGGCCCGGCCTATGCGGGGCAGAAACTACATCGACCAGAAGGCTACGGGGAGTGGCGGCGACCTATGAGCCAATCACAGCACAGAAGAGCTATTTCCTCCGGCTCCCGGGCTTCCGGCGTTTCCCTTGCGGACGTTCATTTTGCTCTTGACAGGTCGTTAAACAGCGCCCTTGGGGACCTGAGCTCTGGGTCGGGGCCGCTTTCCAGGCGCCTCCTTGGGACCCAGCCGGGGAGGACACTAAGGAGGATGAGATCAACTGCCGCGCTTCGTACCAGCCGATCTCCTGTAAGGGGGTTGTCCTCTTCCTCAGCACTCGCCCTCCGTCCCCTTTGACTGGGGCGCCGATTGCGACCGGCGGCGGGCGGGCACCTGGCCCAGTGGAGGCGTAGGGATCGGCTGAGCACTCAGGGCCTGCCCGGGTCCGATGGCGGCGGCGGCGGGGATGGTGGACCCGGCGCGGGTGAGTGGAGGGCGCCCGCCGCCCTCACTCACCGGATCCCCACGCACATGGTCCGGGGTCCACGACAGAGGGGAGTGGGGAGTCCCTGCACTCTTTTCCTCCACCTTCACTTCTCTTCCTTTGCTGCTGGGACCCTAGAATCACCCAAGCCCGAGGTCTTGAGTCCTAGCCAGAGGTTATGTGGGAAGTGTCACAATTCTGGAATCCAGTGGGACAAGACGTGGAAAGCTGTTTCAGGCATAGGGACCGGGATGTGCAAAGGCTTAGAGAGGAGGCTGAGCTGGGGGTATTCAGGGAACTACAGGTCTCCCTTATGTCTGGTGGGCAGGAATCAGGCCTGGAATGGCATCCTGGGGAGCTTGGCCTGAGGATGGTGGGAGCCATGGAAGGTTTGGAGTAGAGGAGAAAGGTGATCTGACTCAGGTGTTCACAGGCTCCCTTTGGCTGCAGAGTGGAAAAGAGAGGTAGGGTGGGGTAGGGGGTGAGGTTGAGGGGGCAGAAAGGGAGGCCGGTAAGGATGCTCTTTTACTAGATCAGGTGGGTGATGGTGTCTTGGCCTGAGTGGTGACTGGAGTTGGGAGAAGTGGTTGGATTCTGGATCTGTCTTTTAAGCCAGCCAGATTTTATGATGTGCAGAGAAGTGGAAGAGGCAGGGATATCTCCATGGATTTTGGCCTCAGTTAGTAGAAGGTGGAATTGAAGTGCATCGACTGAGATGGAGAGGTTGCTGGGTCGAACAAGTTTCAGAGAAGATCAGGAGGCTGATTTTGACCCTGTTGAGGCTGAGATGTCCTAAAGACTTAGAGCTGGAGGTACTGAATGGGCAGCTGGACATGCAGGTCTAAGTTATGCTGAGGAATTGCGCTTGGAGACATCCAGTCAGCAGTAGTCAGTGTGTGAGCTGAGGTGGAGCTCTGGCTCAGATTGGAGAGGAGACATCTTCAGCTTATGGTGAAGGATGTCCTACAGGGGCAGCTGAGGACTGGGTGGCTGGCCTGGGTATTGGGCAGGGTTGGTGGGTGTCACAAGGTCAGATGAAGGGAGGAGGAGCCGTGAGAGAAGGTGTGTGTGAGAGGAGGGTCCAGAGAGTGACCAAGATCCCTGGGACAGAGGCTGAGGCATACTGGAGATGCAAGTAGCATGACAGCGGAATTGAGGCTCCTGTTTAGTCACCTCTCTATGGGCTCACCAGCATTTCTTGGCCACCCTCTGTGGGGCCTGAGGGTTTCAGTCAGGATGGCAGATTAGCTCAGTGGCAGTCAGCTGGGAGTGTTCCAGGCCTGGGGTGGGAGGTAGTGGGGCTGGGCTTTGTGCATCAGGAGGAAAGAGGAATGCTGAGGCTGGTGAGGGGACAGCATGAATAAAGGCAGAGAGACCTGGAGGTCCCAGAAGTCTTTGTGGCCCAGCCTGGATAGCTAAGGGTTAAAGGTAGGAATAGGATCAGTTAGAGAAACTGAAGGAAGGCTGGGTGCCACCTCTGGAAGTTGGGACTTTTGGAAGTCTGGGTCAGCATGGGATCCTGGTTGACCTCACCAAGTTAGCCACATTTTGGACACCCATCTGCAGAGTGGTATGTAGGGTTGCTGGGAGGAAGAATGGGCCACGGGATGGTGGTGGGGTCTGGAGATGTGTGGTACAAAGATGGACGTGCACATGCAGAGGGAGTATGAATTGATGGACTGGAGTCCTGGTCCTGGGGGCCTATGTGAGATGAGCCCCAATTTGGTTGTTCTGGGAGGCAGGGTCTGGGAAGCCAGGGGACACAGTGATCAGTGGGACACAGTGATCAGTGGGACACAAGGAGACCATGGCACCCATGGCACTGGAGCTTAGGGAGAAGGGTGACCTAGGAGTGTGTTGGCAGGGGTGATCTGGGGGTTAGAGACTACCCACCAGAAAGGTGGCAGCATATAGGTCACAGGCCTAGGTCTGGGTTCATCTTTGTGTTTTTTTGTTAGTTTTTTTTGCTGCCCTGTGGTCTGGCTGACTTAGCTGTCCTCATCATGACAGGACTGGGGGACCTTTGAGGACGTGGCCGTATACTTCTCCCGGGAGGAGTGGGAGCTCCTTGATGAGACTCAGAGGCACCTATATCACAATGTGATGCTGGAGAACTTGGCTCTTGTGGCCTCACTGGGTAAGGCCCTCCCACCCCCCCACCCCCCCACCCCCCCACCCCCCCGCTTCCTGTTCTAGTCTCTGTCCTTCCTTTTCTCCCAGGAACAGCTCTGTCTTCCTACAGCTGAGCATGGGTGCTGCTTCCTCCTTTGGGCTATGTGCTGTGTGTGCAGAGCTGGGGCACAGGCAGAGCCTGCTCCTTTCCCTGAGGGGCCCCAATATCTGCTTCCCTTTCTGGGGAAGGGCTCAGGACTGGGGGTCTCAGTCTGGCTGCCTGAGTTTATCTAGATCAGTGGCACCTCTGTGCCCAGGTTCTTCCCCCCTTTTTTACATCAGACATTTCCAGGAGCCTGGCTATGTCATGGACTACAGACACTGACGTGGTTATTACTCGTGGCGACCACTGGGCTCTTCCTGTGAGATGCTCCTCAGAGGCTTATTTTGTAACATTGAGTTTTCTTCCCAGTTGCAAAGATGACGTGAGCTCCCTCTGGTCTGCCACAGGGTAGGCTGCCCTTGGCTGGCCCAGCCACTCACCCACCCTGTCTTTTTCCCAGGACTTAAAACTTTCAGGTCCTGTGTAGTTGCTCACCCGGAAAAGGACAAAGAAGCCTAACAGGGTGGACATAACTCCATATACTGCAGGAGAGGCTGGGAGGGCGTCTGGCTCTAATGAGTGGGAGCTGGAGCAGAGCTGACATGGGGGCTGGGTTCACACTGTCCTGGGCACCTGCCCTGTATCCACTAGTGTTTGTTGCTGGGGCCAGTAGCCGAACTTTACTCCATTTTCCTTCCTCATTCTAGACACCACATTCTTGCCATTTCTACTTTGTCCCTGGACACTGCTCTTATCTCTGCATCTTCCTCATTCCCCTTTACAGGGATGTCCCACATTAGCCCACAGTCAATGTATTATGAGATGTGCACATATCCTCATATAGGCTTTAAGCACCAGATGCCTGGTTGCAGCTGGATTTCCCTGGGCTCGTGCACACCACTCTGTCCCCTGTTCCTATCAGAGATCTGGGGTCTGCCTGTACTGGGTCCTGCTGAAAGCTGAGGAATTGCAGTTCCTGCCTCTCCTCCCAGCCGGAACCTTACACCTGTGCTCTCATGTGCTGAATCTTCACTTTTGGTGGTTTTCCTGGGCCCAGTACTGCACCACAAGCTCTACCTCACCCTGACTTGATCCTACAGACTCATTCCTAAATTTGTCAAATCCACATCTGAGAAGGGGCTGCCCACTCCCAACAAAGCCTATATACACTTCACCAGTATTTCTCTGCTTTCAGGTTGTTGGTGTGGAGTAGAGGAAGCCCCTCTTGAACAGAGTGTTTCTGTAGAAGGAGCACTCCATTTCAGGACCCCTAAAGCATGTCCTTCCACCCAGAAGGCCAACACCTGTGACATGTGTGGCCTGGTCTTGAAAGACATATTACACCTGGCTATGCATCAGGGAATATACCCTAGGCAGAAACCGTACAAGTGTGCGACATGCGGGAGAGGCTTCTGGCTCAGTACAAACTCTCACCAGTGCCAGAAGGAGCACAGTGGAGAAAAACGCTTCACAAGTAGCGAACGTGCTAAGGATGTCCTGGACAGCCATGACCTCCTGCAGCATCCAGCCACCCAGAGCACGCGGAAGCCACACAGGAGCACCACGCACAAGGAGGCCTTCCACCCCAACTCTAGCTTCCAGCAGCAGCAGAGAGTCCACGCCACGCAGAACCCCTTCAAGTGCAGCAACTGTGGGAAAGGCTTTCTAAAGGCCTTCATGCTCCTAGACCACCTGCTCACTCACTCCAAAGAGAGACCCTGCAGATGCCCAACAGGGGGAAATGCCCCTAAAGAGAACTCCACCGTTGTTCATCCCCAAAAAAATCACACTGGAGAAACATCCCATGTGTGTACGGAATGTGGGAAGGCCTTCAGCCACCTTTTTAAACTGAGTACACATCAGAAAGCTCATATTGGAAAACCGCATCACAGTTGCAGTGAATGCGGGAAAGCCTTCACCCGAAAACACTCCCTTGTTCAGCACCAGCGAGTTCACACTGGAGAACGGCCTTATGAGTGTGGCCAGTGTGGGAAGGCCTTCACTCGCAGCTTCCATGTTGTTCGGCATCAGAAAGTTCACAACACAGAAAGGCCTTATGAGTGCAGACAGTGCCGGAGAGTCTTTAGCTGTATCGCCAATTTTGTTGAGCACCAGAAAATACACACTGGGGAAAGGCCGTATGCGTGCAATGAATGTGGGAAAGCCTTCATTAACAGCTCTCATCTTGTTCGGCATCAGAAAGTTCACAACACAGAGAGGCCTTTTGAGTGCAGCGAATGTGGAAAAGCCTTCCGGCAAACCTCCAAACTTATTCTGCATCAAAGGAGTCATACGGGAGAAAGGCCTTATAAATGCAACCAGTGTGGGAAAGCCTTCAGTTGCCCCTCCAACCTTGTTCCACACCAGCGAATTCATACTGGAGAAAAGCCTTATGAGTGCTCGGAATGTGGAAAAGCCTTTAGTCAAAGCTCTGCCCTCATTCAGCACCAGAAGGTTCACACCAGAGAAAGGCCTTATGAGTGCAGTAAATGTGGAAAAGCCTTCAGCTATAGCTCGAACCTTGTTAAACACCACAAAGTTCACACTGGAGAAAGGCCTTACGGGTGCAGCCAGTGTGGGAAAGCTTTCAGTGAGAGCTCCATCCTCAGTCAGCACCAGAGAGTTCACACTGGAGAAAAGCCTTATGAGTGTAACAAGTGTGGGAAAACTTTCCGCTACAGCTCAAACCTCTCTAAGCACCAGAAAGTTCACACTGGAGAAGAGCCACCTGAGTGCAGTGGACATAGGAATGCCTTCAGCCAGAGTTCCAACCTCACTCGGCACCATGAAGGTCATACCAAAGAGAGGCCTTAGGAGTGTGGCAAATGTGGAAAACCACTAACTAACCGGGGCATTTTCTTGTTCACCTTAATAGAGTTCACGCCTGAGAAAACTTCTGTGAAAGGAACCTTTGTGAAGAAGCCATAAGCCAAAAATTGAAAAATACCCTAACACCCCTACCAGGAGATTGCCAGATACATGGGAAGCTTTCAGAAGCTACATCACACTTTCTAATCTGTCCAGGTGCTTTGCCAGATTATGTCACTGCCAGATGCCATCTCACTTCTACCAGCTGGCAGGTCCCCCCACAGCCTGTCATCTCAGCATACTCAGGGAAGGCTGATTTTGTGCTCTCTCATTCCCTGGAGGGAGACATGAGTGATGGGAGCTCTTTGGGGTGGCCTCATTTTTCATTTCTGCCCTGTCCCCAGTGGTTCAGGCATAGCCCTGACCTCTTTCTCTCCAGGGGGATCTGAATGGAGTCTGAGGACTTGCAGAAGTAGTTCCCTCTTTTGTGGGTATTGGGTTTTTTTTTTTTTTTTAAGGTTTTATTTATTTATTTGACAGAGCAAGCACAAGTAGGGGGAGCAGCAGGCTCCCCTCTAAGCGGGGAGTGCAATGCGGGGCTCGATCCCATGACCCTGGGATCATGACCTGAGCTGAAGGCAGACGTCTCCAAATCACCCAACCCTGGAACTGCCTGTCCCCAGAGTGTGTGATAAAAAAGGAAGGCCTTCCCGTTGAAGCCATCTTTAATCTCCATCGTGTGCAGGGGGAGATGGAGAACAGAATTGGGCTCTAACAGGATAAAGAGGGAGAAAGGCCTTAGTGGGAGACCTCAACTTCAACAGCAAGATGGCACACAACAGCTTGCAGTCTAGGCCCAAGGCCTTCTGGGACAGGCTGAAAGTCTCTGGGTTAAATCTTGTGTCCTGGATGCCAGAACGATCTGATAGGCCCAGAGCTTTGGACATTGGGTATTGCAATCTCTAGTCCTTCCTGGGCAGCAGGGGTTGGGTTCTTTGTTCCTGGGAATGTCCCACATTCTCCAGTAGAGTTGAAGGGCCACTGTCTCCTGGGACCTATCCATGAGTAAGGCCCCTGATGTCCAGGTTATCGCTGGATGTAAGATCTTTAGGGGCCAGGCAGAATCATAAGTGGGTACAGAAACACTGGTTTTGAAGTGAGGGAGTCAGTGAGACTGGCAAACAGAGGAGATGCTATGCTTCAGCCACATCATACCCACTCACAAGAATTGTGTTCAACTCCACATTCAGTAACAATCACATCAATGGCTTTCAATCAGCCATGGTAGAATTTATACCACAAAAAAATGAACAAACAATAGTTCTTTGAAAACAAACAAAAAACAACTGGAAAAAAAAAAACCAACCCTGATATGGAGTGTTTGCCAAGTTTGTTGATACTGACTTTGGCCATAGGAGAAACTCAGCTCTGCAGATCTTAGGAAGTCCTGCATACTCTCACTTGTCCTCTAGCACGAGTACACTGACCCTTTACGATGTGTATGCTGCTCACTGCTGGAGCAAATCACCTAACCTAATGGTGATGTGGATTCCTGTAGTCTCCCTGCGCTGGTCACTTCAAGGCCATCAATGCACAGGCAGGAACCCTGGGACTATAGTCCAGGACTTTTGTAGCTCAGCCAGTATTCTAGGTCAGTGTGGTGTCCATGGTCTTCATCATCTGTTTTTTGCTGCCACTGAGACAAGGCTGTCCCTGGGTACAGGGATCAGAGAGGATGGAATCAACATTTGATTTGCCCCCATTTTCTGGTTTTCCAAGAGTGAGAGATCCATATGCTTATGTGAAGCCTTTTGATTTTATAAATGCTGAAAACTTATATACAAAATTTATAGGTATATAAGCAACCTATATATATGGGCTACACATGTGTTCCTGGTCCAACACTTGAAACAGTCAGAAAATAAGCAAATCAGCTGTCAGGAGCCCAGGGGTCCCCAGATATGAAGGCTTTTGGCACAGTGTTTACCCCACAGCATGTGGCAGGGGAGGGGGCACTGCTGTTGCTACTCCACTCAGGACCCCCCAGTTTCCCGAGGCTGACCATGTGAGGGATGGCAGGATCCCAGGCAGGCTTGTGGTCAGCCAAGCATGTGGCAGATCTGCCTAAGTGCTCCCTGCATCCCAAGGTATCATGGCACCCCGTGGACCCTCTGGGTATAATAATTGCCTTCCATTAACATGGGGGGCTTGGAGTTAGAACCAAAGTCCATTTGAACCTTGGGGTATCAGGCTTCCAAGAAAAGGGATCATGGATCATCAAGAGCTCAACTCCTTGTACCCATGTGGCCAGCTATGGTTAGACAGACCTCAAAACACTGCTCCCAGTGCATGAATGAAGTCTTCTGTCTCCTACTCTCCTCACCAGGGATCTGCACACACCAACCAAATTATTGGAACCTCCGTATTTCCCTGGTGGTACCAGAACATAGCAAACAAGGGTCTGTTGGCTCTGAGTGTTTCATCTCTCCACAGTACCAACTTATGTGAAGCTCAAGTCCTCCCAGCTTGATGACGTATACAGGGGTCCTCGGCCTGCTCAGGCTCTCCCTCCTGAGTGTAACAACTGCCTTGCACCACCATGGAAGGGCTGCTTGGGATCAGAGTTCAAGTCCAGCTAAGCCATGTGGAGCTCAGGCCTGCAAGCAAAGTAGGGCAGACACTCATCATGAGAACTCAACCCCTTTTATCCCGAATGGTCACCTGTGTGTAGACCTTGTAAAATGAATTCTTTTGGCAGAGTCCTTGATTTGGTGAAATGGCCCTGACTTGAACCTGACTTCTGCTCTCCCCATCAGGGCTCTGTGCAAGGCAGCTGGCTTGCTGTGTGTGTGTACGTGTGTCTGTGTAGCTCAGCGTGGGCGTGGGCGTGGGCATGTGCTGGAGCATCTAAAACAGAGCACTTGTGGCTCAGCGTCTATAAACTGGGGCTACTAATGTTCATCTTGACTCTACAGGAGGACTGTCCTGTGAACAAGCCACAGAAGGAGGCAGTGTAGAGTGACGGTCAGAAGCAGCCCTTCTGGTCATTTGAGCCCTAGATCCACTTAGTCCCTGGAGCCAGATGCCAAGTGTACTTTTGGGTTCCAGGTACCAAAACAGGCCAAGGCAATTCAATAGGTTCAACCACTAGTGGATAGCCAGCCACATGTAACAAACCTCGAAGTTTCCTCAAGTCATACGCAAAAGCGAACTCGAAATTCATCACAGACAGGGGGGTGGGGGGATGGGTTGGCCTGCTGGTGGGTATTGAGGAGGGCACGTTCTGCATGGAGCACTGGGTGTTAGGCACAGACAATGAATCCTGGAACACTGCATCTAAAACTAATGATGTAACGTATGGGGCTTAACATAAGAATAAAAAAATAATAAATATAAAAAAGACATAAAACTTAATAAAACTTCCAGAAGAAAGCACAGTGGCCCTGGATTTGGTGGATTTCTTAAATATAACAAAAAGCATGACAAGAAAAAGATGAATCAACTGGATTTGATCAAAATTTTTAATTTTTGCTTTTCAATAGTCACATCAACAAAATGAAAATGCAAGCCACAGACTGGGAAAACTGTCTGCAAAAAAATTCTGACAAAGGACCTCAATCTAGAATATATGAAAAATTCATACACCTAATAAGACAACCCAATTTTTAAAAATGGGCAAAAGTGACTTGAACACTCACTTCACTAAAGAAGATACATGAATGGCAAATAAGCACATGCCTTCTATGTAAAAGGTCTTACTATTTTTTTTAAGATTTTATTTTTAAGTAATCTCCACACCCAACCTGGGGCTCGAACTTAAAACCTTGAGATCAAGAGTCACATACTCTGGGGCTCCTGGGTGGCTCAGTCATTAAGCGGCTGCCTTCGGCTCGGGTCATGATCCCGGGGTCCTGGGATCGAGCCCCGCATCGGGCTCCCTCCTTGGCGGGAGGCCTGCTTCTCCCTCTCCCTCTGCCACTCCCCCTGCTTGTGTTCCTGCTCTCACTCTCTCTCTCTCTCTGTGAAATAAATAAAATCTTTAAAAAAAAAAAGAGTCACATACTCTACAGATAGAGCCAGCCAGGTGCCCCTAAAATGTGTTCTTTTATTTAAAGTTCACAACACTCCCACAGGTGTTCTATAGATAGTGAGGTGGTTAAGAGTACAGACCGTGGAGCTACATACTGTACATTTATGTACCAGCTGATAATTAGTTGTATGCTCTTGGACAAGTTACAAAGTCTCTGTGATTCAGTTTTCCCTATATTTAATTGATAGTTTGTATGGCTGTGGCAGATATGAAGGTTTGCAGGTCCTGAGAAACTCTGTACAACATCACCCCACACGGACACGGTCATCAAAGCAGAGTCATGGCTGCCCCATAGACAAAGCACAGGCACTCTAGGTTGCCAGTCTCCAATCCCTATTTCCTCATACCCAGTGATTATCACTTAATATACCCACCTAGTTCTTATATGAACGCAGGAGGTAACCCTGCCTAACAGGGTCTGATGTCTAGAGGGCATGTCTTTTTAGCCCAGGAGAAGAGCTTCCTACCATTGTTGCAGGGGGTATGCTATGAAATATGAAACATCCTCTAGAACAAGAGATCAGCAGCTTCTTCTGCATCACTATAAGGTTTTTAGAACCACTTCTCCCTTCCCCAGGTGAGCTTTTGGTATCTGAGTTAAAAGATTTAGAGCAGAGAATCTTTCAGCCTTTCCCAGGAGGGCATAGGATAGAAATGCAAATTAGGATATACACTGGAAAGGAAGAAGTTAAAGTCTTTTTTTTTTTTTAAAGATTTTATTTATTTGTCAGAAAGAGAGATAGTGAGAGCACAAGTAGGGGGAGCGGCAGGCAGAGGGAGAAGCAGGCTCCCCACTGAGCAAGGAGCCTGATGCGGGACTCAATTCCAGAACCTTGGGATCATGACAGCCCAAGGCAGATGCTTAACCGACTGAGCCACCCAGGTGTCCCTGAAGTTAAAGTGTCTTTATTTACAGATGACATGATCTCTGTGTAGAAAATCCCAGGTCCATTAAAAGTAGTGCTTAGTTGGTTAAGTGTCTGACTCTTGATTTTGGCTCAGGTCATGATATCAGGGTCGTGGGATCAAGCCCTGCGTCCAGGCTCCACGCTCAGCGTGGAATCTGCTTGAGATTCTCTTCCTCTCCCTCTATGCCCCTGCTCCCTCTCCCCCTCTATCTCTATCTCCCTCTCTAAAAAATATATATGTATATGCAAATATATGCAATATATATATATATGCAAAAAACAAAAACAAAGCAGAGCTGCTCAGTTTCCCATACAAATCATCAAATGAAATTAATGAAGCAATTCCATTCACAGTAGCCTGAAAAAGAATGAAACAGGAATAAGTTTAACAAAAGAAGTGCAATTCTCTGAAAGTACTCTGAAAGATATAAAACGGTGCTAAGAGAAATTGGTGAGAAACATTCCACGTTAATGGATTAGCTGATTCGTTTTAAGATGACAGTGTTCTCCAAATTGATATACAGATTCCAGATAACAAGATGATCCTAAATTCACATAGATAAAGACTTACAACAGCCAAAACGATTTTGACAAGGAACAAAGTTGGATTTACCTTACCTAATTTCAAAAGTTTCTATAAAGCTATAGTAATCAAGACAATGTGGCACTGGCAAAAAGACAGACATACAGATCCGTAGAACAGACTTGAGAGTACCGAAATAACTTTACTCAACTGATTTTCAACAAAGGTACAATGTGTAAAGATGGCCTTTTCAACAAACAGCTCTTGGAAAATTAGATATCTACATGCAAAAAGATGAATTTAGACCCTTACCTAACACTATACATAAAAGTTACCATGGAATGGATCATAAATGGAAATATAAGAGCTAAAACTAAAGCTGATAGAAGAAAAATAGGAGAAAAATGTTTACTTTGGGTTAGGCAAATAATTTTTTAGATATGAAACCAGGAGGCAATATGTAAAAGGAAAAACTAATAAATTAGACTGTGGTGTCTAAATGGGGTGTCTCCCGATCAGATGGGGAACCCCAAATGTGGGGCGAAGATCAGGTGGAAATCGGTGGCACAGAAGGTGAAAGGAGTCACCTGAGGCAGAACAAAGGAGATAGAAGTTTACTGACTACACCACAAGGGAGGGTGGGCAGGTCAGCACGGACAGGGGCGGGAGCTGTTTTTAAAGGAGGAAGATAAGGACAGTGGTGACATATGGAATTCTCCTTTTTGGTAACTGTGCCTAGTTGTAAGTAGCCTACTATGGAATCTTTTTTTCAAGACTTATTTATTTAAGAGAGAGAACGCACATGTGCACACATGAGCGGCGGCGGGGTGGGGGGGGTGGCGAGGGTGAGAGAAAGGGAGAGAATCCTGAGCAGACTCCCCCTGAGTGCAGAGCCCCATCGCAGGGCTCAATTCCATGACCCTGAGATCATGACCTGAGCTGAAATCAAGAGTCTGATGCTCAACCGACTGAGCCACCCAGGCCTCCTGGGCCTATGGATATTTTGTGGTGGGCCGCCCGATCGGCCTGTCCTTATTCAGCCAGGGGGTCACTGTGGGCTCTTTCTACATTCCCTTGCTTAGGCCTGTTTGCCTAAAAGCAGCCTCTACATAGACTTCATCAAAATGTAAAATATTGCTCTTCAAAGGGCACCTGGCTGACTCAACTGGTAGAGCAAGCGACTCTTGGATCTCAGGGTTGTGAGTTCAAGCCCCAATGTTGGCCTTAAAGCTTACATTAAAGAAAAAGTAAAATATTGCTCTTCAAAAGATGTCATTAAGAAAATTAAAACAAGCCACAGACCAAGAGGAAATAAACACCTGTACATAAATATGGGGTCTTGATACAGAATATATAAAGAATTTGTACAACTCAATAAGAAGACAACCCAAGTAAAAATGAACAAAAGATTTGAAAAGACATTTTATCAAAGAAGATAAACAGTTAAAAAGCACATGAAAAGATGCCTGACATCATTATTAATTAGGGAAATATAAATTAAAAACCCCTTGAGATTATTATTTGTTGGGTGTAGAGTCTTAGTTTAGGATAATGAAAAGGCTGTAAACATGTATAGCAGTGACAGTTGTACAACTGTGTGAATTAATGTCACTGAACTGACACTTAAAAATATAAGTTTTATGTATATTTTACCACAGTTAAAAAAAATCCTTTGAGATACCATTTCACACTCACTAGGATGGCAACACCAAGTATTGGCAGGAAGGTGGAGAAAACGGAACAGTCCTACAGTACTGGTGGGAATATAAAATGGTAGAGACACTTTGGAAAACAGCTTGGCAGTAAAGAGAGAAACATGAACTTAACATATGACTCAGCAGTCCCACTCCTAGGAATTGTCAGGCAGGAAGACCTTACTCTACCCTATGCTCCTTCTAACTGGACTTAGAATCAAATCGACATGATACAGATTAACAGGAGAAAATGAAATTTAATGGGCATACATACAGGGAATCAACAGACATGAAATTCCAAAGACAGTGAGGCAACATAAAGCTTACAAGAGCTAAGGGTAGAAGTCTAAGGATAGGGGAGAAAGCCCCTTAGCAAGAAGTTGAAAGGAAAGGTTTGGAAACACAAGGTTGCTCTATTATGCAGATAAGTCCCTTAAGTAAAGGGCAATCCCTGTTAATAACTCTCTTCCTATTACAGGATCTCCTTTCCAATGTAAATTAAGCAGTTGTGAGAAAGGCAGAGAGCTTTTCCTACATCTGCTGGGGTTTTTTTGGGGTTTTTTGTTTTTGTTTTTTTTTTAAAGGGCCATGACCTGAGCCTAAGGCAGCTGTTCAACCAACTGAGGCAGCCAGGGTTTTGATTACTTTTTTTTTTTTTTAAGTAGGCTCCATACCCAGTGCAGAGCACAAATGCCTCAGGACCAGAGATCAAGACCTGAGCTGAGATCAAGAGTCGGACGCCTAACTGAGCCACCCAGGCGCCCCTTGATAACTTTTAAATCTAAAAAATCTTTATGCTAAAGTGGCCCAGCTTGGGGCAGCCTGCCCTTGCTCCTATAGAATCTACCCAAGCAAAACAAAAACATATGTCTACACAAAGATTTGGAAGCAAATGTGCCTACTACCATTATTTATATTAGCCAAGAACTGAAAACAATTCAAAATCTATCAATTAATGATGGATAAACTGTGGTATATCCATACAAGGGAATAAAATGGAATAAAATACTGATATATACAAATAACATGAATAACCTCAAGAACATTATGCTAAGTGATAGAAACAAGACACAAAGAGCTACATATTATATGATTCCATTGATACGAAATATCCAGAAGAGGCAAAAGTATAGATACATAATGTAGATTAGTGGTTGCCAGGGGCTGGGGACGGGAGTGGGTTTTGGCTGTAAAAGTGTCCAACGGAACATTCTGAGGCAATGGGAATGGGGTAAGATAATAATGGTTGTACAACTCTATAAATCTACTAAAAGTCATTAATTATGCACTTATAATGGGTATATTTTATAATATATAAATTACACTTCAATAAAGCCACTTAACAAACAGGACTATGGGCTATTCTTTCTCACAGTCCTGGAGTTCCTGACCACATGGTGATAACCAAAAGTATCCAGCCCACTAAGAGATGACAGGAATGCATAAAACACTGGTTAGGAGTACAGCTCTGGGAGATATACAGATCCTTAAGACCCTCTGCGAACCTTCATCTTGCAAGGGCCCAGACATCAAAATGGTGTGCCAGGCTCCCCCATGTCCTATTTTCCTCACACTCAGTTTTCTTTACCCATTAACAGTACTCATTTCATTCTTATACAAACACAAGTGGGTGATATATTACTAGGATCTGGCCTTCAGGGTGCTTCCTTTCAACATTGCTGAGGTGGGAAAGACACTCCCTGAAACACAGACCATCATCTTGCTTCTTCCAGACCCATCACTACCTTTTCTAGGTGAACTCCAGGTCCGAAGCTTCAGAAACACACAGGCTTCATTCTTTGCCAGGGAACACGGGGTACAAATGTAAATTGAGTCACATCTGGACAGAGATGCGCCATGCCTTGCTGCTGTGCCCTCTGTGAGGTGCTATAGGGACCCTGATGACCAATCTAAGAACACCTCTGTCATGTTCTCAACGCACTCCTGCTAAACAGGACTCTAATATCAAAGGTGAATTAACTGGTGATATATTCATTATCAAATGGTCCAGAGCAGTCTGAGGTCATGGTACCAGAGCTGGGTGATGACAGGAATGCATAAAAACTGTTAGGAGTACCTGAAGAAGCTCAATGAAGGCATCATGGATGTCAGAAGCAGATTTCACAAGGCCCATAAACAAGGGGAAACTTACCCAGAAGCCCTCCAAAAACTATTCCATCAGGCCCCTTGCTTAGAACAGGAGTCATGTCCATGTCAAACTCAGTCATGGGTGAGCACCATGATACCACTTCAACGGGTGCAGGGCCACCACCATCCCCCCAGGGGAAGGCAAGCAGGGAACAGGCACTGCTTATGCTGAGCAAGAAGAGGTGACCATCAAACACAGAAGGGCTTTTCCACAGCACCCAGCAGTGCAACAAGTGGTCACAAAGTACAATATGGCCCCTACAGGCTTCCCCACACACAGGGCAGCCATGGAGTGAGTGTCTCTCCAGGTGAGGTTCTTCTATATGAGGTCCAACTTGTGACTGAAGGCTACTCGTGTAGGGTCCTTCTCAGTTATTAATTCTTTTATATTGAATGAAGTTTTTAAAATAGGCTGATTATTTAAAATGTTAAAAAAAAGAAAAGAGCAGCTGAAGACTTTACCACATTCACTGCTCTCAAATGGATTTTTTCTAGTGAAGTTGTTGGTGTTGGCAGGGCAGGAGCTCTGGCCAACTGTTCTCCCATGCTGGCTGTACACACAGGAGCTTTCTCCAGTGTTAATATTTCTATGCAGAACATGGCAGGAGCCACAGCTTTTTGCTCTCCTACTCACTATACTCACAATGCAGTAACTTGCTGCAAAATTGGATTAAATCTGTGACAGAAGGCTTTCCAACATCAGCTGTACTCATTATGCCTTTCTCCAATGGGGATTGTGTGAAACAGGTTTAATATTTTCTTGAAAGTTACTGCATTTGTACAACTGTTCTCTGATATGAATCCTTTGGTGCTAACAAGAATGGAGCTCTGGAGCAGATGCCCACATTCTCTGCACTTGAGTCCTTTAGTGCAGGGGGAAGCAAAATTTTGCTCAAGGCTGGGCCATACTCCCTGCCTTTATAAAGCCTTTCTCAAGGAGAACATTCTGGTGCTCAAAAGGAACAGAGCTCTGGCTGGAGGCTTTCTCGTGTTACTACACTCACAATATTTGAAGATATGAATGTCCTCCTGCTTTCTCAGGATGGAGGCAAAGGTGATGACCTCCCCACCTTCCCAACGTACTTGGGATTTTTTTTCCCATTCTGAAATGTTTTTGGTGACTGAACACCTCTCCAGGTAATATGTGTTTACTGGGTGTCTCTTCAGTGTCAGTTCTCTGCAAAATGTCGAGTTGGCAGGGCCTGGTGATAGGCAAGAGCTGTGCAGTGAAGGTGGTCCAGCCAGTGACACTGTGTCCACTTTCCTTTGAGGGAACAAGCAGTCTCATGGTGGAACAAATTTTCAAGAACTACTTAAAGATATGTATCAGCTCAGGACATGTTAAGGGGAGGCTACTGGTGAGGGACCTGGCCAGAAGAGGGGAGAAGGAGAAAGGCTGTAAGGCAAAGGACACAGAGGGATCAGCCAGGGGACAAGAGTCAAGGGAAAGTAGAATGGAGTGTAAGAAAGGGGTGAGAATGATAGAAAAGAGGCATGGCTACTCACTTTGGCACCAGGGGAACGGAGGGCATAGGTCAGGCACCCCACGAGAGATCAGCCCTGCAGGCCCTCCCACACCAGTTTTGTGCTGACCAGGACTGGTCCTCCAGGGGCCTCTCTGGTCAAGATACGATACAAGCTGCCCTGTTCAGGTCTCCTTGCCAAGTTCAACTTGGGTGACCACATTTAGGGTAGTACAGACAGTCATTCTTATGGGGGATCAAGTGGTTTGTGACAGAGCAAGGTAGGTGAGGATCACCAATGCATCTGGAGAACTGAAGCTCACAAAATGAAGAACCAGGCAAGATCTCAGCAGAAAAGCTCACTGTCCCCACAATCAATGTTGGTGCTCATGTGCCATCACAGAGGCTGACAAGAAAACCTGCTGGAGGGGTTTTTTCCTGACAGAAAAGCAACAGGCCCTGATGGGGTTTCTTGGCCAGAAAATAACCTGGCTAGATGTGATCGCCTATGCGGGTTGTGATATTTTTGACCCTTGACCATGATAAAAAGGTCCCGAGGCAAAAGGAGTTGGGGTTGCTAATGCAGCAGTCTGGGAGAAGAGGTGTCAAACATGGGCCAGCACCAGGACCAGCAGCAAATCCCACGGGGAACACACTGGCCTAACCTGGTGAGGACAGGACCATGCCTGTAGCTCCACTGCGCCTTATGAAGGAGCCCCACTTTTTCTAAAAGACATATGTATCCTTCTCCTTAAAGGTCAATGGACTCTGCAATACCAGGCCAGGGAGCAGGAGGCTGTGATCTAAGCACTGGGCATGGGACCTGGGGCCCCAGTCTGTCCTGCCAGCCACCTCCCCTTATGTGTCCCAAACCCTGTCCCCTGACATGCCTGCTCACCCTCGGAGGGTGGGCCCTCCTCCTGGATGTGCACTCTCCCCAGATCCACTGGTGTTTGGACAGTGCTTCTCTTTTTCTGCACCAATCTCCTCCACCTAGCCACTGGGCCTTTGTCTGGACGCCCCACATTCACCTCAGGGCCATTCATCTGTAACCACAATTTAAGACTCTCCTTCCAAAATGCCATTCTCAGGGCCTTCCTTGGACTGCAGCCTGGACATCCGAAGCGAAACCAGAACTCCCTGTGTGTTCACAGGTCCATGCATCACCCCCACTCAGAGGTCTCCAGACAATTCGGACTCTACATCTACAAAATCTAACCGCTAATCTTCCCCAAAACATCCTCCTCCTGCCAACCTCTCATCTCAATGAGCAGTAGTACCTGATCCCTCCTAAACCCTTGGGATGATCCTTTATCCACCACTTACATTCACTCCTCACATGTAGCACAAAATCCCATCAATTCCATCTTGAAAATCTAACCGAAATCTGATCACTTCTCTCACCTCTCCTACTTGTGCTCTGGATAGGCCACCACCATAACTGTCCCAATGAATACTGCAGCAGCATCCTCATGAATCTCCCTGTTTTCAGCCTGGCCACAACCCCTCTCCCACCAGTGTGTTCACTCAGTATGTTTACTGGGTATTCACTGGGATACTTTCAAAATCCTAAATCATTTCATGGACATCCCTCTTCTATTAAAAAATTTCTATGACCCCCAGGACCCGGGAATAGAGGCAGGGCTCCTCTCATGCTCTTGGTTCCCTGCAATGGAAGACAAGGAATCTCCTGAGTGTTCTCAGGTCAGTCTCACCTCTGGGTCTTTGCACATGCAGCTCCCTCTGCCTGTACCCTCTACATCTTAACATACTGGATTCTGGAATGAAGACTCGGCACCTGCGAACGCTCCATTGTCCTGAACATCGAGGCTGGAGCTCAGTCGGGGACCTGGGACGCTGGGACTCAGAGTCCAGTCGGTGGGGCCCAGGATACGATTCTTCTGCCGTGACTAGTCGGTCCGCTCACTCATCACGCCCACAGGCCCGCGGAGCCTCCTGGACACAGTCCACGGGCTGGCAGCAAGGTCCCTCGGCCACTTCGGATAAAACGGCAAACTGCCAAAGAAATGGCCGGATACCGGAAGTGGCGACCAAAGGGCAGCGGCCGTCCCGGAAGCGCCCCTCCCTTAGCCCCTCATTGGCCAGAGTCCAGCCGGGGCGCTCGGAAACGCCCCTCTCCCGGGCGCTCACCGGGATACCCCGAGCGGACGCTCGGTGAGGGGCTTTCTGGGTAATGTAGTTTGCGTCGCGTGAGCAGCGACGCGCGGGCGCCAGTCCTGATCACCTAGGCAACGACCCCGCGGTACCGCGACTGGCTCAGGGACCTAGTGTCGTGTGGGCTGCGAGCCTCGAGCCGCCGCTGGCTCAGAGTCTGGGCGTTTCTGCGAGAGCAGCGGAGGATGGGGCGGGACTTCCGCGTCGCCAATGCACTCTTCACTTCGCGGTTGGTGGGTTGCTTGGCAGGTGGCCGCTGGGACCAGAGAGGCAGGTAGGGAAGTGCCGGGACTGTCACCGCATCACTGCACGCACTTTCCCCCCTCCGCTAATGGCTCCTTCTTCCTGAGCCTTGGTTTCTCCAGACGTAGAACGGAGGTAACGAGCCACCACACACCGCCTTCGTCCCACGGCCCCGGGATGCAGCCCCCAGGTCCTTCGGCGCATTCTATGCTGGGGAAGACTGAGGCCCGTAGTGTGACCGTCAGCCCGCGGTCACCCCGGGCAGTGGGGGTTTGAGGGTTTGGATGAGCCCTCATTGTTTGTCACTGTCGCCGCCTCGCACGGTCCCGCCCAACCCACAGACTGAACAGGCCAGCAGCGTCGCTGATGGACCCGGGGCAGGTGAGTGGAGGGTGCCCCAGCCCCTCACCCGCCGGGATCCCTGTCCTCCTGATCCTGGAGCCCCTGTACGGGACTCTTCACCTACACTTGAGTCTGGAGCCCAGAGAATCACTTTTCCTAGCGTCCGGAATCCAGGCCGGAGGTTATATGGAGGGGTTCACTGTGAGTTGGCAACCTCCTCGGGAGCTTCCCTGGTGTAATCTGACACCGACCCCGTAGGTGGAGGGCAGGGAGAAAGTGAAGAAAGAGGCAGGTCACTCCAGATTAGTAGGTGGCAGGTTTAATAAGCAAGGGCAGGTACACAGCAAGCTTGCCTTGGACAGCCACAAGAAGAGTAGACCACATCAGCCCACTGAATCTTAAGTTTATACAGAGACCTTAACTTGGTTCAGTCACGTATATCATCCAGATGGTTTCAGCACCGCATCACAATCTCAAGGCTATGTCCCTGGGGGGAATTTCTGGGAGTGGGGAAGAATACACATTCCAAGGACTGGAGGTGATGACAAGCCTCCCATTGCCCAGGTCCAGCTCATACATGGGTCAGCTGACAGTCACATCCTCTTGATAACCTCCCCCTTACATTCACATTTCCGGAATCCTATGGGATAAGGTCTGGAAGGGTGTCTCAAGCACAGGGACCAGCATGTGCAAATTTCTTGGAGGTGAGTATAAGATGAAAGTGTTCAGGGAACTGCAGGTCTGTATTTTGTCTGGTGGACGTAGAGAGCAGAGGACAGATACTGGTCTGGAATGGCAAGCTGAGGAGCTGGGTCTCTATTCTGAGTGTGATGGGAGTGTGGAAAGTTTAGAGCAGAGAAGGGAGGTGATCTGACGCAGGCCTTTTTTTTTAATTAATTAATTATTTAAAAGATTTTATTTATTTATTTGACAGAGAGAGACACAGCGGGAGAGTGACTTGGGTCTTAATAAACTCCCTCTGGATGCCGAGTGGAGAACAGATTTGGTCAGGGGGTGGTAGAGGTGAGGTTGGAGGCAGGAAGACCACTGAGTCTTTCACTGAGTGACTGGAATAGTTCAGGTGTATGTGCTTTTGGACCAAAGGTGGAAGTAGGAGAAATTGTTGGCTCTTGAACTTTTTAACTAGGGTGGACTAGATTTCCTGATGTGAAGCAGTAGGTTGGACCCAGATAGGTTTTTCAGATGTGGAAGTTAGAGTGAGTTGATATCAGGGGGAAGGCAAAGATTTGGGTTTTGGCCATATTGTATTTGATGTATCCTACAGATGGCCAAATTGAGGTACCAAGTATGCTTTATATCAGGCCCAGGCTGGAGACATCCAAGGGATGAAGACTTGTGTGTGGACATTATGTGTGGCTGTGGGTTGACCAGAATGGTGATCAAGCCTCTGACCAGAGACTAGACCTGGGATGAAAAAATGAAGCATGAAAGTAACAGAGGTAGGATGACAGTGGGGCCTGAGGTGAGACCAGTTTACCTCTCTATAGCTCACCAGGTTTTTGTGGCCATCCTCCTTGGGGACTGGGGTGGGGGAGGGAGTGGGTGTCAGGCTGGAGAATAATCAGGAGTAGAAAGGGTCAGTCTAAGCTAAGAGTCCCCAAGCCAATGGTAGGGGGGCAGTAGATCTGGGATTTGTCTAGTAGGAAGAGTGAGAACAGCTATGACTGGTGAGGGGTCGGCATGTATAAGGATAGAGGTGGAAGAGAGCAGCAGTGTTTAAGATCTACTCATGGTTCTGGAGAACTGAAGGCTGAAGCAGGGCCAGGAGGGGAGGCATTAACTAGAAGTGAAGGTTGTTTCTGGCAGTTGTGGTTTTTGGAGATGTGAGGCAAGCCAGGCTCAGTGTTGGATCCTGGTTGCCTTTGTTGGGTAGGCCATGTGCATAGTGGGATATAGACACTAATAGATGCCTGTGGTGTGGACAGGGAGGGGGTGGGGACTGGGGGGGGGGAGATATGATGATGGTATAGTCCAAAGAGTGACATGTACAAGGTAAGGGAATGTGAACCATTGTGCTCAGGCCCTGGTACTAGAGGCTTAAGGGAGAAAAGAGAGGCTGAATTTTTTTATACTTGGGAGGTGTGATCTGGAGAGACAAGAAACACAACATAAGAGAGCTTGTTTAGTGTGGGGAGGGGTTCCTGGCCAGCCCAGAGCTCAGACAGCATCTGTCTGCCCACCTGCTTTTTGTTCCTCTGGATTGTGTTGGCCTGGATACAGTGACCAGTGGGACTACAAGGAGGGAGGGACACCAGTGGTGCCAGGGCCTCTTATCTCCTCTGAGATGGGGGCCTGAGGAGGAGGAGGAGCTGCAAGTGAGTAAGGGAACGATGGACTGAGGGGGTCACAAGAAGAGGAGATGCCAGTGGTAGATGTAGCAGAACTCTGAGCCATACGTCAAGGGCCTGGATGACTCCATTTAACTGTTTTCTTTGTTTTTCAGCCCATCTGTTGGCCCCCTGGCTTAGCTGTCTCGTCATCGCAGAGCCCAGTGACCTTCGAAGATGTGGCTGTGTATTTTTCCAAGGAGGAGTGGGGGCTTCTTGATGAGACTCAGAGACGCCTGTACCACCATGTGATGCTGGAGAACTTTGAGCTCATGACCTCACTTGGTAAGGCCTTTCTGCCCCACCCCAGCATGGTGACCAGCTTCTGCCCTCTTGCCTTCTTTCCATAGAAAGTTTTCTGTTCATCCCAAAGCTGGACCCCAGGCACTGGTTCTTACCAGGTTTCCTGTTATAGGTGTTGTGGGTGCTGGGACTGAGCTGTGTGCATTCTCCATGTCTCTCAACAGCCTCATGAATAGTCCCAATAGCTGTTGCCCAGGGGCCTTGTGGGAGGAGAGGTTGGGGATCAGGCACCTATCATCTGCCTGATGGATCCCACTAAGCTTGACCAGTTCATGGCTGGGTGACCCAGTATGGGGCCATGCCTAGATTCTGTCCCTTCTCCCATGAGGCTTTTTTTAAAAAAATAATTTTATTGAGTATACCACAAAGTTCATACTTTAAAGTGTATAATTCAGTGATTTTTAGTGTATTTGCACAGTTGTATAAATACTACCATAATCTAATTTTATTATTGTTACTCTTTTTTAAAGATTTTATTTATTTATTTGACAGACAGAGACACAGCGAGAGAGGGAACACAGGTTGGGGGAGTGGGAGAGGGAGAAGCAGGCCTCTCGCAGAGCAGGGAATCCAGTGTGGGGCTCGATCCCAGGACCCTGGGATCATGACCTCAGCCGAAGGCAGATGCTTAACAACTGAGCCACCCAGACGCCCCACCATAATCTAATTTTAGAACATTTTTATCACCTAAAGAGAAACTGTACCCATTAACAGTCACTCCCCATCCTCCCTCATCCCTTCTCCTTTAGCCCTAGGCAATTGCTAATATACTTTATGACTATGTATATTTGCTTATTTAGACATTTCATATAAATGGAATCACAGTATGTTTTTCTGTGAATGGCTTTCATTTAGCATAATATATTTGAGGTTTATCCATGTTGTAGCACATATCAGGGCTTCATTCCTTTTTATGGCCAAATAATATTCTATTCTGTAGATATACCACAGTTTATTTATTCATTCATCAGTTGATTGGGCATTTGTCTTGTTTCCACTTTTTGGGTGTTATGAAAAATGTTGCTATGAATATTCAAGTACAGGTTTTTGCATAAGTATGTTTTCATTTCTTTTGGGTAGATAAATAGAAATGGAATTGCCAAACTGTTTTCCAGATTGGCAGCACCATTCTCTATTTCCACAGCAGTGTATGAGTATTCCAATTTTTCTACTTCCTTATCAACACTTATTATTGTCTGTTTTTATAGATACTCTAGTGGGTGTGAAGTGGTATCTCACTGTAGTTTTGATTTGCATTTCTTTAATGACTGATGATGTTGAGCAACTTTTTTTTTTTCTAAAGATTTTATTTATTTATTTGACAGAGAGAGACACAGCGAGAGAGGGAACACAAGCAGGGGGAGTGGGAGAGGGAGAAGCAGGCTCCCCGCCGAGCAGGGAGCCTGATGCGGGGCTTGATCCCAGGACCCTGGGATCATGACCTGAGCCGAAGGCAGACGCTTAACGACTGAGCCACCCAGGCGCCCCTTGAGCAACTTTTCATGTGCTTATTGGCACACACACACACACACACACACACACAAGTCCTTTGTCCTTCTCTTTGTCCTTGCCTCTAGTAAGGCCGCCTTTATTCTGTAGCTTGGCTAGGCCCTGTCCTGCACAGTAGGCTCTTCATTCTTATTCTGGACCCTTGGCCTGTCACCATCCCTTGGACCCAGTCCTGTATATGTCAGCCACACATTTCTAATGAAGTCATCCTTTCCACCAAGTAGAACACTCAGTTTGCCAGAAACTTCTCTGCTTTCAGGTTGTTGGCATGGAGTGGAAGATGAGGGGGCCCATTCCAAGCAGAATACTTCTGTAGAAGGGATGTCACAGGTCAGGATCCCCAGTGCAAATCCTTCCACCCAGAAGGCTGACACCTGTGATATATGTGGCCCATTCTTGAAAGACATTTTGCACCTGAATGAACATCAAAGAATATATCCTGAGGAGACCTTCTACACATGTGGAACATGTGGAAGAGAATTTTGGTTCAGTACAAACCTTCACCAGCACCAGAAGGAGCTCAGTGGAGAAAAGCCCTTTAGATGGGACAAGGACAAGGATTCATTTGTGGAAAATCTTACAGTTCACCTGTCAGAGAAGCTCTTCACTTGTGGGGAAGGTGGTAAGGATGCCTTGGACAGCGATGACCTCTTCCAGCACCCAGCCATTGACAGCAGCAGGAAGCCACAAAGGAGCACAGAGTGCAGGGAGACCTTTTCACACAGCTCTAATCTTGAGCAGCTCACAAAAGTCCATACCACACAGAAGCTATTTAAGTGCAGCAACTGTGGAAAAGCCTTTCAGAAGACCTCCATCCTCCTCAACCACCTGAGAACTCACTCTCAAGAGACAACATTTAGATGCCCAACAGTTGGAAATTCCTTAGAGGAGAAATCAACCCTTGTTAATCACCAAAAAAGTCATGATCGAGAAACATGCCATGTGTGTAAAGCATGTGGGAAGACCTTCACTCATGCTTCTAAACTGAGGAAGCACCAGAAATTTCACACTGGAGTAAAATATTATGAGTGCAGTGATTGTTGGAAAACCTTCAACCACAAACTCACACTTGTTCATCACCAGAGAATTCACACAGGAGAAAGGCCTTATAAGTGCAGTGAATGTGGGAAAGCCTTTAATAACAGGTCACATCTCACTCGGCATGAGAAAGTTCACACTGGAGAAAGGCCTTTTGAGTGCAGCAAATGTGGAAGAGCCTTCAGCCAAAGCTCCAATTTCCTTCGGCACCAGAAAGTTCACACCCAAGTGAGACCTTATGAGTGCAATCAGTGTGGTAAAGCCTTTAGCCGCAGCTCTGCCCTCATTCAGCACTGGAGAGTTCACACTGGAGAAAGGCCTTATGAGTGCAGTGAGTGTGGAAGAGCTTTTAACAATAACTCCAACCTTGCTCAGCACCAGAAAGTTCACACTGGAGAACGGCCTTTTGAGTGCAGTGAATGTGGAAGAGACTTCAGCCAAAGCTCCCACCTCCTTCGACATCAGAAAGTTCACACTGGAGAACGGCCTTTTGAGTGTACTGAATGTGGGAAAGCCTTCAGCAATAGCTCCACCCTCATTCAGCACCAGAAAGTACATACTGGGCAAAGGCCTTATGAATGCAGTGAATGTAGAAAGGCTTTCAGCCGCAGCTCCAGCCTGATTCAGCACTGGAGAATTCACACCGGGGAAAGACCTTATGAGTGCAGTGAATGTGGGAAAGCCTTTGCACACAGTTCCAGTCTCATTGAGCACTGGAGAGTTCACACAAGAGAAAGGCCTTATGAGTGCAGTGAATGTGGGAAATTCTTTAGCCAGAACTCCATTCTCATTAAACATCAGAAAGTTCACACTGGAGAAAGACCTTATGAGTGCACTGAATGTGGGAAATTCTTTAGCCGAAAGTCCAGCCTCATTTATCACTGGAGAGTTCACACTGGAGAAAGGCCTTATGAATGCAGTGAATGTGGGAGAGCCTTTAGCAATAACTCTCACCTGGTTCGTCACCAGAGAGTTCACACACAAGAAAGGCCCTATGAGTGCAGCCAATGTGGGAAAGCCTTTAGTGAAAGATCTACACTTGTTCGACACCAGATAGTTCACACCAGAGAAAGGACTTACGAGTGTGACCACTGTGGGAAAATCTTCAGCCGCCTCTGCAATCTTACTCAGCATAAAAGGATTCATACCGGGCACCTGGGTGGCTCAGTTGGTTGAGCGACTGCCTTCGGCTCAGGTCATGATCCTGGAGTCCCTGGATCGAGTCCCACATCGGGCTCCCTGCTCGGCAGGGAGTCTGCTTCTCCCTCTGACCCTCCTCCCTTTCATGCTCTCTGTCTCTCATTCTCTGTCTCAAATAAATAAATAAAATCTTTAAAAAAAAAAAAAAAGGATTCATACCTGAATGTAGCCTTACAGAGATGGTCCTTCTGAGAAGATCTTCAGTCAAGTCAAACTTCATGCAGAATACCCACAGAGAAGTTACCTGCATGTACCACTAGTGTGGAGAAGGCTTCAGAAGGTAGTCTGCCCTTTCTGAGCAGCCCAGGGCTGAGCTCTCTTCCCTCTGGAGCGTAAAGCCCTTTCCAGCCTGCCTGGGTCCAAATATTTGCAGCCATCATCTACATATGTAGGGAGAAAACAGCTCCCTGTGCCTCCCTTCCCCTTTCCTGGAGGGAAACAGGATTGTCCTGGGCCCACTAGAATGGCTTCATTCCCATTGCCTCTAAAATGGTTAGGAAGTGAACTAACCCCATGCTGGTCGAGGGGCCTTGAGGGATGTCCAGTTTGGGCTTCTCAGATACACATTCCTCATGGATGTTGTCTTGTCTGCATGTAACCCCAATTATGTATCCAATGAGCTCACACATCACCCTCCCCTGGAACCACTTATCTTGGTGTTCTCTATTCTGCATGATAATAAAGACCTTAGTAATCAAGTCTTTTTTTTTTTTTTTGAGAGGGATGGAAGGGGCAGAAGGAGAGAGAGAATCCTAAGCAGGCTCCATGCCCAGCGTGGAGCCTGACCCAGGGCTCAGAATCACCACCCTGAGATCATGACCTGAGCTGAAATCAAGAGTCGGATGCTTGACTAAGTGAGCTACCCAGGTGCCCTGATCAAGACACCTTTATTTATTTATTTTAGATTTTATTTATCTGACACAGAGAGAGAGCACAAGCTGGGGGCGTGGCAGGCAGAGGGAGAGGGAGAAGCAGGCTCTCTGCTGAACAGAGAGCCTAATGTGGGGGGCTGGATCACAGAACCCTGGGATCATGACCTGAGCTGAAGGCAGATGCTTAACCAACTGAGCCACCCAGGCATCCCTCACGTCACCTTTAATCTTGGGGGTTTTGGTGGGGGTAGGTCGAAAAAAGAAGTGGGTAGAGTGAGGGATGGCTGAGACAGGGCACCTAACAACATCTACCTCAGGGTATAGAAGGAACATAGGGTTAGGGTTTGCAGTGCATCTAAAGGACTGGGAAAAACGGAAGGGCTCATAAAGTGAACATAGTGGCCTGTATTTCAGAGTTATCTGAAGGCCCAGAGCTCACCCTGAAGGAAGAGGATGCTAGTCTGCAACATTAGAATGGTCTGTTGGATTAGGAGGCGGGTCCCTAGTTCCTAGAGAGATGTCTGGGTTTCCCCATGTGAGGAGAAGCTATCTTCTGGTTCCTAATAAGGATATATGATCCTAGGAGGCGGGGAGAGGCCCAGTGGATAGAGAAACAATGGGTGTGAGGTAAGAGGGAGTTGGGAGGAATTTACAGCACTGCCATTAGGGACAAAGGAGCACCACAGTTCTCCATTAGCTTGAGGCAGGTAAGGCACATATAACTTAATCTGAGATCTACAGGGGCCATCTGGGAGCCAGAAACACTGGGTTTGGAGCAGACTGGTAAACTAAAGGGAACTTGGCTATTCTAAAGGTACATCAAAAACTTCCAGATTGGGGTGCCTGGCTGGCTCAGTTGGTAGAGCATGCAACTCTTGTTCTTGAGGTTGTGAGATTGAGCCCCAAGGTGGATGCAGAGATTACTTAAAAATAAAATCTTTATAGGGTGCCTGGGTGGCTCAGTTGGTTAAGTGACTGCCTTCGGCTCAGGTCATGATCCTGGAGTCCCGGGATTGAGTCCCGCATCGGGCTCCCTGCTCAGCAGGGAGTCTGCTTCTCCCTCTGACCCTCCCCCCTCTCATGCTCTATCTCATTCTCTCTCTCAAATAAATAAAATCTTTAAAAAAATAAATAAATAAAATCTTTATAAAGAAAAAAAAACCTTCCAGGTGACTCTGGCCAAGTGAGATAAGAGTGAAGAACTCGGGCGCCTGGGTGGCTCAGTTGGTTAAGCGACTGCCTTCGGCTCAGGTCACGATCCTGGAGTCCCTGGATCGAGTCCCGCATCGGGCTCCCTGCTCGGCGGGGAGTCTGCTTTGCCCTCTGACCCTATCCCCTTTCATGTGTTCTCTCTCATTCTCTCTCTCTCAAAATAAATAAATAAAATTAAAAAAAAAAAAAAAAAAGAGTGAAGAACTCAAGACCTGCAGACCTGCGTATCACTCGTAATGGAAATCCAAACAAATGTTTTATGAATTCCTATATTCTCCCTGTGCTCGTTACCTCATGGCTGTCACCACACAGGAACCTCATCATCAAGAGGATAGAGCTCGGGGCACCTGGGTGGCCTCAGTCGTTAAGCATCTGCCTTTAGCTCAGGTCATGATCCCAGGGTCCTGGGACTGAGCCCCGCATCGGGCTCCCTGCTCCGCGGGAGGCCTGCTTCTCCCCCTCCCACACTCCGTGCTTGTGTTGCCTCTCTCACTGTGTCTCTCTGTCAAATAAATAAAAATCTTAAAAAAAAAAAAAAAAAAAAAAGAGGATAGAGCTCATGGTCAGGAGAATGGTTTATGTGAGTAGCCAGAGTTTTAGAGAATCACATAGCCATGGCATTCATTACTCCACTTCTGGTAGCCACCAAGGAAGTCTGTCCTTTTTAAGGGGTGGGGAGACAACATGGTGGACTTAATATGAGTTTCCCGGATCTCTTGGCTATCTGTCTCGGGAAGAGACAGATATTCAGATTTTTATGTGGCTTTTGATTTTATATTAGAAGCCGTTTCAAAAAACATTTTGTACAGTACAAAAGCAGTTTACCAAAACCTGTGGGTGAGCCATATGTGTTCCCCTGGGCCCTTCCATGAGACCTGGGGGAAGAAAGACCAAGAGCTTTCTGACATGAGAGGCTTCGGTGTGCAGTGTCCATCCATACTGCATGGTGGGTGGGAAGGCAGTGTTACTGCCACCTCTTCTCAGGGTGACTTTTCCCAAAAGCCCAGAAGAGACAAGGAATGATAGCCACATTAGAGGTGGAACCCAAGATGGGCTTGCAGTAATCAAAGATTACAGCAGGGCTGCTCAAGTACTCCCTAGCACAATGAGATGTTTGGGGGAATCCCCCACCCTGCTCAGGCCTCCCTTCCTGGATGTAATGTCTTTTACCAACATGGAGGACTCATGTGGGATCAGAGATAAAGGCCAACTGAGCCACTGAGGATCAAGCCTTCTAAGCAAATGGGGTAGGATAGACACTGGTCATCACAGCTCAATTCTTTGTACAGTGTGGGTGGCTGATTAGATTCATTAAATGGCCCCCAGCTTATGGTTGAAGAATCTTCTGTGCTTTCCTTGAATAGGCCTGGTCTTCCACTGGGGCTCAGTACACAGCAACAAGTCTGCTGGGGAAGGAAGATGTTTGCCAGCGATGCTAGAACACTCCAGGCAAAAGTCTCATGACTCTGACCTTTGAGCTGTTCTGGATACCAGCCTTTGTGGGGCTCAGTAGTTCCAACACTTTCAGCTCACTCAATCCAGCAGGCCGGTGCCTACAGGTTTTTGATGCAGTCTTTATACTGACACTGCCCATTCTGCCCTAATGATAGTTCTCTGAGCTCCATCCAACAGTAGTTCCCTGCACTTGGACCCTGGCCTGTGACCTCCCCCATGAGGGACACTCTCCACTGTCTTCTCAACCTTTCACCACTTTGCCACTCCTCCAATTCTGCTGCATTTTTCTCTCCAAGTTGGTGTCAGTTTCTCTCTTCTCTTTGATGCCTGAACCTTTGGCCTGATGCCAGGCCTCTGCTACACACACACACACACACTCACGGCCAATAAGCACATGAAAAGTTGCTCAACGTCACTAGTCATTAAAGAAATGCAAGTCAAAACTACAGTGAGATAGCACTTCACACCCACTAGGGTACCTATGGGAAAACAGACAATAATAAGTGTTGATAAGGAAGTAGAAAAATTGGAATACTCATACACTGCTGTGGAAATATAAAATGGTGCTGCCAATCTGGAAAACAGTTTGGCAATTCCATTTCTATTTATCTACCCAAAAGAAATGAAAACATACTTACGCCAAAACTTGTACTTGAATATTCATAGCAACGTTTTTCATAATACCCAAAAAGTGGAAACAAGACAAATGCCCAGGGGCGCCTGGGTGGCTCAGTCGTTAAGTGTCTGCCTTCAGCTCAGGTCATGATCCCAGGGTCCTGGGATCGAGCCCCACATCAGGCTCTCTGCTCCACAGGAAGCCTGCTTCTCCCTCTCACCCACTCCCCCTGCTTGTGTTCCCTCTCTCGCTGTGTCTCTCTCTGTCAAATAAATAAATAAAATCAAAAAAAAAAAAAGACAAATGCCTAATCAACTGATGAATGAATAAACAAACTGTGGTTTATCTACACAATAGAATATTATTTGGCCATAAAAAGGAATGGAGTCCTGATATGTGCTACAACACAGATGAACCTCAAAAATATGGTTTCTGTGAAACCCATTCACAGAAAAACATATACTGTGTGATTCCATTTATATGAAATGTCTAAATAAGCAAATATACATAGTCAGACACTTAGCTGACTGAGCCACCGAGACACACAAGTTCCCTGACTTTTTAAGCCTGCCCGGGGTTTCTACCCTGTGTAGTCATCACCTCTCCCACCATTGGGGGGGAGGGGGGGGGATCGGGGAGAAGAACCAGTTACAGAAGGCAGCAGTGGTTTCCAACCCCAACACATGGCTGAGCACTGCGGTTCAAAGCCCCTCAAGTCTAGGGTCACAGTTCTCTCTCTAAACATGCCTCCAAGTTCTCTTCTTGACAGGAAGCATAATTTTTGGACCAGGGACACATCTACAAACAACACACACGTTTTGCTGAACTGATATCTTATTGAACTTTTGGGAAATTAGTTTCCAAAATTTTTAAAATCAAAAGACCCCAAAAAACAGTGGATATGGATACATATGTTCATTCAACCACTTCTCTCCCTTGGCAGCAAAAACAATGAAGGCCACGGTGGGCACAGATGCTAGGGGCACTGGCCACATCCCAGGACTGCAGGGTCTTCATCTCAGGACCAGGGTAATGGCCATGAGAGGGACATCCTGCTATCCCCAGGAAGGCAACAAAAGTCAGGGACCCCTCCCCACAGAAGCCAGTCCCTCTCTTCAGGGCCCAGTCTTGTTCTCAATCCCTCCACACACAGTGATCAGAACCCCCAATATTAAAAGTGGCTTAAACAATAAAGCTTTTATTACCATACATTCCAGGGAAGTGTGTGACAGTCAGTTCCAGGGGTGGATAAATCCGTGACAGTGTCAACCGTGTCCATGGAAATGATTAACCTTCTCTGGAAGCCCCCATTAGACACAGCTCAGCTACTCTTGACCAGAGCCTGGTCACAGACATACCTAAACCAGTTGGAGGCGGGGAATGAGGCCCATTCTGGGTTCCACCACTCATGATTCTTTCCTATACAGCGTGGGGACTAAGGAGGTCTGCTGTTCCAGAGCACGTTGAGATGGCTGATGCACATCTTGAGCACCTGCCAGGTGGTGGAAGTGGGATGGCTTCTATCACAGAAACCAGCAGTGACTTAACACTGCCAACAATCTCAGCAGGTTGGAGTGCAACCTAGCTCCTGAAAGCTTCCTACACACCTGCCACCCCAGGGCACATGTTGGGGTATGCTAGGTTTAGCTTTCAAATGGCTACTCTCCTCAGTCTCCTTTCTGGAGTGAGGCCTTTCATGTTGAACAAGGTGCCCAGCCCTGGCTACAGGCTTTCCAACATCCTGTCTTCTTACGGCCTTTCTCCAGTGTGGACTTTCTTGTGCTGAAGGAGGGTAGAACTGTGTTTGAAGGCTTTCCCACATTCTGTACATTCATAGGATCTCTCTTCAGTATGGAACTGCTGGTGCCGATTGCGGTAGGACCTGGTGGTGAAGGTCTTCCCACACAGGCTGCACTCATAGGGCCGTTCTCCAGTGTGAACTTTCCAGTGCTGATACAGGCCAGAGCGGGTCACATAAGTTTTCCCACATTGCTTGCACTCATAAGGCCTTTCTCCAGTGTGAACTCTCTGGTGAAGAATGAAGCTATGGTTGTATTTAAAGAACTTCCCACATTCCCTGCACTCGTAGGGCCTTTCTCCAATGTGAACTTTCCGGTGCCGAATGAGAGTAGACAGAACGCTGAAGGCTTTCCCACATTCGCTGCACTCATAAGGCCTTTCTCCAGTGTGAATTCTCTGGTGCAGAACAAGTGCATCTTTACGGTTGAAGGTTTTGCCACACTCATCACACTTGAAAGGTTTTATGCCCGTGTGAACCTTCTGGTGCTTCCTCAGTTTAGATGGGTAACTGAAGACCTTTCCACACTCATTACACACATGGGATGTTTCTCCAGTGTGAATTTTTTGGTAATTAACATGGGTGAATTTCTCCTTGGGGGCATTTCCAACTTTCAGGCATCTAAAGGGTCTCTCTTTGGGGTGAGTTATCAGATGGTCGAGGAGTGCAAAAGCCTTCAGGAAGGCTTTCCCACAGTCACTGCACTTGAAGGCCTTCTGTGTGGTGTGGAGGCCCTGCTGCTGCTGGCAACTGGAGCTGGGTTGGAAGGCCTCCGCAGGCTTGGTGCTCTTGTGTAGCTTCTCCTTGCTGTGGGTGGCCTGGTGCTGGAGGAGGCCTAAGGTGGTAGGGACGTCCTTTCCAGACTCCCCACACAGAAGGGGCTTCTCTGATAGGTAGACTTTGTAGTTCTTGATCTGCTCTGGAGAGGCTTCCTCATCCTCCAGTCTACATGGACAACCTGAAACAGAGAAAAGCCAGTTACTGAGAGCTGGATTAGAGGGAGGAGACAGCTTCATCACAAACACATGTCAGACATACAAACAGGAGTCCACAGAACTGCCAGGAGGTTGCTAGGAAAAGTCTGGGTGAGAAAGGGCTGGCCCAGCAGAACAGGGCTCTGCCAGATCACAGAATAGCAAGGACCTCAGTGGGGACGAGGACACAAGATGGGAGCAATGCAGGGAGAAGAGGTGGGATCTCCAAGTCACTCCTTGCAATGGTTTCAAGCAGGGCCTCAGCTGCTGGTGACAGGGAGCACTGTGAAGAGGATGTGTTTGCTCCAATGAAAAGGCAACTGTAACAGAGTAGCTGGTGTTCAGGTATTATTTAAGGGTATGTACACATCTCAAGTCACCAGTGGACAGCTCTACACTGGCAGAGGCCAGGGACACATAGGTCCTGAGAGTCATGGCAGAGATGGCAAGATCACACAGTGTGTTCAGAAGGGAGAGGAAAGATGGGAATAGTGTGTGGTCACTGGCCTCAGCACCAAAATGCCAGTGCACACAGACACCCAGTATGCTGTGAGCTCATCACTGAAACCAAGTCATCGCCTAGCCCTACTCACCAGGACCAGGACCCTTCCTGACCTCTGCTCTGCTACCCAGTGTCCAGTCCACAATGTTGGGCACCCAGAGCTCTTCTTCACTCTCCAGTTGGGCAACCACATGGGACCTTGAAGGTGCAAATCCTAGGAGAGAGAAAGGTAATAAGAGGCCAGCCCAAGCCAAGGCTTGCCCACCTCCCCCCCACCAGGAAGCTCATGTCATCATGCCAACCATGAAGGAAACGGAGTATTAGAAAATAAACCTCCTCTGCACATTTAAAAATTTGTTAAGCAGGGAGACCCCATGTTGTGTTTTACCACAATTTATTCTGAAAGAAACTTACATGAAGGTAAACTGACATAAATGAAGTAAAAAGACAGAGAAACAATAGTGGGAGATTTCAACTTCTAACTTTCAATAATGGACAGAACCACTAGACAGAAAACAAACAAGCACACAGCACTTGACTAACACTAGAAATCAACTAGACTTAACAGACATCTATATAGCCTGCCACATAACAACAGCAGAATATGTATTCTCACGCTCTCACGTGCACATGGAACATTCCCCAGAACAGACCATTTGCTAGGACATAAAAAAGGTCTCAGTATATTTCAGAGGACTGAAATCACACAAAGTCTATTCTCTGACCACAACGGAATTAAAATAGAAATCAACAACAGAAAGAAATTTGGGAAACTCACAAATTTATGGAATTTAAATAAAACACTTCTAAATAACCACGAAGAAAACTACAAAGCACTTTGAGATGAATGAAAATGAACACAACATACCAAAAGTAATGGGACATAGCAGTTCTTGGAGGGAAAATCAGAGCTAAAAGAACTCCATGTTGTTTTACTCATAACACTTCTTTTTTTTTTTTTTAAGATTTTGTTTATTTATTTGAGAGAGAGAGCAGAAGCAGGGGGAGAGGGAGAGGGAGAAGCAGACTCCATGCTGAGCAGGGAGTCTGACGTGGAGCTCGATCCCAGGACCCTGGGATCATGACCTCAGCCAAAGGCAGACGCTTAACCGACTGAGCCATCCAGGCGCCCCTACTCATAACACCAAATGTGGGTAAGGTGTAGGGCGGATGTTCCACATCACTTCTCCAACTCTCAGACACCAACGTGCTGTCCAAGGATTCAATTAAATTCTGATACTAACTACCTGGAATCAGCATCAGATCCCACAGGTTAAGGGCTCAGTTTCACAAGACTGCCCCTACTTCAGACAACAGTTGGATGTCCCAGACTCCCATTCTTCTGACCAACTGGCTATAGATCAGGGATTCCCACAATTATTGATCCCTTCTCAAGCTCACAGAACTGAGGAAAAGAGTTTACTTAGTATTACCAGATTATTATAAAGTATACAACTCAGGAACAGCCCAATGGAAGAGATGCAAAGGGCAAAGTATACCAGGGGTGGAGATGGGAGTGGGGGGTGAGGAAGCAGAGGGTAAGACGGCATCCATGCCCTCCAGTGGCACCACTTTCTCAGCAACCTAGAAGCTCTCTGAACCCTGTTATTTAGGAGTTTCTATGGAGATTTCATTATGATGTATAATTAGTTAAATCATTGGCCACTGGTGATTGGTTCAGTCTCCAGCCCCTGTACTCTCCCCAGAGGCTGGCGAGACTGGGGGCCTGGAAGGATGGGGGTGGGGTAGCTCAAAATCCAACCTTCCTATCATGCCCTGGTGTTTTTGGTGGCCACTTCCTATCCTGAAGCTATCTAGGAGCTCCCACCCACCAGTCATTCCATTAGCACACAAAAGACACTCTTACCACTTCAGAGACTCCAAGTGTTTTAGGAGCTGTGCTAGGAATTGGGGATAAAGACAAAATATTTATTTCTTATTATGTCACAGCACCCATATTTAAAAAGATCTCAAACCAATAGCCTAACTTTAGGCCTCAAGAAATAGGAAAAAGAAAAGCGACTAAATTCAAAGCTAGCAGAATGAAGGAAATGATAACGAGCAGAGATAAATGAAATAGAGATTAGAAAAGGAGAATCAATAAAACCAAAATTAGGATCTTTGAAAAGATCAACAAAATTGAAAAACTGCTACCTAGACTGACAAGAAAAAAATAAGAAGAATCAATTTATTAAAAACAGGAATGAAAAAGGGGACATCACTAAGAGAAAGGATTGTAAGGAAATACTATGAACAACTGTACATATGCCCACAAATTAGGTAACTTAGATAAAATGGACAAATTACTGGGAACTTTCCAGAACGCTCGGTGAGACGCAGAGGAGCGGCGGCTGCCTGAGCTGCATCCAGCAACGTGCTCCTTCCCGCTTCCCCACACCGGCCTCGGCCCTCTCACCAGCTGTAGAAAATGGTGAAAGAAACCACTTACTACGATGTTTTGGGGGTCAAACCCAATGCCATCCAAGAGGAATTGAAAAAGGCCTACAGGAAACTGGCCTTGAAGTACCACCCTGATAAGAATCCAAATGAAGGAGAGAAGTTTAAGATTTCTCAAGCTTACGAAGTACTCTCTGATGCAAAGAAAAGGGAATTATATGACAAAGGAGGAGAACAGGCAATTAAAGAAGGTGGAGCTGGTGGTGGTTTTGGCTCCCCCATGGGCATCTTTGATATGTTTTTTGGAGGAGGAGGAAGGATGCAGAGATAAAGGAGAGGTAAAAATATTGTGTATCAGCTCTCAGTAACCTTAGAAGATTTATATAATGGTGCAACAAGAAAACTAGCTTTGCAAAAGAATGTGATTTGCAATAAATGTGAAGGCCGAGCTGGTAAGGAGCAGTCGAATGTTGTCCCAGTTGCCAAGGTACTGGAATGCAAATAAGAATTCATCAGATAGGACCTGGAATGGTTCAGCAAATTCAATCTGTGTGCATGGATTGCCAGGTCCATGGGGAATGGATCAGTCCCAAAGATAGATGTAAAAGCTGCAATGCAAGGAAGACAGTTCAAGAGAAGAAGATTCTAGAAGTTCATATTGACAACGGCATGAAGGATGGCCAGAAGATAACATTCCATGGAGAAGGAGACCAAGAACCAGGACTGGAACCAGGAGATATTATCATTATTTTAGATCAGAAGGACCACGCTGTTTTTACTTGACAAGGAGAAGACCTTTTCATGTGTATGGACATACAGTTGGTTGAAGCACTGTGTGGCTTTCAAAAGCCAATATCTACTCTCGGAGCGCCTGGGTGGCTCAGTTGGTTAAGCCGCTGCCTTCGGCTCAGGTCATGATCCCGGGGTCCTGGGATCGAGCCCCACATTGGGCTCCCTGCTCAGCGGGAGGCCTGCTTCTCCCTCTCCCTCTGCCTGCCTCTCTGCCTACTTGTTCTCTCTCTCTCTCTCTGTCAAATAAATGAGTAAAATCTTAAAAAAAAAAAAAAAGCCAATATCTACTCTTTTTTTTAAGATTTTATTTATTTATTTGACAGAAGGAGACCCAGCGAGAGAGGGAACACAAGCAGGGGAAGTGGGAGAGGGAGAAGCAGGCTTCCCACTGAGCAGGGAGCCCGATGTGGGGCTCGATCCCAGGACTCTGGGATCATGACATGAGCCAAAGGCAGACGCTTAACGACTGAGCCACCCAGGCACCCCGCCAATATCTACTCTTGACAACCAAACTCGTCATCACCTCTCTCCCAGGTCAAATTGTCAAGCATGGAGACATCAAGTATGTGCTAAATGAAGGCATGCCAATTTATCGTAGACCATATGAGAAAAGTCGCCTAATCATCGAATTTAAGGTAAACTTTCCTGAGATTGGCTTTCTCTCTCCTGATAAACTCTCTTTGCTGGAAAAACTCCTACCTGCGAGGAAGGAAGTAGAAGAGATTGATGAAATGGACCAGGCAGAACTGGTGGACTTCGATCCAAATCAGGAAAGACAGCACCATTACAATGGGGAAGCCTGTGAGGAGATGAACATCATCCTGGGGTGATGTTCAGTGTCAGACCTCTTAACGAGGCCAGTGAATAACACTGCTGGCAGTTATATGCAGTAGTGAATGAGTGAAGGACTATAATCATAGCTCACTACTTGCTATTGTTTTTGTTTTAATATTCAACTATAGTAGTGTTTTAAAAGTTAAATGAAGAATAAACTCAAATATAAAAGCTCAAAAAAAAAAAGGACAAATTACTAAAAAAGACACAAACTACCAAAATTGACTCTCAAGAAGAAATAGAAAGTCTAATTATACTAAAAAACAAACAAAACAAAAAAATTTTCCCCCCACAGGAGTGGGGGAAAAAAAAAAAACATTAGGCCCAGAAGGGTTTCACTGATGAATATTAACACTGAAATAAGAATTAGCACAAATACTTCACACACTCTTCCAGAAAAGAGAAGAAAAGGGAACATTTCCCAACTCATCCATTGAGGCCAAAATTACACTCATGCTCAATCCAAATAAAGACATTATGAGAAAACTATACATTGATAGCTCTTATGAATAAAGATGCAAAACTCAACAAAACACTAGTAAACCAAATCCAGAAATACATAAAAGGGTTATAAACTATGACAGAGTGGAATTTGTCTTAGTAATGCAAGGTTGAACATATGAAAAACAATTAAGGTAATATACGGTGTTAACAGAATAGAGGATAAAAATCACATGACCATTTCAATAGATACGGGAAAGCACTAGACAAAATCTAATGATCTTTCATGATTAATGTACTCAACAAACTAAGAAAAGAAGGGAACTTCCTCACCTATAAAGGGCAACTGCAAAAAACCTACAGCTAACATCATACTTACTAGTGAAAGACTAAATGCTTTTCTCGTAAGACTGGGAAGAAGACAAGGATGTCTACTCTCACCAATTCTATTCAGTAAGTACTGAAGGTTCTAACCAGGTCAGTTAAGCAAAAGAAGAGGTAAAAATATATGTATTTGCAGATGACATGATGTCATGTATATGGAAAGCTATCAAGGAGTCCACAAAAAACAAAAAAAAACTATTAGAGCTATCCATCCCAAAGCTACAGAATACACATTCTTCTCTAGTGCACATGGAACATTCTACAGAATAGATCACATCGTGGGTCACAAATCAGTTCTCAACCGGTAAAAAGATTGGGATCATTCCCTGTATATTTTCAGACCACAATGCTTTGAAACTCAAACTCAATCACAAGAGGAAACTTGGAAAGAACTCAAATACATGGAGGCTAAAGAGCATCCTACTAAAGAATGAATGAGTCAACCAGGAAATTAAAGAAGAATTTTAAAAATTCATGGAAACAAATGAAAATGAAAACACAACTGTTCAAAATCTTTGGGATGCAGCAAAGGCGGTCCTAAGAAGGACGTATATAGCAATACAAGCCTTTCTCAAGAAATAAGAAAGATCTCAAATACACAACATAACCCTACACCTAAAGGAGCTGGAGAAAGAAAAGCAGATAAAGCCTAAACCCAGCAGGAGAAGAGAAATAATAAAGATCAGAGCAGAAATCAATGAAACAGAAACCAAAAGAACAGTAGAACAGATCAACAAAACTAGGAGCTGGTTCTTTGAAAGAATTAGTAAGATTGATAAACCCCTGGCCAGACTTATCAAAAAGAAAAGAGAAAGGACCCAAATAAATAAAATCATGAATGAAAGAGGAGAGATCACAACCAACACCAAACAATTATAAGAACATATTATGAGCAACTATATGCCAACAAATAGACAATCTGGAAGAAATGGATGCATTCCTAGAGACATATAAGCTACCAAAACTGAACCAGGAAGAAACAGAAAACCTCAACAGACCCATAACCAGCAAGGAAATTGAAGCAGTCATCAAAAATCTCCCAAAAGGGGCGCCTGGGTGGCTCAGATGGTTAGGCGTCTGCCTTCAGCTCAGGTCCTGGGATAGAGCCCCACATCGGGCTCCTGACTCGGCGGGGAGCCTGCTTCTCCCTCTCCCTCTGCTTCTCCTCTTGCTCATGCTCTCTCTGTGTGTGTGTCTCTGTGTCTCAAATGAATAAATAAAATCTTAAAAAAAAAAAAAAATCTCCCAACAAACAAGAGCCCAGGGCCAGATGGCTTCCCAGGGGAATTCTACCAAACATTTAAAGAAGATTTAATATCCATTCTTCTGAAACTGTTCCAAAAAATAAAAATGGAAGGAAATCTTCCACACTCATTTTATGAGGCCAGCATTACCTTGATCCCAAAACCAGACAAAGACCCCACCAAAAGGAGAGTTACAGACCAATATCCCTGATGAACATGGATGCAAAAATTCTCACCAAAATACTAGCCAATGGGATCCAACAGTACATTAAAAGGATTATTCACCACGATCAAGTGGGATTTATTCCTGGGTGCAAAGCTGGTTCAACATTAGCAAATCAGTCAATGATATACACTACATTAATAAAAGAAAGCACAAGAACCATAGGATACTCTCAATAGATGCAGAAAAAGCATTTGACAAAATAGAGCATACTTTCTTGATTAAAACTCTTCACAGTGTAGCAATAAAGGGTACATACCTCAATATCATAAAAGCCATCTATGAAAAACCCACAGCGAAGATCATTCTCAATGGGGAAAAACTGAGAGCTTTCCCACTAAGGTCAGGAACACGGCAGGGATGTCCACTATCACCACTGCTATTCAACATAGTATTAGAAGGCCTAGCCTCAGCAATTAGACAACAAAAAGAAATAAAAGGCATCCGAATCGACAAAGAAGTCGAACTCTCATTCTTTGCAGATGATATGATACTTTATGTGGAAAACCCAAAAGACTCCACCCCAAAACTGCTAGAACTCATACAGGAATTCAATAAAGTGGCAGGATATAAAAATCAATGCACAGAAATCAGTGGTATTTCTATACACCACCACCAAGACAGAAGAAAGAAATTAAGGAGTCAATCCCATTTACCATTGCACCCAAAACCGTAAGATACCTAGGAATAAGTCTAACCACAGAGGCAAAGAATCTGTACTCAGAAAACTATGGGATACTCATGAAAGAAATTGAGGAAGACACAAAGAAATGGAAAAACATTCCATGCTCATGGATTTGAAGAATACTGTGAAAATGAAAATGTCTATGCTACCTACAGCAATCTACCATTCAATGCAATCCCTATCAAAATACCATCAACTTTTTTCAGAGAAATGAAACAAATAATCCTAAAATTTGTATGGAACCAGAAAAGACCCCAAATAGCCAGAGGAATGTTGAAAAAGAAAACCAAAGCTGGCGGCATCACAGTTCCGGACTTCCAGCTCTATTACAAAGTTGTCATCATCAAGACAGCATGGTACTGGCACAAAAACAGACACATAGATCAATGGAACAGAATAGAGAGCCCAGAAATGGACCCTCAACTCTAGGGTCAACTAATCTTTGACAAAGCAGTAAAGAATGTCCAATGGAAAAAAGACAGTCTCTTCAACAAATGGTGTTGGGAAAATTGGATAACCACATGCAGAAGAATGAAACTGGACCATTTCCTTACACCACACACAAAAAGAGTCTCAAAATGGATGAAAGACCTAAATGTGAGACAGGAATCCATCAAAATCCTTGAGGAGAACACAGGCAGCAACCTCTTCGACCTTGGCTGTGCAACATCTTCCTGGACACATCGCCAAAGGCAAGGGAAGCAAGGGCAAAAATGAACTATTGGGACTTCATCAAGATAAAAAGCTTTTGCACAGCAAAGGAAACAGTCAACAAAACCAGAAGACAACTGGCAGAACGGGAGAAGATATTTGCAAATGACCTAACAGAAAAAGGGCTAGTACCCAAAATCTATAAATAACTTACCAAACTCAACACCCAAGGAACAAATAATGCAAACAAATAATGGGCAGAAGACATGAACAGACATTTCTCCAAAGAAGACATCAAAATGGACAACAGACATATAGTGCTCAACAGCACTCAGTATCAGGGAAATACAAACCAAAACCACAATGAGATACCACCTCACACCAGTCAGAATGGCTAAAATTAGCAAGTCAGGAAACAACAGAGGTTGGCAAGGATTCGGAGAAAGGAGAACCCTCCTACACTGTTGGTGGGAATGCAAGCTGGTGCGGCCTCTCTGGGAAACAGTATCGAGGTTCCTCAAAAAGTTGAAAATAGAGCTACCCTATGACCCACCAATTGCACTACTGGGTATTTACCCCAAAAATACAAATGTAGTGATCTGAAGGGGCACCTGCACCCCAGTGTTTATAACAGCAATGTCCACAAAGCCAAACTATGGAAAGAGTCCAGATGTCCATCGACAGATGAATGGATAAAGAAGATGTGGTATATATATACAATGGAATATTATGCAGCCATCAAAAAAATGAAACCTTACCATTTGCAACGATGTGGATGGAACTAGAGGGTATTATGCTAAGCGAAATAAATTAATCAGAGAAAGACAATTATCATACAATCTCATGGATATGTGGAATTTGAGAAACAAGGCAGAGGATCATAGGGGAAGAGAGGAAAAAATGAAACAAGAAGAAACCAGAGAGGGAAACAAACCATAAGAGACTCTTAATCTCAGGCGCCTGGGTGGCTCAGTTGGTTGAGCGACTGCCTTCGGCTCAGGTCATGATCCTGGAGTCCCGGGATCGAGTCCCATGTCAGGCTCCCTGCTCAGCGGGGAGTCTGCCTCTCTCTCTGACCCTCCCCCCTCTCATGCTCTCTATCTCATTCTCTCTCTCAAATAAATAAATAAAATCTTTAAAAAAAAAAAAAAGAGACTCTTAATCTCAGCAAACAAACTGAGGGTTGCTGGAGTAGAGGGGCGTGGGAGGGATGGGGTGGCTGCGTGATGGACATTGGGGAGGGTGTGTGTTGTGGTGAGCGATGTGTATTGTGTAAGACTGATGAATCACAGACCTGTACTCCTGAAACAAATAATACATTATATGTTAATAATAATAAAAAATGAAATATGACTTTAAAAAGACTATTAGAACTAATAAATGAGTTTAGCAAGGCTATAGGACACAAAAATCAGTATACAAAAATCTCTATTTTTATATACTAGCACTGAAAAATCTAAAATGAAATTAAGACAACAATTCCACTTAAAATTGCATCAAAAGGAATAATCTACCTAGGAATAAATTTAGGCTTGTATGCTGAAAACTACAAAACATTGTTGAAAAAAGTTAAAGAAGACTAAATAAATGGAAAGATATCTCATGTTCATGAATTGAAAGATATTAAGATAACAATACTCCCCAAATTGATCTACTAATTCGAATTCATGGGTCAAGTTTGGCCCGGGGAGAGCCCTATAAAAATCTCCTTTGAAGGAAGGCAACACCCATAGCACAGAGGGGCCATGACTTCAGCAGAGTCACAGAGAGAGGGAGGGTTGAGTGGAATCTGTTGGGCAAACTGTAAATACCTGCACCCCAAGCCCTACTCTGGGAGGCTATAGGGCAACAGCTGTTGAGGCTGCTAACAAGGCTGCTAAGAAGGAGGCAGAGGAAGAACACACAGCCCAATGCCAGTACCCACAGCACCAACCACAGGGAACCTGGGAAGGAAACAGCCTCTGTGGTGGGGCTTTAGGATGCACACACCTTCCTATGGGGAAAGGCAGAGGTGGTCAGTCTGCTGGGGAAGAGTGTGAGAGACTTACCCAGCGAGCCAATAAGTGCAAAGTTCTCTAGCATCACATCCCGGTACAGGCTCCTCTGGGTCAGATTAAGGAGCCCCCACTCCTCCCGGGAGAAATACACAGCCACATCCTCAAAGGTCACCAAGCCCTGTAATGATTGATTCAACTGAGCCTTAGGGGTCAACAGTGGGCAGAAGAGCCAACCAACACATGGACAAAGGAACACATCCACGCCCTTGATCAGTGTCTCGGGGTCCTGCCACATGTCTCACTGACATCATCTTTCCCTCTGAGCCCTAAACCCCATTCCCACTCGAGGCAAACCCTCTACCTCCCTCCTCTTAAGACCCTTACCTCAGAGGATTGCCAGGGCCCAGTTCCATTGGTGCCTCTCCTCAGTTACTATCGGACTCTGCATCCTGCCCACAGCAACAACAGGCTGGTGACCAGACAGATGCCATCTGTGTTCCAGCCAGACACACAGGTCCCACCCTACCTCCTATCAGCCAATTCCCTCTATGTCTCAGATCACCTCCCAGTGGCAACCACACCTATGCTCACCCTTCTCTCTCACATCCCAGTACCTGGTCCCAGACCTTCCAGTTTGCCCTCCTGCCTGACATGCACGTAAGTCTTCGTACCACAGCATGTTACAGCTCCACACCCCCAGCCCACAGTCTCACCGGTCCACCCCATTGGCAACTCACTGGAATCCCTCACGTGCTCGTTCTGCACATGGTGTCTCCAGAGTGACACCACTGGGCGCAACCACAATCCCATCCTGCCCCAGTCGAACCCCACTCCTTCATGGTTCATTGCTAAGAGCATCCCCTCCGCTCTGAACTCAAGACCTGCCCACCCGGTCCTGTTCTAGCTTCAGCCCTCAGCTGGCCAAACCACTCACGGACCTCCGAGACCCCTGGCCCTCTCCCACCTCTGCTTCACCAGCCACAGCCTTCCCCGCTTCTCCTGGGCTCATTCAGAACCGGACCCACTGGGGCACCTTCCACTCACCGGCGCCTCCTCGGCCAAAGGAAGCTGTGGGCGGAGCATGGCCGCGGCAGGCGCCGAATTTCGGCCTCTTCAGCTCAGCTCCGTACCTACCACCCGCTTTGGGCGCAGGAGCCTCCGGCCGACCGTGGGACCTTCGAAGCTAGGACCAAAATGTGCCCAAGGCCCAGGAAGCCGCCTGTGGGAGGCCCAGACCCTCCGGCGCCCGTTCCGCAGGGGGCAACATCGAGTCTCAGGAAGAGGGGGTCCTCCGGGGAGTCCCAGCGCGTGCACAGGCGCGACGGGGGTCCCGCCCCTGTCCTCCGCGGAGCGGCCTCTAAAGGAAATGGGCCCGCCGCGCAGCTCTGGAGATACTCGTCCCGACCCACAGCGGCAGAAGGAGCACCTCGAGGGCAACGCCGGAAGTCCGGCCGCCTCAGCTACCTCCACTAACTCACGCCGCGTCACTTTAGGACCTCATTTCCCAGCTCCCCTCGCGGTGCCGCTTGCTCGTTGCCAAGGCGACGGGCGGGGGCGCGGCAGGGCGCTCGTGCCGATGGAACCAATGACGGCCCAAGACAGGAGCGCTGCGGCGAGCCGCGCCGACGGAGGAGGGACTTCCGGCGCCGGACTCCTCCCCCGGAGCCACGCCGGGGGACGGACCGCGTCGCTGCGTGGTGGTCGGAGTCTGAGAGGCTCCTGGGAGCCGAGGGAACGCGAGTAGGGGAGGTGTGAGAGTGAGCACCGCACCGTGTGCGCGCCGTGAGCGCAGCGAGTGTTCCGAGCCCTGGTGTCCCAGCCGTAGAGAGGTGACAAAGCCCGTCGTGCCCGCGACCGCCCGTGAGTCATCCCGTTTGACGCTGTGTCTGCTTCACAGAGCAGGAGACTGAGCTCGGAAAACACTCTCCAGGGGCGCCTGGGTGGCTCAGTCGGTGAAGCGTCCTCCTTCAATTCAGGTCATGATCTCAGAGTCGTGGGATCGAGACCCGCATGGGGCTCCCTGCTCCGCGGGAAGCCTGCTTCCCCCCCTCCCACTCTCCCTGCTTGTCTTCCCCCTCTCGCTGTGTCTCTCTCTGTCAAATAAATAAATAAAATCTTTAAAAAATAATAAATAAATAAAATAAAAATAAAAAGGAAAGACTCTCCAGCCTGAGTTCAGTGAGCAGCTGGGGGCGGGGGGAGGCAGGGGACCTTGTCACGAGGGGGGTTGGTGTCGGGGAAGATAAGCAGTTGGATTTTAGAAGTGTTGAGTCTTCAGTGCCTGGGCTGCTGGACTCAGGCAGGTCTCGGGTGCTGGGGATGGTTCTGGCACATGTTCAGAGGACAGTAGGCTGGTAGCCTGCCCCCTGTCAAGCCATGGTGCCAACTCAAGTAGGGGGCCTTGTGGAGGAGGGTGAGCGTGTTGTTGAGGATGTCAGGGGGAAAGGTCCTGGGCACATCCAGCTAGGAGGCTGGCAGGAGAACTCAGCCCCTGGATGTCTTGCACTGAATTCAGATGCACTCATCCTGGAGCATGTGGTACTGAGTCTCCTAGGAAGAGCAGAGCACTTAGGCGAGTCCCAGAGAAGCCTACCCCAGCGTGATGCTTGAGAACTTTGTCCTGGTGGCTTCTCTGGGTCAGGCCACTGGCTTCGCACTCCCACAACTAGAAAACTGTTTGCTCTGCTCTTGCCATGTTCCCCTTGAAAACTGCTATTGGTCCTGGAACTCAGGCCCAGGCCATGCTACCTCCTCTCCCAGGCTGCTGTGAGCAACCCCCACACATTCTACCAAGGGGCCATGAGCAGCTGAGATCAGCAATCAGAAGTCTGTAAATCTTTGCAGCAGGTTATGTCCAGCTCAGTCCCTTTGTGTAAGATCCCCAGCATTTCATGCACTGACGTGGTCATTGTTTGTGGGGCCACTGGGCTCTTTCTTGGAGACCTTCCCTGGAGGTTCAGGTTGTGAACATCAGTGTTGTTCATGTACAGATGATCCTCAGGGGCTATAGTCTCTTAAGGGGGGTTGACCTCTCCTGGGGTGGATTCTCACAAACCTCATCAGCCCCCATGGCTCTAGTGGCTTCCACATTCCCTGTGGTTACCCTACTAGAATTGGTGAGGAGACCAGCCCTGGTGACTGCCTGAGGTGGGCTATTCTCACACCTGGTGTCTGACCCATGTTGTCTCAGATCCTGGAGCCTCCCTGACCCCCTACTGTTTTTCATCCTCTTTTTTTTTTTTAAGATTTTATTTGACAGAGAGAGACACAGCGAGAGAAGGAACACAAGCTGGGGGAGTGGGAGAGGGAGAGGGAGAAGCAGGCTCCCCGCAGAGCAGGGAGCCCGATGCGGGGCTCGATCCCAAGGACCCTGGCATCATGACCTGAGCCGAAGGCATACACTTAACCAACCAGGCGCCCCTAAAATACTTTTTATTTTTAAGTAGTTTGAAAGAAGTTGCAAAAGAGTTCCCATGTGGGGCGCCTGGGTGGCTCAGTCGTTAAGCATCTGCCTTCAGCTCAGGTCATGATCTCAGGGTCCTGGGATCGAGCCCCGCATCAGGCTGCCTGTTCAGCGGGAAGCCTGCTTCTAGCTCTCCCCGTCCCTCTGCTTGTGTTCCCTCTCGTGCTGTGTCTCTCTCTGTCAAATAAATAAAATCTTAAAAAAAAAAAAAAAAAAAGAGTTCCCATGTACCCTTCATCCAGCTTCCCTCAATGATAATGTTCTACATAACCACAGTACATTGTCAAAACCAGGAAAATATACTAATACAATATTTTTAACTCAACTACAGACCTTATTCAGATTACACCAATTTTCACATATACTCTTTATGTAGTTCTGTGAAATTTTATCACATGTGTAGATTCATGTTACCACCACCACCACAGTCCGATACAGAGCTGTTCCAGTCCACAAGGGAACTTCTTTTTTTTTTTTTACATGGTACAAGTTTTTTAATATACAATTTGTACTTATACAATGGCGTACTATTATACTATGAGAATGGGATAATGCACAATCTTTTCTATTTCTCCTCAACAACCAAATTAATATAAATGTTGCACAGCTCCAAGAGCCTGCATATCAATGATCAATTTCTCTGCCATGCTGATTTTAAAATGCAATAATCCTAACACATTTACAGTGAAAACATTTATATTATACTGTGACACTCAATACATCTAGAAATATTAAATGTTTAAAAATAAATATTGCCCATTATTTACAAAGTTGTCATACTGCCATATAACAGATGAACATAGAATTTTATAATTTAGATTCTATAAAATGTTCTTTAGAAAAATGAATTTCGGGGCGCCTGGGTGGCTCAGTCGTTAAGCGCCTGCCTTCGGCTCAGGTCATGATCCCAGGGTCCTGGGATTGAGCCCCGCATCGGGCTCCCTGCTTGGCAGGAGGCCTGCTTCTCCCTCTCCCTCTGCCTTTGCTTGTGTTCACTCTCTCACTGTGTCTCTCTCTGTCAAATAAATAAATAAAATCTTAAAAAAAAAAAAGAAAAATGAATTTCATCAACATAAGTATATCTGAGAAAATAAAATATACATACATGCCCACAAGGGAACTTCTAACTAACCCTTAGGTCATACACTCTCCCAATCCTGACCACCACTGATCTGTCCTCCATCACTAGAATGTGCCACTTCACAAATGTCACATAAAGGAAATCCTATAGCATGGATGGGCTATACTGTGGGCTTTTATCACTCAGCATAATGCATTTGAGATCCATCCAAGGTGTGTGTATCAGTAGCTAGCTCCTTTGTATTGCTAAGTAGATATTCCACAGTTTGTTTATCTGTTCACCTATTGAGGGACATTTGGGCTGTCTACACTATTATTATTATTACTATTATCATCATCATTGTTAGCTATCACAAATAACACTGCCATGAACATTTGTATTCAGTTTCCTATGAACATGTTTTCACTTTTGTATGGACATGAGTTTTCATTGTTGTGTGTGTCAAGGAGGTGATAAATGCCCAAGAATGCAATTGTAGAGTTGTACGGTAAGTGTATGCTAAACTACCAAATTGTTTTCCAGAGTAGCTGCACCATCTTACATTCCCACCAGTAATAGCTATTGAACATGTTTTCATGCATATGTTTGCTATCCATATATCCGCTTTAGAGAAATATGTGCTCAAGTTTTTGCCCATTTTCCAACTGGACTTTTTTAGTCAACTTTATTAATGTATAACATATATAACAAAATGCACTCATTTCAAGTGCAAAATTAGATGAGGTTGGACAAATAAATAAACCCATGTATTGAATTTGAGATACTCTCTGTAGTCATTTCCTTAAGCCAATATAGCTATGTGCACCCACCTCCATTGTGCGGCTAATGGCAAGTATATTTCTGTTTGTTATAGGTCAAACAGTACAATTATGTATATGGTTTTATATAGTTGCTTTTATAATAAGTTTAAAAAAGAAATAGCATTTATACTTTCTTATGCATAATTACTGGTGCTTTTTGGTTTTTTGTGTGGATTCACAGCATTGTCTGGGATCACATACTTCCAGCCTTTAGTACTTCTTGGGTTGGTTGACACTGGACAAGGAAATAACTCCAAGTCCCTGCTCATCAGGAGCAGGGAAGAGAGAGTGGGAACATCCAGGTTACTGAGATGCAAGCCTCAGTTGGGACTCTGTCCATTCTTTAACAAGCACATGATGTTTTCTGCTTATCAAAGAATGTTTATTAGTATATTTGCTGATTATAAATGTAATCATTTTCAGTGCCAACATTTTTTAATGGAGATACCCTAATTATTTCCAGTAGTGCCCTATTGTTAGACACTTTGACCTCAAAACAGTGCAGCTCTTAAGTTCATTGTATGACTCTCCTTGAGCCTGCCATGTTTTAAATTTGAATAGACACTGCCTAAAACTGGCCCACTATACTCCAAGTAGCCCAGTATGAACTACACATGAAAATCACATGATTTTCCCAATGACTGTCTCTAGTCTGGCTCATTTTTTAAATTTCTGACATTTATTTATCAATATTACTCTAGTTTTTATTAATATACATTATTTTTAGAGCACTAAGTTTTAGGTTTATGGGAAATTGAGCTGATAGTACAGAGTTCCCATACTCCTGGTCTCTCCCTATAGTTTCCCCTACTGTTAACATCTTTAGTGTGGTATATTTGTTATAACTGATGAACCCATATTGATACATTATTATTAAATAAAGTCTATAGTTCACATTAGAGTTGTACCTAATATGGGTTTTGACAAATACATAATGTCACATGTGTCAGTCATTACAGTATCATACAGAATAGTTTTGCTGCATGAAAAACCCCCTGTGCTTCACCTATTCATCCCTCCCTCCCCCAAGTCCCCATCAACCACTATTTTACTGTGTCTAAGTTTTGCCTTTCCCAGAATGTCATAAAGCTGGAATTATACAGTGGGTGCCTTTTTCAGACTGACTTTTTCACTTAGCAATATACATTTAAGATTCCTCCATGCCTTTCTGTGGCTTAATAACTCAGTTCTTTTTATTGCTGAATAATATTCCATTGTATGGATGTGCCACAGTTTCTTTATCCACTTACCTATTGAAGAACATCTGAGCTGATTCCTGTTCTGAGCAATTACAAACATTTGTGTGCCTTGCTGGATGACCTGGCAGGACTATATTTAACTTTGCAAGAAACTATCAAACTCTTCCAAAGTGGCTGTACCATTTTGCATTCTCCCCAGCAGTGAATGAGATTTCTGGTTCCTCCTGTTGTATTTTGGATTTTAGCCATTCTAATACATATGTAATGATATTGTTTTAACTTGCAATTCCCTAATAGCAGACAAGCTTGAGCATATTTTCTTATGCTTATTTGCCACCTGTGTATCTTCTTTCCTGAGGTGTCCAGATTTTTTGCCCTTTTAAAGTCATGGTAGGCAGGGACACCTGAGTGGCTCAGATGGTTAAGCATCTGCCTTTAGCTTGGATCATGATCTCTGGGTGCTGGGATTGAGCTCCATGTCGGGCTCCTGGCTCAGCGGGAAGTCTGCTTCTCCCTCTGTGTCTCCCCCCTGCTCATGCTTGCTCTCTCTCCCTCCTTCTCTCTCTGTCTCTCTCTCAAATGAATAAATACAATCTTAAAAAAAAAAAAAAAAAAGGATGGTAGGCAGAATTCTAAGATGACCCCAAGATTTTTCCATCGTAGGGCAACCCTCTGGAGTCCCCACCCATCTTAAAAAAAAAAAAAAAAAAGATTTTTCCATTGTAATCCATGAGACTGGATAGATTTTTTTCCCCAGAACCTCCGGACAAGAACTCAGTCTAGCCAGCACCTTCATTCTAGTAGGAGCAGAGAACTTAGCCATGTTGTGCTAGAATTCTGACCTCAGTGCTGTGAAATAATAAATGGATGTTTTGGTAATTGTAATTTGTTACACAGAAACAGAAAACTATTACAAGGTTGGACTTTTGGCAGTGGCTCCCTCACAAAGTCTTCTCTCTGACATGAGGCTGAACAAGGTGATAGCCATGGCTAGAGGCTTTTGCACTTTATTGTACTCCTAAGGCCTTCAGTGTGAACTTTCTGGAGTGAAATAAGATTGGAGCTGCAGCTGAAGACTCTCCCACCACCTGGGTGGCTCAGTTGGTTGAGCGACTACCTTCAGCTCAGGTCATGATCCCGGAGTCCCAGGATCGAGTCCCGCATCCGGCTCCCTGCTCAACAGGGCATCTGCTTCTCCCTCTGACCCTCCCCACTCTCACACACTCTCTCTCTCTCTCTCTCAAATAAATAAATAAATAAAATCTTCAAAAAAAAAAAAAAAAAGACTTTCCCACATTAGTTGGACTAAAGAGGATATTCTGTGGTGTGGAAGCTTGCATGTAGAACAAGTTTGGTGCTTTGGGGTAAAGATTTCCCACACTGACTGCATTTAACGTGCTTTGGGGTCATGATCTTTCTGGTACTGAATGAGCTTAAGGCTGTGTCTAAAGGCTTTCCTATAATTCCTGGTGTTAAATGAGAAGCAGAGAAGGAGCAACATGTACTGCACTCATGGGCCTTTATGTGTTGAGAACTTGGAGGTACCAAACACCCGTGGCTATTTCAATGCAGACTTTCCCACACCAGCAGCCCTCGTATGGCCTTTCTCTCACGTGAACCTTCTGGTGCTGACTGAGACAACAGATTCTGCTTAGGCCTTCCCACATTCAATGCATTCATAAGGTCTTGCTCCAATGTGAGCTCTCTGGTGCCAAATGAGGTTGGAGTTTGGCTAAAGAATTCCCCACATTCAGTGCATTTATAGGGCATTTCCCCAGTGTGAACTTTCTGGTGCCGAATAAGGGTAGATGCGAGGCTAAAGTCTTTCCCACATTCACTGCACTTATAAGGCCTTTCCCCTGTATGAATTCTCTGGTGCTGAACAAGTGTGGATTTGTGGTTGAATGTTTTCCCACCTTCACTGCACTTGTAACATTTTATTTCAGTATGAACTTTATGATGTGTGCTCAATTTAGATGGGTGGCTGAGGGCCTTCCCATACTCTTTACACATATAGGACGTTCCTCCAGTGTGAATTTTAATCTGAGTAATAAGAATTGATTTCTCCTTGAAGGCATTTCCACCTGTTGAGCATCTGTAGGAACTCAGTTCAGTGTAAGTTCTTAGGTGGTTGAGGAGGGCAGAACTCTCCAGGAAAGATTTCCCACAGTTGCTGCACTTGAAGGGTTTCTGTCCAGTGTGGACTCCTGGGTGCTGCCTGAGACTGGAGCTGTGAGGGAAGGTCTCCCTGGTGCTGCTTGGTAGCTTCCCCATACCGTGAGTGGCTTGTTGCTGTCTGAGGCCAAAGCTGGCCTGGAAGTCCATGCCGCACTCCCCACACATGAAGGGGTGTTCTGAAGAGTGGGCCCTATAGCTCTTCACCTGCTCAAGAGGGTCCTCCTCATCTTCCACTTGACACAGACAACCTGAAAGCAGAGAAATGTCAGTTAACTGGATGCTAGGATTGGAGGAGGAGGCACCTTCATCACCAGTGCGTGTCAACATACTCAGGAAGGAGTCCAGGGGACTGCTGGAAGGTTCTGTGAAGCTGGGGCAGGCGGTTCTGGATGGAAGGGTTGACCCTGCAGGCTAGGATCCAGCCAGATGACAGAATGTGAAAGATCTCAACAGAGATGAGAACACAAAGAGGGAGCAGAAGAAGGAGGAGAGAGCTATGGTCTCCGTCACTTCTCTGCAAAGGGTTTCGGCAGGGCCTTGGCTACTGGTGACAGAAAGCACTGTGAAGAGGCATGTGTCCAGTCCTGTGAAAAAGTCATTGCAGCACAGTAGCTGGTTCAAGTGTGACACAGAAGGATGCCTCATGTCATGTGTAGAATAGGTCCATGTCGGACAGCTATGCGTAAGTTACTGGGCTGCTTATCACCTGACTGTCTCTCAGCTCCAAATTCACCCATTTGCCTGCTCTGTGCAAATGGATTCTTTAAATATTTTTCTTTGCAAGCCTGCATGATGTTAACCTTTTTTTTTTTTTTTAAGATTTTATTTATTTATTTGACAGAGAGAGATAGTGAGAGAGGGAACACAAGCAGGGAGCCCGATGCGGGGCTCGATCCCCGGACCCTGGGATCATGACCTGAGCCGAAGGCAGACGCCTAACCGAGTGAGCCACCCACATGCCCCGGATGTTAACCTTTGTTAGTAGAGGGCATTGGGAAGAAACTGCAGGATGAACAGGGTTTTTTTCCCACTTGCTGTGTGCTCCCTGGGTGGCCTGCTGCTGTCTGTGCAACTTTCTCACGAGTGCTCACACCTTCTCCAGTACCCAGCCCCTCTACTCATTCCAATCCCCTGGTGATGTTAATAATACTTTATTTTGAATCTTCCCTGTTCAAAGCACTGTGCGGTTTCTCTCTGCTGACTGAACCCAAATTGATACAGAACTGGTACTGGGAATGGTTCCAGGAGATAGCCTGCAAAAATGGAATTTGAAGACTGACTTAGTTGTGTTTGGGACATGAGCACAACGCAGAGCTCCCTGACAAATAGGATGACAGTAACCCAGGGCATGCAGTGGTATCAATTAAACAAGCTACTGCCTTGTGCCTTGGGAGCCCAAGTGGCTCCTGCACTTCACTTTTATGGCAGTAATGACAACTGCAAGGACTGTGGTGTGGGACCAAGGGTCCTGAGTGCCCCGGACCACTTACAGAAAGAACATAATACATTCAGTTTCTTAAACTACCAGCTCAAGCCACAGTCTGAGAAATAGATGGATTCCATGACCTCCCTCCGAGAATCTGATTTCTTACAGCTGCAGGGCTGATGATGCTAAAAACCAAACAAAACTCAATTGTGCAGGTGACTGATTTGTATCATTTGAAATCACAATCTTGCCACGTTTCTCATGTGAAAATTAGGGCACTGACTGGTAATGAATGGGACAATAAAACATTTGTTTTTTGTGTATTTGTGCTGCATTAAACTGCTAAATTTGTAGTAACTTGTTATAGCAGCGATAAAAATTACAACACCATCTCCAACTATGTTCCACGAAAAGACACAGAAGACATTCCCTTCACTAAAATAATTGAGAAATATATTAGTGAGAGGATTGAAAATCTCTGTGGTTGCTCTCTTTTATAAGCCAGTTATGACTGTAGGAGATGCTGCCATTGAGATGGGCTCCTCTGTTTTCTCGGGGATGATCCCAGGGGTAGCAGAAGCCAAGTGGCCGCACTTAGTTACCAAATACAAGGTGGGCACATCCACCGTAGCAGGCAACAGGGATGTCCAGGCAACCAGAATGCCTTGGCCTAAAGAGGTCTTGGGCAGTGAGTAATTGAGTACAGCGTTGCCCAGAAAGAAATACTTGGGGGTACAGGTCATTATGCTAAGGAGGGCTAAATGCAAGCCCCTGAAGCTTTCACTCCCTGCCAGGGTAGAAAACCAAAAGCAATACTGCATCCCTGGAGGAGCTACAGAGACTAATGCCACCACCAGCGATATGAAAGAAGCAGAGGTGGTGGTACCCATCACATGCCATTTAACTCACTAGTTTGGCCTGAGCAGAAGTCAGATGGATCTTGGAGAACGACTGTGGACCATCCATCCTAAATTTAATGTGGTGCCTCTGACTGTAGCTGCTCTTCCAGAGGAAGAACCCAGGCACTTGGCTTGCATCCAAGGAACCGACTGGTGCCTTCTCTTCCATACAATTTACAAGCGACACCGGAAACCATTTGCATTTATCTGCTCAAACCAAACCACAGTGTATGTTCACATTGTTGCCTCAGGATGACATCAGTTCTGCTGTCTTGATATTGCATAAACATCACATTGGTCCACTTCATTATGACATGCTGTGTGGATCTGATGAGCAAGAAGTAGCAACTACTTTAGATACCTTGGTAAGAAATATGCAAACAGGGTGCCTGGGTGGCTCAGTTGGTTGAGCGACTGCCTTCAGCTCAGGTCATGATCCCACGGTCCTGGGATCGAGTCCCGCATTGGGCTCCCTGCTCTGTGGGGAGCCTGCTTCTCCCTCTCCCACTCCCCCTGCTTGTGTTCCCTCTCTCGCTGTGTCTCTCTCTGTCAAATAAATAAATAAAATCTTTAAAAAAAGAAAGAAAGAAAGAAAGAAATATGCAAACAAAAGGGTGGGATACAAAACCTACAAAAATTCAGGGGCCTGCCACCTCAGTGAAGCTCTCAGGAGTTCAACTGCCTGAGTGGGTTGAGATATCCATTTAATTGTTGCACCTCGCACCATCAACCACCAAAAAGCATTTGGTAGGACTTTTTGGATTTTGGAGGTAACCTATACAACATCTAAATCTACTGCTTTGGACCATCTACCAAGTCAGCCATCAGGCTTCCTGTTTTAAGCGGAACCAGAAAGAGAGACGGCTCTGAAGCAGGTTCAGGCTGCTCAAGCACCCAGGCCTTATGATACAGCAGACTCAGTGATACTGGAAGTGTCTGTGGCAGATCAGGACACTGTGTAGAGCCTGGCAAGCAGCTGTAGGAGAATCACAGCACAGACCTCTAGGATTCTGAAGCCAGTCTACAGCTTATGCAGATAACTACTCTACTTTAGAGAAACAGTTTCTAGTTTGCTAATGGGCCTTCGGCAAAGACTGAATGCTTAACCAGGGGATGCCAGGTCACATGTGACCTGAGCTTCCCATCATGAACTGGTATTGTCTGACCCACATAGCCAGAAATCTAACATTAAATGGAAATAGTATATAAGATCAAGCTTGGCCCAAGACTTGGGCGGTCCTGCACAAAGACTTGCAGAGGAAGAGGGCACATGTGTAGCAAAAAGGGGCCATGACTCCAGCGGGGTCACCAAGCTGGAGACAGGCTGAGATTGGTGGGATCAGTTAGATACCTGTGAAAGACCTGGACCCCAAACTCCACCCTATGAAGTCTTGAGGTAATACCTACTGGGGGCTACTCACAGGGCTGCTTGAAGAGCAGAGGGAGAGTACGCCCACCCCAGTCACAGCATCTACAGCACCCACCATAGGGAACCTGGGAAGCAAGCAGCCCCCGGTCCAGCTTTGGGATAGACAGAACTTCCCATGGGAAAAGGCAGAGGGTAGTCAGTACACTGTGGGAGGGTGTAGGGACTTACCCAGAGAGCCGATGAGCTCAAAGTTCTCCTATATCACATCATGGTATAGATGCCTCTGCGTTACGTTAAGGAGCCTCCGCTCCTCCTTGGAGAAATACACGGCCACATCCTCAAATGTCACCTGATCCTGCAGTGATGGGTTCAGCTGATCCTAGGGGTTGATGATTGGGCAGAAAAACCAACCAAAGGGACACATCCAAGCCTTTGACACGGAAGGGTACTATCCTCTCTCTCACTGACAGGCTCAACACCCCACCACCACCACCACCACCACATCCTGATGCTTCCTTTTCCCTCCAGAACTCTACCTCAGAGAGAATACCAAGGTCACAATGCCATTGATGCCTTTCTCATCATGTTACTATTAGATTCTGTATCCATCCCACAGCAACAACAGGATGGATGCCATCTATGTTCTGGTCCAGGCACACAGGCCTCACCCTTTCTCCTCCCAGCCCATTCTCTCTGTGTCCCTCACATCACACCTCTCAGATGCAACTAAACCCTCACTCACCATTCTTCCTTAGGGCCAGATGCCTGTTCCCAAGGCCCTTCAGTTGGCCCTCCCACCTATCAGGCACATAACATACTCAGCATCCTCATACTTCTGCACCCACACCATTCCAGCACAACCTCACCAGTTCACTCCATTCACAACTCCCTGGCTTCCCCACATGCCACTCTCCATGTGGTGTCCTGAGAGTGCATGGCACAGCAACCGCAATCCTATCCTGCTCCAGCCTGCCTGCACTTCAATGGCCCACTGCCATTGCACCTCACACGATCAACCACCAAAAAACATTTGGTAGGACTTTTTGGATTTTGGAGGTAACCTGGCCCTGTTCTAGCTTCAATATTCAGCCACTCAGAACTACAATTGGATCTCTGAGATGCTGGACTTCCTTCACATCTGCCTTTGCACAGGCTGTGCTCTCACTTGCCGTGATCCTCCTCTCCCATTCTGAGGCATACTCAGAGTCCAGCCCACTGGGCCTGGGACACTGCCCGTTGCCCAGGTGACCTCCATCTACCACTGAATGCCTCTGCAACCCTGAATGAAAACCCTCAGTCCCCAGAGAGGGCAGATATAAAAGCCTGGTCAGCCTGCAAACAGGTGAATCAGCCCAACCCCAAGCCCATTTACCCCCTACATCCATCACTGCCATGCCACAGGCTGCACCCCAGGTCCACCTGCCGATCAGGAGCCTTGGCTCCCTGACACTGCCCCTCTTCATTCCCCGCTAACATAGGCCCAGACGTCACAGTGCCTTCGTGACACCTGCCACCACCTTCCAACTGCACAGTCCGAGCACCTGGTCCTCCTTGGCCCCCAGCCTCCCTTCCCACAACTTGTCTGGGCATTCATCACCGTCCTTCATCCCACATTGTTCCTAGGCCCACTCTCTAGCCCCACCCTTTGGATCTTTCCAGCCCTGACCCTGCAGAATTCCAGAGCTGCACATTCAGGTGCCTACAAGGTGCCTCCATTCCTGGATATATCCCACTTAAAATCTCCAAAACCACACTCCAGATCTTGTCCCTGGAACCTGCTCTAGCCACCAACCTCCACAACTGTTGGTAGATCCTCCATCCATCAAACCACTGAGTCCAAACACCTAGGCTACTCCTTGATAGGTCAGTGTCTCTCACTGCCTCACATCCAGCAATTGGGCTGGTCCTACTGAAATAACAGATGCAGAGTCCCAGCACCTCTGCCATCTCCATTGCCATCACCCTGGTGCAGCCACCCATCACCAGTAGCCTCTCATGTGCCTTCTTCCGCCACAGTCCGTAGCCAGAGGGAGTCTCCCAACACGAGTCAGATCACCTCCCTCCCCTGCCCTAAATCTCCAGTGCTCCCAGCACCCTCCGAACAGAAGTCTAGATCCATCCCAGGCCTGACTCCTGCCCCTGCTCTCTCTTCTCAAAAGACCTAGGTGGGATCTGGGGTTCCCTGAACACTGCCAGCGCAGCCTCACTACCAAGCACTTGCTGGCTTCTGTGTCTTTAACACTTTCCATATCACATCCCGTTGACTGACAGAAACGGGAAGCCTTCCGCGTAAGCGCTGGATTAGGGGCCAGATGCGACTCCCAAAGCCCAAGTGGTAAGGGCAGGGAGCTGAAGGCGGCGGGGAGGAGTAAAAGCCCCACGACACCAACATCCCCGATACGGGGGTCTGAGTGAGTGCGGTCGAGGGCGCACCCTCGACTCACCGGCGCCGGGTCGCTCATCACCGCCGCCGCCCGCCGACCCGGGGCCGGAGCTGCGCACTGCAAGGCGCACACCCGGCCTGGGTCCCACAGGTCAGCCGGCCCGACCCCAGCCCCGCCCATGGAGGGATGACCTCGGGCTGACCGTCGCAGTCTGGGCCTCAGTCCCCACCCACTCCCGCGTACAATGCCTACGGGGCCAGGGTGCCACTTGCCGGGGCGGCGGGGGCCGAGGACCGGTGAGGAGGCTCGGGAGAGCGCGCGGCCCGGGCGGATACCTCCGTGAGAGGCAGCCGGTGCCACAGTCGGGACGAGTCTCAGAGAGTCTCAGTACTGGGAGCTCACGGCTCGGAGAAGATACGACCACGGACCCTGCCCTCCTGTAGCTTGTGTGGTAGCACCCGGAGGACTCAGCCCTGCCAGCGCGCGGGGCCTCGCGGCGGGAACTACACTACCCAGAAGACACTGCGACGACGTCTCGGGGCTGACCAGTGAGGGCCCAGGGCAGCGCGTTTCCGGGAGGGCTGCTGGGGCGGGACTTCCGCCGTCCGCCTCTGAAGGTTGTCTAGCTCCAGTTCTGACAGCCCTTCGCTGCGTCCGTTGGGCTCCCCGAGGCGGCGGAAGCGGGAGCGGGGACGGCACGAGAGTCGAGGAGGGGGGAGGGTCCGGCCACGCCATGTATGCGCTTTTACCGCGGAGGGTGTCCCTCCTCGTGGACTCCCGGCGTCCCCAACCGTAGTGGGACGGCCCCGGGGTGTGCAGCCGAATCGCGCGGGGGTGTCCTCCGTGGCCTCCGCCGAAGCCGGCTCGTGCCCGGGGCCGCCCGCGAGTCGTCCCGGACTAACGGCCTTGAGACCTCGGCCGGAGGAAAAGGAGGTGTGGGGAGGAAAACCGGCAGTTGGATGTGGGCAGAGGTGTGGGTGGGCCCGGGCCCTTCCCACTGCCGGGTGTGTGCCTGTCTCTGGCCGCTGAGACCTGGACAGTCCCTTTTGCAGAACATCCTGAGAGTGGACGCCAAAGACCCTCTAGATCCGTCCATGTTGTTGCAAATGGCAAGACCCCATTCTTTTTTATGGCTGAGGAACACTCCAGCATATATACACCACATCTTTTTTATCCATGAATCTATTGATGGACACTTGGGTTGCTTCCATATCTTGGCTATTGGAAATAATGCTGCAGTAAACATAAGGGTGCATATATATTTTCAGATTGTTTTCATTTTCCTCAGTAAACTACTGGACTGTGTGGTATTTCTATTTTTAAGTTTTTGAGGAACCTCCATACTGTTTCCCACAGCAGTTGCACCAGTTTACATTCCTACCAACAGTGCACAAGTGTTCCTTTTTCTCCACATCCTTGCCAATACTAGCTGTTTCTTGTAATTAGATACTAGCCACTACACTGACAGAGTTGAATAGTGACTAGAAACTGCACAGCCCACAAAGGTGAAAATATTTATGGTCTGACCCTTTACACAAAACGTTTTCTGGCTCCTGATTAAGAAGTTACAGAGGTGGGGTGCCTGGCTGGCTCAGTCAGTAGAGCTCACGACTGTTCAACTGGGGGTCATCAGTTTGAGCCCCACATTGGGCACAGAGATTACTTAAAACTTAAAACTTTTTTTTTTTTTTAAGTTACAGAGCTGAAGAATTTAACCAGAGCTTGGCAAAAGCTGTATGTAAAACAAAAGTGGATGGAAGGAATTTGCTAGAGAGGGAAATGGTAGAGGTGGCCATACATAACAGCTGCGGTGTGACCGGCCCAGCACTGCCTGCGAGTGAAGATTGCCGGGGTGCCCTTCCAGTCACAGGTCAGCAGCTGGTAGGAGGCGGCCATGCCAAGCCCTGCAGGATAGCCAGGGGTTGCCTCAGAGCCTTCCATTTTGAAGATTGACTAGGAGGATTCACAGACTCAGAAAACCTGTTATATTCTTAGTTGCAGTTTATTTTTTTTTTAAGATTTTATTTGAGAGAGAGTGCGTGCGCGTGAGCACGCATGAGTGGGGCGGGGGGGCAAAGGGAGAAGCAGACACCCTGCTGAGCAGGAGAGCAGGAGCCTGGCTCAGGACTCGATCCTAGGACCCCAGGATCATGACGTGAGCTGAAGGCAGCCACTTAACCGCTGAGCCACCCAGGCGCCCCTTATTTACAGTTTATTGCAGTGAAAAGATATCATTTAAAATCCGGCAAAGGAAAGAGGCATATAGAACAGGGACTACTAGGATAGATCAGGCACAAGCTTTCGGATGTCCTCTCCCAGTGGAGTCACACGCAGCACTCGCTTCTCCCAGAAACAATATATATGACAACACGTATGGAATGTTGCCACTGGTGCACTCACCTAAGTCTTGGTGCCCAGGGTTTTCACTGGGAAATAGTAACGAAGTCGTGCAGCACCCATGTAACTGACCTTATTACTCAGTCTCTGGCTCCCCCAGAGACCAAACTGGTGCAGCACGGCCTAAAGCCCCCACCATAAATCACGCTGTTGGCATAGATGACTTGGTGTGGATCGAGGCTCCAGGTGCACAAAGACACTCTTATTTGGTGGTACAGTGGGCAGGGCTGACTGCAGTGGCTCACCGAGGCTGTAGGACAGGGTAGATCCTGGGATGAGTCATGCTTCCGCTGCGAAACAATTAAGCTGCCTTGGCGCCTCACTAGGCCCCTGAATCCGTGCCAGCTGGTTCCGGACAGCATGGAGTGAGGGCAGCACATCCAGCTTCCTGCACAGATCTCTGATCTCAGACACATTCCTCAACAGGCCAGCTGGTCCCTAGCACCCTTGCCACCTGCTGCCCCCCTGCGTCCCCTCCCCCAGCAGTGATGTGCAAACACTACAGACGGCAGCAGGAAGGTGCTTAGTCCAGGTCTGAACCACTGCAATGCTTCAGTCCCACTCCTCCAACATCGGAGGGCAAGGGGCCTGGAAGAGTCAGCTGTTCTAATGCCACCACCCTCGACCCCCCCACCGCACCCCGCCAACACCCACAGTTCCATGTTTCCTCCCTCCCTTAAGATTTGGGAGCCTGGAGACAGGTAAGAACGAAGCCAGACACTCTTCCCTTTCTCTCCTTGGTTCTGCCACACTCCCTACTTGGTGCTACTGTCTGGCACTGGCTTCTCCCTTCCCTCACCAACACTCACAGAAAGGGTGACAGGGTCATCACCGTGAGGATTCAACCAAACACCTGGGACTCTCTCACCAGAGAGCAGGTCCAAGGGAGTGGCACGGGCCTGCTTGGCTAAAGAAGACAGAGGACTGTGCTGGTGACTCCACTTTAGGTAGAGGGCTGGCCTCCAAAGTGACCACCATGAGTCTCATTGTCTTGTATTCGCATGCTCACTTAGTTCCCTTCCATAGTGAATAGGGTACCCAATAGCATATGGGGGAGATGACAGAATGTGACTTCTGAGGCTAGGTCATAAAAGGCACTGTGGCTTCTTGGCTTTGTTCTCTCTTGGCTCACTTGCTCTGAGGGAAGCCAATCGCCATGTTGTGAGGACACTCAAGTAGCCCCCAGCCAGGATTGCTAGAAGTTCCCTCAAGCCCCCCTGGTTTGTGTGCAGGTGTTACTGAGGAGGGAAGCCTCCAAGTATGGAGAGAGAACTTTGATTGCAGGATGGGGGGAAAGCGGGGGGAAAGACCAAGGCTACCCTACCAGGGTGTGCAATTGAGGGGAGAAGGTGTTTTGCAGAAAGTTCTCTGGTCCCAGTCTGAATCCACACCCTGCCCAGCCTGACAGCCCCAGTTTCCCCATATGTCAGTCTGGATACTGCCCTTCTTAGTCCAGTGGGGGCCCTCCGTGGCCCTTGTTCTCTTGGCCTCAAGAAGATGACCTGAGGGGCGCCTGGGTGGCTCAGTCGTTAAGCGTCTGCCTTCGGCTCAGGTCATGATCCCAGGGTCCTGGGATCGAGCCCCGCATCGGGCTCCCTGCTCGGCAGGAAGCCTGCTTCTCCCTCTCCCACTCCCCCTGCTTGTGTTCCCTCTCTCGCTGTGTCTCTCTGTCAAATAAATAAAATCTTAAAAAAAAAAAAAAAAAAGATGACCCGATGGCTGGTGACGGGTGAGGTGTGGGCAGGGGCCTCTTTGACTCTCATGAGGAGAGACTGGCCAGATCCCTGTAGAATGGAGCACTTGGCGTCCCTCCGGGGGCAAAGGGAGCAGAGCTGGAGGAGAACCTGGGAAAGGTTTGGGGAACTGGGGACTCCACGAGCTTGACAGGGAAGGCAGTGTGGCCAAGTTGATGGCTCCTCTGCTCAGCTTTCTGGATGTCATGTGCCATGTGAGGGCCCTCCTTTTTCCTGAGGTGTCCCCAGTGCACCCTTGGTATATAGCAGGGGCTCAATAAATACTTGTAGATTAACTAATTTTCCCTGCAAGTAAGGTGTTTATTGTCACCCATTTTACAGAAGAGAGAACCAAGGTCTGGCATCTCTGGCACCATGCCAGGCACTGAGATTGACTCCCCCTCTCTGGGTATTCACAGGCACCAGGACCTAGGAGGAGGAGCAAGCCCACGGCAGGTGGTTATGCAGCAGGGCTGAAGTAGGCAGAGGGAGGGCAGGGAGGGTGGCCCCAGAGGCTGGTAGGCAAGGATGGGGAGGAGGCCCCCATCACACTGGCCCCAGGGTGGTTTTCGGCAACCCCTTTGTTCGTGGGCAGTAGGTGGGCAGGCATCTAGGTAGTAATTAGCAGACAGGAATGTTCAGGACCCCTGGGATCTATCATCAGCCTCATTTTAAGGGAGGAGAGACTGGGGCCTCAGTCTCCCAGTTGGGAAAATGGAGAAGCCATACTTTCCCTAGCCCCTAGGAGGAAGCTAGTTAGGACGAGGGGAGGGGTCAGCCCTGCCCACTGCCCTCAGCCACCCCCTTACTGCCCCAGGTCCCTCTCCTTGATGCCAGCTCTTTCGAAGGTACAGGTCTCCTTTCAGGAAGCCTTTCTTGAACACCCTCAGGCAGGGAGCATTTTCTTTCCCCCCTTCTGTGCACCACCAGCTAAGGGCCCCTTTCTGACTCCCCTGGCTGGGCCCAACTTCTGCCCCTCCCCACTCTCCCAGCCTGGGGTGGAGGAAGGAAGGGGTGAGAAGAGGAATATCTGAGACTCCATGGTAAGCTGAATAATGGCCCCCAAAGATCGCCAGATCCTAATCCCCAGAATCTGTGAATCTGCTACCTAAAATGGCAGAATGGACTCTGCAGATGTGATTAAATTAAGCTGTCGATCTGGGGAAATTATCCTGGATTATCGGGGCAGGCTCAATGTTGTCACAGTATCCTTATAAGTGAAAGAGGGAGGCAGGACAGTCAGAGCTTTGAAGATGCGATGCTGCTGCCTTTGAAGATAGAGGAAGACAGGGTGCCTGGTCAGCTCAATCAGTAGAGCATGGGACTCCTGATCTTGGGATTGTGAATTTGAGCCCCATATGGGGCGTAGAGATTACTTTAAAAAATAAAACAAAATATGAAGGAAGAGGAAGAAGCCAAGGAATGTAGCTCTAAAAGATGAAAAGCTAAGGAAATTCTCTCCTGGACTCTCCAGAGGAGTTAGCCCTGAGGACACTTCACTTTAGAGGTAAAAATGATTTCAAGACTCCTGGCCTGCAGAACTATAAGATAATTAATGTGTGTTGTTCTAAGGAACTCAGTTATTTGTTGCAGCAGTCAGCGAAAACTAATCTAGACCACCAACCCTGCTCCAGCCTGACCAAGTCGTCCCCCCTTTGATGTCCTGATGGTCCCCCTCTGGCTTCCCAACCGGAAGCAGCGCCTCCCATCAAAAGGAGCTCCACTGACATGCCTAGATCAGGGTGGCTATGAGCTAGTTGAGCCTGGAGGGCCCACAGGCATCCCCAGGCTGCCTCTTGGTCACCTGCAAGGCTATCACTCCCCAGAAAACTATCTGGCACCTCCTGTATGCCAAGCACTGAGGACACACATATAAACAAATCAAACAAGAGCCTCCAGCCCCACAGAAGTCACATTTCTCTCTGGAAAATGCCCCATTCCCACCCATAAAACACAGAACCCTGGCTCTGGGTGAAGTGAGACAGGATGTGGGCTCCAGAGCCTGGGGGGATACAGAAGGCCTGTGTTCAGTTTGTGTAGAGGGTGGCAGCCATCTGCCTGTGATGACTAACCCAGGAAGGCTTCTGAGAGGAGGAGGACAGGAACCCAAGAGCCGCCCTCCCTGTAGGCTGCTGTCAGGGCTGAGGCTTCACCTAGGGGAATAACAGCGATGCCAAAAAAGGTTGATGGAGCTCTGGAGGAGGAGGTGTCATAACTGGCCCCGAGAAATTGATGAGTAGAGAAGGGGGTGATGGGGGTTCTAGCACCTAGGGAGAGGCCAGGATGTCTCCTAGCAGGCCAGAGAGACCCAGGAGCAGCCACCCCCAAAATCATGTGGCGCTGACCCAGAGGGCAACCTTGTCTTTGAGCCTTGGTGACCACAGCTGCCCCACAGCGTGTCAGCAGGATCCCAGAAGCCACGACCCACAGCAGTAGTTGAGGCTTCCATTTGCAGATTGGTGCTCAGGACTAAGTGGGAGCTAATCTTAGAGGCTCAGGCCCTATGTGTCCCTCCTCAGCCCTGGCCAGGCCACCCCTGCCCCTTCAAGCCCAAGCCCCAGCCATGTGTGCAGAGAGACAACCCAAGACCAGCATGGAAACAGCTGGATCCCACCCAGACCCAACCTGCATGCAGCAGAGGGAAAATAAGCTCCACAGCCTCGGTGGGGGTGGGGAGGGCTGCAATGGGCCAGGCAGGGGGGTATGACCAGAGACCAACAGCAGTAGCAGCTTTGCCACCAAACATAGGGGCCTCCAGCCCTGCAGTGCGCCCACAGGGTGAGTAAATCAGAGCCTTCAGCCCTAGCTGCTAGCTGAGGATGCTCCCCCAGGGGTCTGATGATGACTGCGGGGGCACTCAGCAGGACCCTCCGTAGGGGCTGATGGTGCCCCTAGCAGGGTACTTGCACGATGTTGGTCAGAGGCGCTCCCTAGCCGGACTCCCACGGAGACGAGGTTTAGGAGTGCCTCCCAGAAGGACCTTTTCAAAGATGGGGGTCAGGGCAGCCTCAGCTGGATGCCCCAGTGACTGGGATCACGGGTGCTCCCAGAGGGCCCCTGTGGGAATGAAGGCAGGGGTTGCTCCTTGAGAGGGTCCCTGCTCCGTGGTGATGATGCCTGGAATGATCCCACTAGGCCTCCCCTCAGAGAAATGGGTAATTTCCATGCACCTTGCTAAGGCCTCCCCTAGGATCAAGGAGCTAGTTGAGCCTGGAGCGCCCACAGGCATCCCCAGGCTGCCTCTTGGTCAGGGCCCCACCAGGACACGAGGTCCCCAGGCCTGGAGAGAGGACTGCAGCACAGATGCATTTACCGTGGCCCCCACACGGTCCTCCCACCCCGTCCCCGCGGAGCTCAGCCCGGGCCGGCCTCTGCCCCCCACGTGCGCTCCGGGGGCCTGTCCAGCATCCCCTCAGCCTCCGCTGTGTCCTCGGAGCCCTCCTCGGGCTCCAGCACGTCGTCCGCAGCCCCTGGCAGGGCGCGGTCCTGGTCAGGGCCCATGGGGCGCGGCGTCCAGGGCGTCCCCGGTGCGGGCCGAGGCGGGAACCAGGAGAACCCGGGCGCCGGGGCGAGCGCCACGAGCTGGGGCCGCACGGGGTCGGAGGAGGCGGCGTGGGGGATGAGGAAGAAGATGTAGACGCCCGAGACGACGAGGCCCGCGGCCACCAGCACCGCCAGCGCCACTGCCGCGTTGAAGGCCCAGGCCGGGCTGGAAAAGGAAAGGCGGCGGGACAGCGGGCGGCCGAGGCGCAGCGGCGGCGGGGGCGGCGGCGGGCGCGCGGCGCGGCACTTGCGCGCTCCGGCCGGGGGCGGCGGCGGCCGCAGGTAGAGCAGGCCGCGGCGGCGGTCGAAGCGCACCGAGCCCTGGCGCCGCAGCGGCGCGCGCGCGTCGCGGGGCAGCAGGCCGGGCTGCGTGGGCAGCGCGGGCAGCCCTCGGCGCGGGGCCAGGCGCGTGGGCGCGCGGCACACGGGGCAGGCCACCGCGTCGCCGCCACCCGCCGTGGCCAGGGACAGGCGAGCCAGGCACTCGAGGCAGAAGACGTGGCCGCAGTCCAGGCGCTTGGGCAGCTTGAAGACGCCGTCGAAGGGTGACACACAAATGAGACACTCCCCGGGGGACGCGGGGGTCAGGATGGGGCCGGAGCCCGGGCTGCCGTCCCCTTCCTCCTCCTCCCCTTCCCTGCCGGGGGAGCGGAACGCAGAGAGTGAGCTCGGGGAGCTGGGACCCGAGCCCCGAGGGGCCCGAGGACGGCGGAGCCAGGGAGGCCGAGGGCACGGCATCCGGACCGGACCTGAGGGGAGAGGCGGGCCGTCAGCCAGGGAAGCAGGCGGTGGAAGAATGGAGGAGGGTCTGTGGAGGGTCAGGGACTGGACTCTGGAGGGGATGGCCAACACAGAGCAGGGGCATCCAAAGAAGGCGGTGTAGAGCCAAGGAACAGAGAGAATAGGAACAGTAAGCGACTCGCTCGCGGGGTAGAAGCAGAGAGAAAGGGTGTCCAGGTAGAAAGTCGAGGAAGCTTCAGGACTTGAGGGGGCGGGGAATAGATGGGAGGGCAGAGGATTGGGGACAGGGACAGACCCAGGGGGCACAATAGGTCCTAAGCTAGACAGGCAGGGAAGGGGCAGAGAGGAAAGCTGAGGACCCATCACCAGGAAGGACCCCAGACAAGCAATGGGGAGGATCCAACATGGAGAGGAGCAGAAGATAGGGACCTCTAAGAGAACTAGTTCGACCCTAAGGGGTCCATTCAAGACTCCAGGAGGGGCAGATGAGGAAAAGAGGACACCCAAGCCTCAGGATTGGAGCCCAGCAGCACAGAGCAATGATGGAAGCCCAGAACAAGTGCCAGAGGTTCCCCACATGACAGACACCAGGTGGCCTTTGGGCTCTTCCTACCTGTTGGTGCCTCCTCCCGCTGGCTGGCACGTCCCTGCCAGTTCTGACCCCAGTCCTCTGCCTACCCCCAGCTGCATTCTAGGTGCTCCTCCCTGCAGGAGGGTGCTGTCTTGGTACCACTCCCTCCAGATCCCAGGTTCCCAGGGTACCTGTCAGACTTGTCTGACTGCCTGGCCCGCCCCCAAGACAGGTCCCTCCAGGATGCACACCAAGCCTGACCTTGGCCGGATGTGGGGGCGGCAGGAAGGTAATGGATGGCACAGGCAGACAGGCCATTGACAGTCTGGCCCAGTGGATGGGCAATAACCCCCCACCCAAGTCTTCCATCACCTCATGAACCCACTTTCAAGAACCTGGTGTGGCAGTGGCCCTGTGGGCACCCAGGGTTAGGCTGCAGTCATGACTACACAAAATGTGGAGGCAGGGGTGCCTGGGCAGCTCAGTCGTTGAGCATCTGCCTTTGCTCAGGTTGCGATCCCAGGGTCCTGGAATGGAGCCCTCCATTGGGCTCCCTGCTCACAGGGAAGCCTGCTTCTCCCTCTCCCACTCCCCCCGATTGTGCTCCCTCTCTTGCTGTCAAATAAATAAAAAATCTTAAAAAAAACATGCAGAGGCAGCCTGGAGCCCCTGGGGGAACCTGGCCAGAACAAAGAGGAACCTCTGGAGTCCTGGAGTGGAAGGTGGGCAGACCCCACAGTGCGCTGGACAGGGCTGGCCCCTGCCAAACCAGCAGACAGGGGGCTGGAAATGGTGGCCCAGACCACTAGCCTTGGAGACCTCTTCCTGGGGCTGCTTGCAGGCAACATGCCTCCCAGATCTCATGGATCAACACCAAGCCCTTCCCCAGACCAGAGTGACATCTATGCCAGGACAACCCCACCCCGCTCATTTCCAGCACTCCAGGTGGCCAGGCCTGCACCCCGGGGTGCCATGGTTCTGAGTCAGTGGTGCTTCCTGAGCAGAGTTACTCCCCTGGTGAGCCCGGGTCCCCAGGCACCAAGAGACAGGTCAGAAACGTGGGCAGCTCCTCAGGACACTGGGGCCATCCCCACTCCAGAGCCCCCCCAGGACAGACACTGGCACAGGTGGGTGAGGCTGCCCCAAGGCAGACGGGTTTATTGAAGCCACAGCCAGGTGGTCAACGGTTGGACTTGGCCACACGTTCCAGCTCGTCCTTCTTCTTGATAGCATAGGAATTGGAGGAGCCCTGCAAGGAGACAGAGGGTTGGTTCTGAATACTGGAGCAGCTTCCCCGTGAACTGGCCGCCTCCCCGTGTCCTCACTCACCTTGGCTGCATTGATGAGCTCATCTGCTAGGCACTCGGCAATAGTTTTGATGTTCCGGAAGGCGGCCTCGCGGGCACCTGTGCACAGCAGCCAGATGGCCTAGGGAGCACAGGGGTCAGCTAAGCCGGGGGGCAGGGGGTGCCCCCCACCAGAGAGGCCAGCGTCCTCCAGGACCCTAGGCCCGCCAACACATGCCGGCTACCATACTGCCATGCATTGGCCCAGTGAGCCTGAGACAAGACACAGGAGGAGCCCACGGGCAGCACCAGGCGAAATGCAACGCAGCGTGTGCTGCTGAGCGGGACGCTTGAGTGAAAACGGCCAGCTGCAGTGACGGAACCTGGAACAGTTCTCTCTCTGTTAAATTCCTGGAGTGATGGGGGGGACAGAGTATCCTGACCGGGACCCTTGAGTGAAAACGGCCAGCTGCAGTGACGGAACCTGGAACAGTTCTCTCTCTGTTAAATTCCTGGAGTGATGGGGGGGACAGAGTATCCTGACCGGGACCCTTGAGTGAAAACGGACAGCTGCAGTGACGGAACCTGAACAGTTCTCTCTGTTAAATTCCTGGAGTGATGGGGGGGACAGAGTATCCTGACCGGGACCCTTGAGTGAAAACGGCCAGCTGCAGTGACGGAACCTGGAACAGTTCTCTCTCTGTTAAATTCCTGGAGTGTTGGGGGGGACAGAGTATCCTGACCGGGACCCTTGAGTGAAAACGGCCAGCTGCAGTGACGGAACCTGGAACAGTTCTCTCTCTGTTAAATTCCTGGAGTGATGGGGGGGACAGAGTATCCTGACCGGGACCCTTGAGTGAAAACGGACAGCTGCAGTGACGGAACCTGGAACAGTTCTATCTCTGTTAAATTCCTGGAGTGATGGCGGGGACAGAGTATCCTGACCGGGACCCTTGAGTGAAAATGGCCAGCTGCAGTGACGGAACCTGGAACAGTTCTATCTCTGTTAAATTCCTGGAGTGATGGGGGGGACAGAGTATCCTTGTTCTTAGGAGACACCCACTAAAATGTTAAGGGGGAAATGGTTAGAAAGCCCGCAACTTATTCTCAAATGGTCTGTGGAAAAAAAAAACACACACACACATCCACACACAGTATGTAAAAATATACTCAAATGAAACTGTGCCTCAGGCAAATGTTGCTCAAGAGCGGGGCCAGAACTAGTATCTGCCCTGAATGTGATGGAAATGCAGGAAGGCTTCCTGGAGGAAAGGACACTCCAGGTAAAACACACAGACAGGACAAACCTTCCCACCTGCCAATTTCTGCCCCAAGCCCACCTGATTCACACGGCGCAGGGGGGACACGTCGACAGCCTGACGCCTCACTGTTCCGGCTCGCCCAATGCGGGTTGAGTCCTCCCGGGGACCGCTGTTAATAATTGCATTCACCAGGACCTGCAGGGGGTTCTAGGAGAAGGCAGCCATGAACCTGACATCCAGTCCACATCCCTCCCCTATCTCCTCACCCCTAAAACCTGGTGGACCCTGGCATGCACGCCATGGGGCAGCTATTGGCTTTAGGGTGTACTAAGGGCGTTCAGCCTCATCAGGTCTCACAGTCCTACCTCACCAGTGAGCAGATGGATGATCTCGAAGGCATGCTTGACAATGCGCACGGTCATGAGCTTCTTGCCATTGTTACGGCCATGCATCATCATTGAGTTGGTGAGACGCTCGACAATGGGGCACTGTGCCTTACGGAAGCGCTTGGCCGCATATCGCCCTGCACTGTGGGGCAGGTACTTGGCATACTTCTCCTTCACTGCAATGTAATCCTGGGGCAGCAGGGAGAGGGGATGGAAGGACCATGGTCAGGAGTAGGATGGTCAGGAACCAGAGGGACTGAGCATCCACTCGGGGTAGCCCTCACCCACCTGTGGTGGCTTGACTGTGAGGGCCCTGCCTGCCACAAAAAAAGTAAAACCCTAACAAGTGACTATCAAGTCACTAAAAAAAGCACTTCCTTGGGGCACCTGGGTGGCTCAGTCAGTTCAGCGTCTGCCTTCGGCTCAGGTCACGATCTCAGAGTCCTGGGATGGAGCCCTACATTGGGCTCCCTGGCCAGTGGGAGTCTGCTTCTCCCTCTGCCTGTGCTCTCTCTCTCATATAACTAAATAAAATCTTAAAAAAAAAGAACACTTCCATTATAATGGGAGGAAGGGAGATGGAGAACCAAGATCACAACTTACCATCTCAGTTGTTTTTTTTTTTTTTTAAGATTTTATTTATTTGAGAGAGCATGAACAGGGGAGAGGGAGCAGACTCCCCGCTGCAGAGCAGGGGTCCTGACATGGGACTCCATCCCAGGACCCTGGAATCATGGCCTGAGCTGAAGGCAGACACTTAACCTACTAAGCCACCCAGGTGCCCCACGATCTCATTTTTAAGTGTTCCTCAAACTCTACACTATGAATATTTTATTTATTTATTTGACAGAGAGAGACACAGCGAGAGAGGGAACACAAGCAGGGGGAGTGGGAGAGGGGAAGCAGGCCTCCTGCGGAGCAGGGAGCCCGATGCGGGGCTCGATCCCAGGACCCTGGGATCATGACCTGAGCCGAAGGCAGACGCGTGACAACTGAGCCACCCAGGCGCCCTGGGCACTATGGATGTTTTAAATCAATTAGCTCTCGTTGTGGGCGCTGTCCTGTGCACCACAGAATATTTAGCAGCATCCAGTATGCTGGCAGCACCCCTCTCAACCTTAGCAACTAAAAATGTATCCAGACATTGCCAAGTGTCACCTAAAAGGGGTGGGGGAAAAATCACTCCAGAGAACCACTGTTTTAGTAGAATTATCCAACAATCCTTCCTATATACGCATACGTCATTTCCCAAGAAAATGTCTAGAAAATACCAAAATGTTAGAGGGCGTTCAAATCAGAGGAACTACACCTATGTGAAGAGAACTACTGTCAACTGTTCCACTGCAAAATACACCCAAACGTCATTCTATCACTTAACACATGAGAGGCCCCACACACATCATATTTCTGTAGACACAAGGCGTAACAGAAAAAGAACACGGAATTCAGACACTAGAATGACAGTCTGGTGTCTACCTGGAGAGAAGCACCTGCACAAATAGGCAAGTAGACAGGTCTCCATGCAGGGCTTTACACTGGGCAAAAAAACCCACAAATACCAAATGTCTTGGCAGGGTTTGGTTAAAATGTCCAGCTCTATGGTAAAGCCTTGCACATCTTTCAAGACAAGAGCATTCAGGGGCGCCTGGGTGGCTCAGTTGGTTAAGCGACTGCCTTCGGCTCAGGTCATGATCCTGGAGTCCCGGTATCGAGTCCCACATCGGGCTCCCTGCTCAGCAGGGGGTCTGCTTCTCCCTCTGCCCTCTTCCCTCTCGTGCTCTGTCTCTCATTCTCTCTCTCTCAAATAAATAAATAAAATCTTAAAAAAAAAAAAAAAAAAAAAAAGACAAGAGCATTCTGGCATGACATTGACTTCTGCTTCCCCAGCCCCTAAGAGAGCACTAGGGAAAAGTGAGAAATTGTTTTTACATTTTAAAAAATATTTTATTTATTATATTTAAAAGATCTTATTTACTTGTCAGAGAGAGCAAGCACTAGCAGGGAGAACAGCAGGCAGAGGGAGAAGCAGGCTTCCTGCTGAGCAAGGAGCCTGATGGGGGACTCTGGGATCATGACCTGAGCTGAAGGCAGACCCTTAACCGAGTGAGCTACCCAGGCGTCCCTATTTTCACATTTTTAAAAGGATGCACAAAAAAAAAGCAAGGATGCAAACACATGTGACAGAAACCACATGTGACCTACAAAGACTAAAATACTCACTATCTGGCCCTTTAAGTTTGTGGACCTCAGGGTGCCTGGGTGGCTCAGTTGGTTAAGTGACTGCCTTCGGCTCAGGTCATGATCCTGGAGTCCCTGGATCGAGTCCCACATCGGGCTCCCTGCTCGGCAGGGAGTCTGCTTTGCCCTCTGACCCTATCCCCTCTCATGTGTTCTTTCTCTCTCATTCTCTCTCTCTCAAATAAATAAATAAAATCTTAAAAAAAAAAAAAAAAAGTTTGTGGACCTCGCTGAACAAAGCCATGAAGGGAAACAGTTCTACAAAACATCCAGGGTGAAAAACAGGACTGAATCCTCCATTAGGCATAGTGCCTAGATCCCATGATATGTTCTTTTTTAAAGGTTTTATTTATTTTTTGACAGAGAGACACAGCGAGAGAGGGAACACAAGCGGGGGGGTGGGAGAGGGAGAAGCAGGCTTCCCGCAGAGCAGGGAGCCCGAGGCAGGGCTCGATCCCAGGACCCTGGGATTGTGACCTGAGCCGAAGGTGGACGCTCAACGACTGAGCCACCCAGGCGCCCCCCGTGATATGTTCTGACACAACAAAAGGTGTTTTAATTTCTTTTAAAATGAAAAAAGAAATCAAATCCGAACTTTGTCTTTATACCAATGCAGTCACAAAATATAGTTTCTTTTTAATGAAGGGCCCACAAAAGTCCTGGTGAGGCCCAGTGTAAAACAGTATGAGGGTTAAGATAAACTGGGAGGACTCCCAATGATTTCCTGATTTCAAAACCTATTAAAAAGCTACAGTAAATCAAGACAGTGTGGTACTGACTTACGGATAGATTTACAGACCAATGGAAAAGAATTCAG